ATGTAGAACAAGCACATAGAGGTGAGACATCTGCCCAGAAGGCAAACTCAAACAATGCTTTCATCCAACAGAATTTCAAGTCACCTACCAATGTCAAGGTAACCTGCTCCACCACTTTAGTAAGACCTTTTACAAGAGGCCCAATGGGCCTGAATCGCTCACCTGGTATTAATCTCACACTTGTAATCTTAAAAGTGGACTAAAATACAACTGCAGGCAGAATATCAGTGTTTGATTCATAAGCACCTATTAAAAGATTTAAACATATGACGCCTGTGACCTTGAATAACAAACAAGGACATTAGGTTGAACAGAGTTTATAGTCTTCCAACCCAGCATGCATCTAGCAAAATACCATTACCCTGGACCTTTTGGTTATACAGAACAAATCATTTAAAAATGTAAACATCTATTGACCACTGTGACCTTGAATATTGGGGAAGGTCATTCATTTGAACAAACTTGGTAGCCCTTCATCCCAGCAAGTTAATGGCCAAATATCATCACCCTTGGCCTTTTGATTATTAAGAAGAAGTCATTCAAAGGTTTTAAACATATTTGACCCTGTGACCTTGAATATAAGTCAAGGTCATTTATTTGAACAAACTTGATAGCCCTTCAGCCAGCATGTTACTGGCCAAATTAAAACACTCTAGGCCTCTCGGTTATTTAAAAGAAGCTGTTTAAATGTTTTAAACATATTTGACCCCTGTGACCTTGAATATAAGTCAAGGTCATTTATTTCCCTTCGGGCCAGGTGAGCTAATAATGTTGAAATATAAATATGTTGTGTGGAACCCATACACCCAAGCAAATATATACAAGCTGGAGAAGGTACAATGCAGGGCTGCTTGCTATGAGTTTGGCAACTGTGACTACACATGCAAATTAACATGTGCAATAGGAAGTTTAGGAAGGGGTACATGTATCTCACCATACACCTTAGTCTGAAACACAGTTGGAAACATTACAAACCAGGACACATGATCATCAAATTACACTCATGTTCAAAATCATTAACAGTTCTTCACCTACACACCTCTAAAATATCATTAACAGTTCTTCACCTACATACCTCTAAAATATCATTCAACCATTCATAAATACAAACAATAATTATACATTTAGAATTGAAAGAATCTTTAATGTACCGCCTGCTAGAGCTAATAGTTATAAAAACCGTTTCTTTCCCTCTGCTTTGAATAGCTGGAATTCATTACTATCCTGATGATTCTATAAGATATTCCCTCCCAATATCCAGTTTTAAATCAAAACATAAAACAACATTTCCTACAACAGTCTCTGAAAGTTTTATTGATTGCAGTCCAAGAAATGTTGATGTTATTCTTTGTCTATTGAGAAACAGTGCTAGTGACTTAAATGATGATAAATATTTGAATCATTTGGTTGATGTTTGGTCTTGTACTTGCGGGGCTAAGATAGAAAATACAGTACACTTTTTCTTTCAATGTCCCCGTTACAATAATTTTAGACATCTCATCATATTTGGAAATAATATATTAGGATATGTAACTAAATATTCATGTTCTATTACATGGTGTTACTGATATATCCAATGACACAAATATCAGACCAGTTCTGGTTAAAAAAACCTAAAGAATTTGCAATTTGCAAATAATATACCGGTAATCAAGTATGACTTGGAGTATGAGAGCGAGTGAGTACATGTTCTTTTCATGTTATTGTTACAGAGGATGGCACAGGCCAGAAGTGAGAACGGTATTTGAACTCAGGACCTCCAAACTCTAGACAGATACTGCCAATTCAGCTACCTGGTCACCGACGATTGACCCAGTATAGTTTAGCTATATTCCTCCCTCCTTTTTCTTACTCTCTGCCTCTGAAGACACAACTATTTACAACCCTGGTTTGGGTATCCCCTTACCAAGCATACAACCAATGCTTGAAACATGAGTTGGTCACGGTACCACTGTAACAGGAGATGGACAAATGCAACGGCCAGACTGTGATTCAAATCTCAGACCCTCTAAACTCTATAGACAGACGCTCTACTAATTAAGCTACCTCAGGTCGCCAACGACAGACCCAGAACAGTTCCGCTACATAATTAATGAACCATCTTGTCCCCTTATTGTCGTACAGTCTTTTATTTATATCTAATATAATAAGTTGATCCATATGCAACCAGTTATCTTAGGAAAAGACTGTCATACAGGCTTTGTCTGTTTTCTCATCCTTTTGATAAAACATGTATTATTTTATAATTCCTATTATCTGTTTATCTGTGTTATTGTAATTCTAATGTATTATCAATAAAATATTTTGAATTGAATTGAGAGGAAGGAAGAAGTGAAAAAAACCTATGAGTTCCCTGGGAGGTCGACCTAATAGCTGTTACCCCAGACTTTCTAGTTGGATGCTCTATCACTGAGATGAAGGGATATATTCCCTCAAGCCGAATATATAGTATGAGGTCACATTCGTGTACTCCTGATTAAAATGTTTCAGGTGTCGCAGAAATATTCTACGATAAACGAACGCAGTTGGACCGAACTCTAGGCAGAGCTAAAAGAATGCATAGTTTCAGAGAATGATAAATAACAGTATATCAAGAATTATATGTCTTTCTCTCACGAGTCCACAATATTATATAAAATATCTGAAACTGTACATGTGGATTGACCTTTTTTTATAAAGAAATAATGCAAACTAGCAATATATATAGTTTCCCAGTAAACACATGACGTTGGATCAACATTGGATTAATGTTGTGTTCAGGTCGCGACGTCGAGGACCTAGATCCAACGTCTAAAGCAAGACATTGTATTCTTCTTGCCAGGATCTGACGTCTTGTCGACGTAGTTTAGAGATCACAATTATGACAGTGTCTTAAAAAAATCGGTACACATAAAAACACATACATTCATTGATATTCATTTACATTTCTGTTTACAAAAAGGTTATTTTTCGTAATGGAATTCCTTCTGCAACGAGCAAAATCGATCCATTGTATCCATCGATTATCTCCATTAATGTATGATTTTTTATATTCGATATAGGGCACTGTATGGGACAAATTTCAAAAACCATCTTTTCGAAAATTACGGAGCTATGCGTGATAAATTTAGTCTTAAAAATCTTTTTTTTTATAACACAAGTGTATCTTTTCTCAACACGATCTCTCACCGTTTAACAAAAATAATTATGTTAAACAAAAAGGCTGGTTTCGGACAACATCCGGTTTCTTTGTTCTGAACTGACCGCCAACTGACCACTCGGCAGAAGCGAGGACATCTCAATTTTAAACAAAATCTACCACGTTGTTTGTATCTGGAAGAAGTTTTGTGAACGAAACCAGGTATGTCAACGATGCAAAAAGTGAACTTTACCATTTTTGTTGATCTAAATATTCAATCGTTGGCTGAATATTATTGTAAACAATACTTGACTGTAACGTTAGGCCTAATCAATATGCATGGTGCAATGAGTTAACTGTATAGATACGTACGTGGTATGTTTTACTCGAATGCGTCTCCAAAACATTAATTGGTTTAAATACAGACCTTAAGAGAATATGATTGGTATAAATAATTTCTTTCAATCAAAATGATACTCTGCAGAGCCAGACACAAAGCAATAAATATATTGTATTTTTTGATTGCAGAAAATGCCCTAAACACACCAACAGGGAGAGATGCCACAGAGCATGCTGTGGATATGGCAATCGCATATTGTTTAAAATATACACTAGATCAACGAGGTGGAGGGGGGGGGGGAGACCAAAATAAATAATAACATAAAATGCAGTTAGTGTGTTTTTTGGTTTATTTTGTATTTGTATTATTGCATGGGATTTAGAAAATGTTTTTTGTGGGTTCAAACCTGTATGTGTGTGTGTGGGAGGACTGGCTGAACGTCTTGGTAAAAGGGGTGTGTCAAAATATAAAAAAAAAATAATATTCACACTTGCCTGTACAGAATCCTGAAAATATCATTAAATAAACAGCTACATGAACAGATGAAGGTCAGGTTTATTTTAGGTATGTAAGACGTTGCTTAGACGTCAGGTTTCTGACGTCAGGACTCTGACGTCTATACAACGTCAGGTTTTGATGTCTAAAATACTTTCATTTTCAACCAAAATCCAACGTCAATCGAACGTCAGGGTCTGACGTTGATCCAACGTTTATCCAATGCATTTGCCCACTGGGATAGTTTCGATCAGGCACATCTGGACCCCTCAATTCAAACATACCGAATATTCCTGAGGTCAGCATCGGTTCAGATCTGTGCCTTTTGTTTTCTTTCAGGATCAACCGTTTCAACTGGTTGAGCCAGATGCACAAATAGGGTTCTTGGGTAACTTTGATCCGTCTACAATTATCTACTTCGCTACTTTAAGTCTTTTTCCTCGTAGATTATAGTGCTACAGCTAAGGTTCTTTTACTGAGCAACCCTATACTTTCAAGCCAAATGTTCTGTCGGTGAATTAAAGAGAAATCACCTCTAGCTGAAACCTATAACTAAGGTGACTCTGACGTACATGCACTTTGTACAATGTGATGCATTACAAATGCATGACACACAGGGGTTCATTACAAATGATTGAAATACAAATGATACACTGATATTGGTCACAGCACACATAAACATATGTGTGCTGTGACCCATATCAGTATAGCATAAGTGTATTTCAGACATTTGTAATGAACCCCTGTGCATGACATGTACAAAAAAACCAATAAAAAACCACAAAAAAAACATAACCGTGTATGTAGTCTTATGTTGTCAATAAACAAGAATACTCCATTATTGCATTGGTAGGATTTCAAATTCAGTAAACGGGAATTGTTTTTCAATAATAATATAGAATATGTGGAGTTTACTGGTTCTAAGCTTACATCATGTTTGTAGGAAGAAAAACGTGTCAAATATCATGGACACAGTTCAACATTTCAAATATCTTGTAAGTTGTTGTTGCAAAACTTATATTTTATTTTCATGGTGCAGTTACTTACCTCGTTTGCAGCGGTCGAACTAGTTTCCACTATCAATTCTATTACTTTCCCCTCTCCATCTCGCAGTTGTTTACCTTAGTGCCGGTCACGTGACAACTTCATTTCACTCACATTCTAATATTCGCGACCAGCATTATCCCGGAATTCCTTTGATTTGTATAACTGTTATCCTTTACCGTCAGTGACAGTTAAATCAATGTCTAGAAATGATTCTAAAGAGGGGTAAATTCCCGAAATATAAATGGAATTAGGCTAGTCAGAGACGTATAATGTATGATCTCGCACTTTCCTTTCCGGATATCTGTAATAATCATTTTGTCATTTAGTACAATACTTAATATTGATCTCTGAAATGTTTGACAGTGATATAAACTATGACTTAACGTCACATCAACGTTGAACATTTGGAAATGAGTTGAACCACGGACTTAGATAATTCCGTGGTTGAACTGAGTGTTGATTGGTGAGTATAACGAATTTTTAACGACACTACAAATATTGTTTATTTCAATATTTATGAAGAATACGTCGACTGTAAGTCGATAGATTTCCCTTCATAATATCAGTAAAACACTATGTTACATTATAGCATATAACGTTATTATGAAATAGGTTAATTCCTGTAGGAACTCTATCTAAATCAGAGATTTATAAATATACCATTCTAAATATATGTAGGCCTAACGATATATATTTTTTGGTGGGGGATAACTAAGGATTCCTCATCCCTCCCCAAACCCCTGCCAGCCTGTGGGATTTTCTTTCAAAATATCGGGTAAGTAGACACTAAGACAGGGGCAATTTTGGCCCATTTTCATTATTTTAAGTCGTTCTGGACATTATTTGTTAGCATTTATATGTATTTACACCATTCTGAAGAGAAAAGTCCATGCCCTTCATAAAATATAACAGAATGGCAAACATGCCCGCATTTGAAGAGTTATTAAACTCTTTACTGTTGGAAGAGTGTATTGCCTAATGTGCACCGCATTGGGGTAAGTTCAACAACAGGATGTCTGGGGTACATGTAAGTCCGGCCCACATTGGAATTTGCATAATTATGACGTCAGAAAGCATGCAACGTCATATTTCCCTGCCAATGCCAGGCTTCCCGTGTATGGCATTGGCCGAACCTGTCCCTGCGCATGGGACGTACCTGCCCAAAATTTATATTTTATTAAGAAATCTGTATGTTAGAGCAATACGAAACTCAATGCTAGGCTTGTATGTATAACCATCATGTGAAGCTGTCTGTTTGTCACACGTATGCCATCAATATGTAGCATTTCGGTTTACAAAAAGTTTGCAAAACTAGAAAGAAGTGAGGTCATAATTTTCTTTCTACTCTCCCAAAAAATCATTTTCTCACTTTTAGTAATCTAGAATTATAGTTTTCCCATCATTTTTTCCGTATGAATGTCCTGCTCAGTGAACTGCACTTCTAAAATCCTCAAAGTTGTAAGTATTTGCTCAAGACTAATATAAAATAAAAAAGATAATTTACACAATCATTAGACTAGTGTTTGTCAATACATGCATTCAAAAGAATCAAAGGTCTAAATCCAGAATTGATGCTTACATTTATACAATTAGGATAATGATTACATAGTCATTAGCAGTACATATTTAAGAACATTCAAAGACACCAAAGCACAGAGGAATTGTTAAGTCTTCAAGAACAGTCGAATATCCAATAATGCATACATTCATAAAAAAAAGAATTTTGACTTAGGCCTTAATTTGGCGTTCCTCTTGAAACTACATGTATTTAGACTTGCACATGTCGGTTATACGCCGAAAATATCTTCCTATCCATAATTATGCTTACTGCATTTCCGTTGTTTTCATTTAATCATTCTGATGCCGATAGTGATCATATTACAAAATCATATATACACACAATTACTGTAAGAGAATTTACTGCATATTTTTCTCTGAAGTAATTTGGTAAGAAGAAGCAGATGGCACAGCAAAACGCGCCTTTAAACAATAAATCATGTTCTTAAAAAACAGGTTACGGAAAACTATGACATTATTCGGAGATGAAAATACAAAAGAAAAAAAATATCTTTGTGTTTGTTGAAAATTCAGAAAGAAAATGTCTGTATTTTAACTTGTGTTAAAATGACTTCAGAAGAACTTTTTAAAAGTAACATCATTGAAATGTATGAAATACGTACACTACATCTAAGATATCCAGTATGTGTCTACAATGAAGTTACAAATGAAAAAATGTGCACTGAATTGTAGGAATAAGAATAAAATAAATCAAGATATTCTAAATAATGTTGAATAGCTGCAGAAAATTTGAGTTGGCTTCAGTGAATGTATTGCCGACACTATATGATGACGCATGTTAACAGTGACGTCACAGTCGCGTCACACCATGTTGTGAACATCAATATTCGGCATATTTCTACGCAAAATATGTATGTCAGGTATACATATACAGACTTATTAGTATCAACTGCATCCAGGGGTTACAATTACTTCGCTCTCTACACCCCTGGAATATGTCATGGCAAAATTGAAGGCACAAAGATAGCTGTTTGATTGATCTTAGGTATAAAAAAAACTGACCAATTGCTAGGCTGATACCTGTCCTTTGAAGATTACAAAGGAGAGCCGCCCAACTTCAAAGCCTGTCAAATTTTACCATTACGTGATCGCAAGGTTCTTTTGATGTATATCAAAGGATCAAACTAGTCTCCTTGTCTCATCAACAAGGTGGTGCACACTGAGCCTTCAATTTGGAATAACATATTCCAGGGGTGAAGAGAGCGAAAGTGAGCTGAACCCCTGGATATCGAGGATATATCAACTGATGCTATTTTGAAGCTAAGGACAAATAACGACTACGGTGTATCAACTGATGCTATTTTGAAGCTACAGACAAAAAATGGCTTGCACTGCTCGGCCCACCGCTTCGGGAACGTCCGAGAGTGCCTGCTATTACAATGCCATCTGGGGCTCGGTTTCGGGATAATTTCGGTTGATAATAAACCTATACACGCCAGTAAATAACAGCAACACTTTTTATCCGGTGTTTATACACATTCTGAAACCTTAGCAAAAACTGAGGTATAAAAAACAGTACCTCAGTACCCACAATATTACTTATTTCTGCATTTGGCTCTCAAAGATATCATTTTTGGAAACTATTTTACAAAAGGTTATACACAGAATGTTTTCCACTTAAACTGTGCTAAAAATATTGTTTGCATTAAAAACTAAGGTTGCTAGGGAAACATTGATAAATCCTTTTCTCAAGGTAGATCGGAATCCCTTTGTATTCGCAAATGCAAGTTATGAAAAGACGGATACATTTATACGAAAAGATTGTCATCATAGTCTGCCCCTGCCTCTGGGTATGAGTACCTGAGTAATCACATGAAACTTATGGAGATCCAGTGATAAATTATGTAAACAATTGTTAAGATGTTTGGATCTGGAGTCTGACCCCGCCCTTGGGGACTTATTCCTAGAACAGTAACATCCTTAATAATCATATACACATACATTGATTAAAGCATGCTTAGTCCTTTGGATCTTGGGATCAATAATTATATAAACTGTAGGAAAACTGTAGCTCCCCTTAGGGGCTCTTGAGATGCAAGGGGAATATTTGATTTTTTCTTTGACCAGGCTGCTAATTGTGTTTCAACCAAATATGCTATGATGTATAATTGGTTTCAGGATGCCAAATACTATTTAACAGGCTTCAAAGTTGCAAGTAAGCAACTTTGATATTGAAGCTATTAGACATAATTTGCTGGCAAGTAAAATATATTGTGAAATGTTTCATTAACCTTTATTATTTTCCAGAAAGTCAACTTTTGTTGACTGTACGAACTGAAAAGGCACTTCATGGTAAGACTGAAATAATTGTGAATCAAAGAAAGTTTAAAGACAGTTACTATGGAAGTTAAGGAAGTAAACGGGCAGCTACCAGATGGGAAATTGAATGGCTGTGATTCTGGGACAGATTCATCCACATTTGACATCACAAGTACAGACTCTGATCCATCCACGGCTACTGTCACCAGTGTAACATCACAGACTGACAGTCAGTCACAGCTGGAGTACTTAGAAACTAATTGTCAAGTGAATGGACATACCAAAATAAAAGAAATGGACCAAGATTCTCTTTCATTGGATTTATCAAAGAGTGATTCTCAAGATTTAGACCTCAGTATATCAAGTTCAGATAAAGAAAATATTAAAGATGAGACTTTGACAAACACTAAACCTCAATCATGCCTTCCAAAACTTGACAAACCTGATTGGTACTTAAATCCATGTTTCCAAAACTACTGGCAGCATTACTATCACTGTATGGCTTGGTTCCATAGACACAACAGTGTCACAAAAAACCTGACCCAACCACAGAGCACAGGGGGTTTTCCCCCAGGAGGCCCGCCCGCTATGGCAAGGTTGCCTTGGGCAGGGGTCGCATCCTCCTATAAATGGCCAAATTCTGGCTGCCCTCCTAGGGAAAATCCATACCACATGGGGGCTAGACATAGGGGTAAGAATAGACGAAAAGGTAACGGGAGAGGGCGGGGCCACAGGGGTGCCCAACACCACAGCCATGTAAGGAACACCTGTAATGGACAAGTTCTAACAGAGGAAAAAAGTTTGACAAGTCAGGAGAATCAACAGGGATCAGACAGTGACAGCGAAGTTTTTGAAATGGAAATTACAGATGACATGGTGGAATTCTTCACAAAATCTGAACAACACAAAAAGGAAAGAGGTACACTGTCATTGTGAAGTTAAAATTGTTCAGCATCAAATGTTTTACGAGATAAGATAATAGTTATCAGGTTGTTTCAGCACATAACCTATTTATGATTATCTGCTATCTAGTAGCACACTTTGACAAACAATACAGTTATAACAAGTTGGCTTCTTTTGTTAGTCAATAAATATATAAAGATTGTTATTTTTTTTTAAATCATTTAATTTGAAATGAATTCATTTACAATCTACACATAATAATTCCTAATGATAATTGTTTTTTTTGCACCCAGATGCCAAGAAGACTGAGGAAACAAAAGAAGACAGCAGACTTGATTTGGAAGGAGGTTTGTAAATATATTACATAAAGTGTATATATCATGTTGTTTTTTTATATTCAGTAGATTGAATTGGGTGTTATTACATGTAAATTAAGGTCTGGTACAGATTTGTTAGTGCTGTTCAATTGTACATGTAAATTGAGTTGACTCCTATTATAAGAAGTAGACATAAGTAGACACGTAGCGATTGCATGAATGTTTACACATTATCATATTTTATCACTGTTGCAAATATTCAATAACAGGTAAACATGTAAATTCACTTTAATACATTAAGGTTTTAATATCAACAGATTTTATAAGCTACAGTTATCTTAGCATGTAAATGCATTACATTAATGATAATCAAACTTACCAGAGAGAGCCAAAAAAACCCATTTTATCCAGTCCAGTGACTTAAACTCCAGTTTCCATGTCTATAACCAGTACTCAATACATAGAAGGATTAATGAGGTCATCTTGTCCAGGGCCAAGTTCATATCTAATAGGATTTCATTTTCAGTGTCTTGAGCTTTAGAGTTCTTGTAAAACGTTTGCTAAAAACGATTACAGATCAAAACTGACTTCATTATTAGATAAAGAGGATGGGAGAAATATCTTTTGAAGAGCCAAGAATATTATCATGAACTTTTGGTGAGGTAAAATGTGGTTATATGGACCTGAGAATGAGATATGACGATGTCCAGATTATTATTTCTTTTCAGGTTATTACTAACATGATCCGTTATCCTTTTTGATTCTATTATTTTGTGTTTCCAGCTAATGCTACAAAGAAAGCTCCTACCACAGCAGCTCCACTAGAGCGACCAGGTGTCCGACGGACCCAGGAAATGGTCCTATTGTATGGAAAGGGTGCAGCCATGGTCCATGGTATGGAGACAGCCATGCAGATGTCTTACGATCGTAACATGGACATACTACAACCAAAGTATTGGCCGAACATGCCTCTAAAGATCTCTTTTAGTTAATCAATAAACTTCTAGTATTATCATTGTCAATGAGCTGTATTTATTTAATGTTTGATTGTTAAGAAAACTTAAAGGAACAATGGAGTGGATTCTAATAAGAGCTGGCTATGATGATCTGAAAAATGTACCTTCAGGACACATATACATATACATGTATTACGGACATAAAAAACTTGCTTACATGTTATTCAGTGAATACACCCATGTAATATTTTTTCACATGCACTCTAGTAATATGGCATATTGTGATGTCATAAAATAACAACGAAATATAACAGGCCTCTCTCTTATTTTCATATTATGACTCACAATGGAGATAATATATACACAGCCAAAATGGCAGAATTCTAGACTGCAAGAACGACCTACAAAGTATGTTCACAAAAATTCATGATTAAATGATCATGTTATTCACTGCTGTTAGCAAAAACTTTTGTGACCCGAGCCAAGGTAAAATTTATTTAAATAAACTTGATATAGTTAAAATGCTGACTTGACAGGCTAAATGTCATAAACCTTTTTTAATATTTGTTGAGAAGATTCGAATTCCCACGACCCAAATTTGGTAAAGGCAATTTAATTGATCAAACTTGAGTGTGCTATTGCCGCAAACTAGAGTACAAAGGCGCTTCTCTTAGAAATGAGTCATTTGAACAAACAGCATAACCCTCCACTCCAGCATGCAAAGGCCCAAATGACCCAAATCCACTTTGTTATTTGGAAGAATATTTGTATACAGGTAGGTTTTAACATTTGACCTTGAAAGTTTGTCAAGTTAATTCATTTAAACAAAAATGATAGCCAACTTTATAACCCTTGGCCTATTGCTTATTCCAAAGCTGCTGAAATACTCTAGCCTTTGTGACCTGTTGAAAGTTTGTCAATGTCATTCAATTGAACAAACTTGATAGACTTGATGACATGTTACAGGCCAAATATTTTTACCCTTTGCTTTGGTTATTCAGAAGAAATTATTAAAAAAGGTTTTAATGCATTCGACTCCTTTTACCTTGAAAGTGGGCCAAGGTCATTTATTTGAGTATATTTGATAACCTTCATCTAGGAATTCTTCTGGCCAAATATCATTTACCAAGGCCTCGGTTATTAGAAGAATTCCTGTAAAAGTTTCTTTGCATTTGACTCTGTGACCTTGAATAAAAGTGGCAAGGTCATTTTGATTATTCAGAAGAATGTTTTGATAGAAAGAAGTTGATGCTAAATGAACAGACATAACACCTATAACACCATGAAAAAGCTCAATGGCACTTTTGGGCAAGTGAGCTAAAACAGATGATAAAGTCATTTCCATTTCATACGAGATTGCAATTGGTGATCATGATGATACTTGTAAGAGATACTTAGCAATTGTATTGCTGGGAGTTCTATATTTCAGTCATCAGAATACTTTTTTTTAAATTTTGAGTGTGATGGATAACTGATAATCAGTTTACTTTGAAAGCATTTCAATAATTTTACAGATTTAAGAAATCCTGAAGCCCTGAAAATCTTCACCTAGCATGCCCTTTTCTATTTATTCCCAATTCTATGGATTCATTAAAAAAAAGTTCATCAGACTTCAGAGGTCAACTCTGCACAAAAACATGTCAACCCTTTAATGGTTTAAAAGTTATAGCCCAGACAAGATGTTCCTGAAAAATTTGCACATATTTGACCTTTGACCTTGGGGTCAAGGTCACAATGACATAATGACAGTGCATTGCACTTTGTCTATGGGTTATGCTAGTTTCATTCAGATATCTTTAATGGTTTATAAGTTACGGCCCGGAAAAGAATGTATTGCAACTTTTGCACTTCTTTGACCTGAAAGTGAAGGTCACTGCGACTTGATTCTATTTCACTGCACACCCTCAGTGGGTGTTGCAAGTATAGTTCAATTCTAAGTTTCATCAAGATATCTTTGATGGTTTAAAATTTATGGCCCGGACAAGATCATAGAAGAACCAGTACCAGAAGAACCAGTACTAATACAATATGTCTACCATAATTCAAAGGGGAGACATAATCAAGTAGGTGCTTGTATTCTATAACAAATCACAACACAATAAACATATACATACAAAAGTACTTTATTGCTTTTCTGTCTGCTTTTGTTTATTACAACCTGCGTAGCTGAGGACGGGAAGAGTAGGTGCTAGAAAAGGAAACATTTCCACTGGATAACTTTCAATAGTATTACAAATCAAATTTAGGACAAATACGGAATCCTGTTCCTTGTATATACCTGACTTGTATAAAAATGTAGCTTTTGAAATATAATTTCAAATTACAGAGAAACAAAAAGCGGTGCCTAATAAAGTCAATTTACTTGTTCAAAGAAAGCATTACCCATACCACAATTAAATGTAAACCAAAAACTTTGTCACAAATATATTTGTATAAGGTAGATTTTTGATAAGAAACTCTTCCAAACTGATTATCATGAAAATCTCCAAAATCATTTACCAGATGAGGGTTAATTTTTTACATCTGCAATAATTTTTATCAAAATCTAAAACACTGGTACAAATAGCAACCCGCTTTGTTAACTACTAGGTTACCATAGCCAGTGTTAGAATAAATTTCAAGACAAAAACAGTTTTCAGATTGATTTTTTTCTAAGGAAAGTTTGACATACTTCCAGAATAAGTTTGTGTCCTCTACCAATCTAGACATGTTTTGTTGTTCTTTTGTTATAATTTATATAATACAGTATATATTATACAGTAAAAGTAGAGCTAAAACAATTACATTATTTCAGTAAGAAACGAATAATTCATACAGTAGGTTGATTTCAGTTTATTAAGTTTTCTTACCTGTACATACCTGTACCAGGTAATGTTATTTTCTAATGACTATGAATTTCTACTTTAAAAAGAAACTAATGGATAGAAAATAAATATGAATATTCTTACTAGTATGTTTGTAATATCAATTGTATTCTTATAAATAAAATAAAATATATTTCATGTTAAATAAATTAATGGAAATTCAGGTTATTATTGTGAATGAAGAGTAACAGAAACAATTCTAGCTACGTTTACTAGCAGTAGATGTCAATTCTAGCTACATTTACTAGCAGTAGATGTCAATTCTAGCTACGTTTACTAGCAGTAGATGTCAATTCTAGCTACGTTTACTAGCAGTAGATGTCAATTCTAGCTACGTTTACTAGCAGTAGATGTCAATTCTAGCTACGTTTACTAGCAGTAGATGTCAATTCTAGCTACGTTTACTAGCAGTAGATGTCAATTCTAGCTACGTTTACTAGCAGTAGATGTCAATTCTAGCTACGTTTACTAGCAGTAGATGTCAATTCTAGCTACGTTTACTAGCAGTAGATGTCAATTCTAGCTACGTTTACTAGCAGTAGATGTCAATTCTAGCTACGTTTACTAGCAGTAGATGTCAATTCTAGCTACGTTTACTAGCAGTAGATGTCAATTCTAGCTACGTTTACTAGCAGTAGATGTCAATTCTAGCTACGTTTACTAGCAGTAGATGTCAATTCTAGCTACGTTTACTAGCAGTAGATGTCAATTCTAGCTACGTTTACTAGCAGTAGATGTCAATTCTAGCTACGTTTACTAGCAGTAGATGTCAATTCTAGCTACGTTTACTAGCAGTAGATGTCAATTCTAGCTACGTTTACTAGCAGTAGATGTCAATTCTAGCTACGTTTACTAGCAGTAGATGTCAATTCTAGCTACGTTTACTAGCAGTAGATGTCAATTCTAGCTACGTTTACTAGCAGTAGATGTCAATTCTAGCTACGTTTACTAGCAGTAGATGTCAATTCTAGCTACGTTTACTAGCAGTAGATGTCAATTCTAGCTACGTTTACTAGCAGTAGATGTCAATTCTAGCTACGTTTACTAGCAGTAGATGTCAATTCTAGCTACGTTTACTAGCAGTAGATGTCAATTCTAGCTACGTTTACTAGCAGTAGATGTCAATTCTAGCTACGTTTACTAGCAGTAGATGTCAATTCTAGCTACGTTTACTAGCAGTAGATGTCAATTCTAGCTACGTTTACTAGCAGTAGATGTCAATTCTAGCTACGTTTACTAGCAGTAGATGTCAATTCTAGCTACGTTTACTAGCAGTAGATGTCAATTCTAGCTACGTTTACTAGCAGTAGATGTCAATTCTAGCTACGTTTACTAGCAGTAGATGTCAATTCTAGCTACGTTTACTAGCAGTAGATGTCAATTCTAGCTACGTTTACTAGCAGTAGATGTCAATTCTAGCTACGTTTACTAGCAGTAGATGTCAATTCTAGCTACGTTTACTAGCAGTAGATGTCAATTCTAGCTACGTTTACTAGCAGTAGATGTCAATTCTAGCTACGTTTACTAGCAGTAGATGTCAATTCTAGCTACGTTTACTAGCAGTAGATGTCAATTCTAGCTACGTTTACTAGCAGTAGATGTCAATTCTAGCTACGTTTACTAGCAGTAGATGTCAATTCTAGCTACGTTTACTAGCAGTAGATGTCAATTCTAGCTACGTTTACTAGCAGTAGATGTCAATTCTAGCTACGTTTACTAGCAGTAGATGTCAATTCTAGCTACGTTTACTAGCAGTAGATGTCAATTCTAGCTACGTTTACTAGCAGTAGATGTCAATTCTAGCTACGTTTACTAGCAGTAGATGTCAATTCTAGCTACGTTTACTAGCAGTAGATGTCAATTCTAGCTACGTTTACTAGCAGTAGATGTCAATTCTAGCTACGTTTACTAGCAGTAGATGTCAATTCTAGCTACGTTTACTAGCAGTAGATGTCAATTCTAGCTACGTTTACTAGCAGTAGATGTCAATTCTAGCTACGTTTACTAGCAGTAGATGTCAATTCTAGCTACGTTTACTAGCAGTAGATGTCAATTCTAGCTACGTTTACTAGCAGTAGATGTCAATTCTAGCTACGTTTACTAGCAGTAGATGTCAATTCTAGCTACGTTTACTAGCAGTAGATGTCAATTCTAGCTACGTTTACTAGCAGTAGATGTCAATTCTAGCTACGTTTACTAGCAGTAGATGTCAATTCTAGCTACGTTTACTAGCAGTAGATGTCAATTCTAGCTACGTTTACTAGCAGTAGATGTCAATTCTAGCTACGTTTACTAGCAGTAGATGTCAATTCTAGCTACGTTTACTAGCAGTAGATGTCAATTCTAGCTACGTTTACTAGCAGTAGATGTCAATTCTAGCTACGTTTACTAGCAGTAGATGTCAATTCTAGCTACGTTTACTAGCAGTAGATGTCAATTCTAGCTACGTTTACTAGCAGTAGATGTCAATTCTAGCTACGTTTACTAGCAGTAGATGTCAATTCTAGCTACGTTTACTAGCAGTAGATGTCAATTCTAGCTACGTTTACTAGCAGTAGATGTCAATTCTAGCTACGTTTACTAGCAGTAGATGTCAATTCTAGCTACGTTTACTAGCAGTAGATGTCAATTCTAGCTACGTTTACTAGCAGTAGATGTCAATTCTAGCTACGTTTACTAGCAGTAGATGTCAATTCTAGCTACGTTTACTAGCAGTAGATGTCAATTCTAGCTACGTTTACTAGCAGTAGATGTCAATTCTAGCTACGTTTACTAGCAGTAGATGTCAATTCTAGCTACGTTTACTAGCAGTAGATGTCAATTCTAGCTACGTTTACTAGCAGTAGATGTCAATTCTAGCTACGTTTACTAGCAGTAGATGTCAATTCTAGCTACGTTTACTAGCAGTAGATGTCAATTCTAGCTACGTTTACTAGCAGTAGATGTCAATTCTAGCTACGTTTACTAGCAGTAGATGTCAATTCTAGCTACGTTTACTAGCAGTAGATGTCAATTCTAGCTACGTTTACTAGCAGTAGATGTCAATTCTAGCTATGGTACTAGCAACATTTAAAGAAGAATTAACATCGAGCAGATGATATACTTTTGCACTTAAGTATATCAAAATTTAAACTTTTGTGCCATGTTTTACTCATGCAAGCTTTGACCCCTATATAAACAGATATTTTAAACAAAATCCATACCAGGCAACAAGGAAACCGGGTATATACCCACCTACATCTGTATAAACCCGTTGTCTACAGATGACTTTTGTTTTCCTGGGTTACCTAGTAAATCAAACATAATTTAAGGAAGACAACTTTTCACACAGGAATATGTATGACTATAATTAAATACATATTTCATATCACAACATAAATATGATAATGATTATTGATTATGAATTATGAGAAAAAAAACAATCCTGTTACAATCATATGTACATATAACTTCCATATGCCATTGATATTCACCTCATTAATGAAATACACACCACTTTGTATGCAGTTGAATCTGTGAAGCAGCTAAAGTACAGAGTTCTTACTCATTATGGTTTACCCTTGTCATCTGACAATTTGTCTTCAATAAAACATACAATCTATAGGTATTCAAGAAAGTTGGCATTTGACTTGATGATGTTGACCTTGAAGCACAAGAAGTAGAGGAGAGTTCTGATAGGACGTGCAAAGGTATTGAGCCGCCTGCCTGACGACATAGCTTTTCTCAAAGTACTCTCTCTGATTGCCTCCCACATTAAGACCCTTTCCCAGCTTATTATTACAAACATAAGTCCTGAAAAAGGTATGTACAACATATAAATGTGTATGAACTTATGTTCTGAAATGCACTGACCATATCAAAAGAGGTTTATGTCATTTGAACGTTGACCTCAACTTGTGATTTTGTAATTGCAGTGATGGTCAGGAAAATAAACAACAGCACACTGCCTGGTACTGTGAAATGAGTATGGAGTTTCATAAAAATGTCTTCAAATATGAAAATATTATGCTCCTGATGCTAACCATTTTGACCTTTGACCTCAATTTGTTACCTTGGCATTCGGGTAAATGTCTGGAAAAAACGAAATATTGCTTGGTAATGGTGTACTAAAAGTATATACTGAACGGCCATAATGACTGTAGAAATAGATGCATCTGCAATTTTAAACAATGTATAGATTTCAAAGGTCCTTGTGACCTTCACCTTTACTGTTTGACCATAGCATCCAAGTGAAGGTCTCAGTTAAGTATGACACACAACCTAATTATGAATAATATATCCTTATATGTTTTATCTGGAGTTACCATTATGCCCTTGACAAACATGATAAAAAATTTGACTGAACGTGTGACCTTGACCTTGAATTGAGAGTTTAGTAAATATCCAATGGGACACCACACAGAGATGTTGTATTAACTTTTTCTTCATTTAAAAATTAAAATCATGCTGAAGACATGCAAAATCTTAAATGAAATTTGATCTCAAAATGTGACCTTAACCTCATGGTGTTGGCCCTGAAAACAGCCATGACACATTGTCAATGACTGGTAGTGACTGGTACTTCTATGAAGTTCATAAAAATACCTCCTGTGCTAAAAAATCTATGCACAAATAAAAATTTAAATGGATTTCTGACCTCAATTTGTGAGGGTTCCAAAAATACTCAAATCACACTTGGTGATGGTTTTCATATGGACAGGAAAATATTAATGGACCTACAATGCCATACCATAAGACACCCAGCTTAGATGACCTCATAAAAAAGTTGAATGCAATTCAAGAAGTTTTGCATATCATGTGAATGGAAGCACAAATCATTTGAAAAATATCAATTTGTATTGAAATTGAAACAGAATACATAATCTGAAGACCCGTCTTCACTATGTGAAGGACAACAGTGAAATTTCAATGAACAATATTTATCATCGGCCTGCTCTCTACCTGAACATAGAAAGGACAAAAATATATAGACAGAAATTTGAAATTATTTTTTATGTGAAGATATTTTCACTTAATGTTACTAGCACTTTGACAGATGAATAGATAATATTGCCACCAAATTCTACTAACATATTTCCCAGTACAGTAAACATTGTATGTACAGTACTGAATCAAACACAAACTGAAATGGCTTTGTGTTCAGTAGGAATATAATGATATCACGATAGAATTACACCTAGTAGCTTGGATCTCATACACAATTAAATATAGCTTCCAATCTTGGTACACAGATGTAAACTGTTTATACAAAGTATTGGCAAAATATGGCTAACAAATCCAGTACAAAGAATTTCTAAATAATGATTATAATAGAATATGATTAATTATCGTATACTATGATGGAATGACTGAATCTGTAATTGATTAAATCATATCAAATTCCATAATAGGAAACATTCACCAAAGAAAAACCTTTCTCACATATTACAATAGATTATTAAAATTCTGTTTTGGTTGGAGTGATTTCAATTTTAACAAGTGACAGTTATGTGAGTCTTTTGACTCTAAAAATGGCAAGACAATGATGTATGTGTGTTAATTGACACTAAAGAAGGCAAGACCATGATGTATGTGTGTTTATTGACACTAAAGAAGTCTAGACCATGATGTATGTGTGTTTATTGACACTAAAGAAGGCTAGACAATGATGTATGTGTGTTAATTGAGACTAAAGAAGTCTAGACCATGATGTATGTGTGTTCATTGACACTAAAGAAGGCTAGACCATGATGTATGTGTGTTCATTGACACTAAAGAAGGCTAGACAATGATGTATGTGTGTTGATTGACACTAAAGAAGGCTAGACAATGATGTATGTGTGTTTATTGACACTAAAGAAACAAGACTAAGAAATATACTGACATCAAAGAAATTGTGATATTGGCATGTTCGTTAACACTAAAAAGACAAAGTGACGGGACTGATACCTGTATTTATTGAGAGTAAAAGAGACAGGATTATGAAATGTATGTGATACTGACACTAAAGTATGATCTGGGACTTGACCATCAATGCTGGGTACAGCTATCTATACCAGGTAGGCAAAAATACTGGCCTTGGTTTTCGTCAAGATTATATCATATATAAGGATTTGTTCAGATATTGTAAGCCCTAACCAAAGTAACATACAGTAAAGTAAAAATTGTGGATTTTCTCTTTTAACGAACAAAGGATTTCAGCTATAACACTGCAGAAAGAAATTGTCAATTCATATAAAAAGAGTGTAAAACTTTGTAGACAACAATATGAACACAAAATATCTCAAACAACTTTCTCTACCCATATCATCTAGTTAGTTGACCGTAAACCAGTAACCATCTGACTTAGAGAAAAAAGGGTTGAGAAGACAACAACTGGCAGAGGTAAGCAGTCTGTGGGTTATATTACATGCTTCATTTCATCTGCTAATATGGCAAGCAAGCTGTTTCATATTATTAAATAGCCATTTTTCTTCCTAAATGTCAAAATGCTAAAACACGAGGACATGCACCATTAAAAACCATTACGGTTGTCATGGATCTATTACAAATACTAAAACATTTTAACTGCAATTAAAACATACTGTGTATCTACTACAGTAACGTGTATTAACAGATCTGAATTCTTTGGTTCCTATTTTCGTTGTACAGTCATCGAGAACACTATAGGGTTACATTTTATCAAAAAGGAAACAAATAATTACATTAATCAAATCAGATCTACTTTACCTAAAAAGAAAAGTTGACAATACCAATAGAAAACTTAATAGGAAGGAGATGTTGTCTAGAAACCTTAACTTACCATTTTGTATACACAGTACAAATATAGAAAATTACAATACAAATATACAAGTTATAACATCATCTTTAAAAAAAGAACATTGCAATGGATTTGAGATTTCAGAATTTTGAATTTTGTTTACATGAAACACGATAAAGAAATCATCAGAGTAAAAATTCAGTAAATTACTGACCTATGTTGAAAACAAGAAATGAAATACAATTGTATGACCGGAATAGAACTCACCATACCGTGGTTTTTGGATCATAGCTTGAACACTTATTTATTAAACTGTATTTCATAATGTCTTGTGTGAAAAACCAAATGTATGATATTGAATCATGTATAGTCTAGTAGACTGTTCTAGGAGGTCTGGGAGGGGGGTCTACTCCCAGCTTGTTCTCCAATCTTAGGCTACTAGTTTGTATCAGGAAATGTTGTTGTGCTTGATGAAAAAACAAATTGAAAAGTGAGTCGGCTTTTTACAATAAGCATAAAATGGAAAAATGAAAAATATATGTGATGATCCATTTTAATCTCATACAGTTGAGCTTTGATAATCTGCCATCTTTGTTCCCAGCAAAACTGGATAGTTTGTGAGACAGTTTGTATAGAATTGCCAGATAAGTTGTGGTTGGATAAATGAGGCTCAAATGTACTTCAATTAAACCAAATGTTAGTTTGTTACAATTCTATACAAAAATACAACCTTTGACATTAAAAGTATTTCTAAACAGAAAATTCCCCAAAAAATACATTTCTGGAGAGCACACACCATTGTCAGTTTAACAAACACTGAATTAAGAGTGTAATAAAGTTCACATACAGATTCTTAACCCACAAGATTGTTGTTACAAATGTGACATTTGAAAATTTTAGTGAAATAAAGTTAAAGAGAAAACTTACAGAAAAATATGTTTTCAATAAAAAAAAACCATCAATACATTGTGTTAAATCTATCCATATTATCTTACCCTGCACAATGACTAATTCTAAAATAGCACAGCTAAAAATCATATCCATGTGTTTACTGAAATTTAAAAATGCACATATTCAGATTTTGATTAATACAAATATATATTTTTTAAATATGAGGCATATAATATACTTATATATATGTTAAATCACTAGCCTTGGTATCACAGAACTTGCACACAGATACTACACAACCTCACTTCACACGAAACAACAACGTAGGGGTACAGGTATAACTATACACACACTTCTAACACCATCTAAACACTTGAGCCGCTATTGCGTATCCGGTTCAATCAGTTGAAACGGTTGAACCTGAAAGAAAATGACAGGCACAGATCTGCACCGAGGCTGGCCTCAGGTTTATATGCGGCACGTATAGATTGAGGGGTCCAGACGTGCCTGGCCGAACCTACAATGCTGACTATTGCCACTTTCTTTGTTTCTTAATAAAACAATGTCAATTCAGATGCAGATTTTAAGATAGGTTATATGATTTTAGTGGACGCATGATATGTTGTTATTTATTCTCCGAAACTGTGTAGTTTTTATACAGTTCGGTCCAAGTGCGTTCGTTTATCCTAAAATATTTCTGCGCCACCTAAACCGTTTCAACCAGGATATGCGAATGCGACCTTAGCTATGTCAATACAGAAAAGCAAGTGTTGTTTTTAAGATAGGTACGCAGCCTACATCTTCCTAATAAAGTTGTCACACATAGTCGCAATATGACAACTATAACATTACACATCTTTTATACTGATGCATGAATATACTTGATCATGTTACATCAGTACTCAAGGATATTGCCCACATAACAGTATACTTTTATTATCATATATTCTTTTATACTATCTGATATATTTTTTATAATCTCAGATGAATTCAATGTCAGATCTTAATATCGTTTCATATAAAAATAGGCATATAAGAGATTTTCTTTTCGATGATTATGAATGAGGACAATGTAACAATTCAGGATAGAAAATGAAGAAACTTTACCTTCCCTAAGAGTATTATGGTCCTAAATCCAGATAATGAATATTTCTTTTTTCTTCAAACACAATTTATAAAGGAAATATGAACAAAAATGGAAATGAAATGGGAAGATGTTTAACTTGAATAATGCTGATAAATGTGGCTTAGACTCAAAATCTTGTACAAAAACATTTAAAAATACAATCATTGCATATACTCTTTAGTCCTGACACTGACAGTCGGCAATAATCACTTACTGCAAGCTTATGTTGAGAAATATTGTCTCATACACAATCAGAAAACATCAGTATAAGTGTCTCTTTGGTTTCTACAATCATGTCACTACAAGTGACCCATACATTATACACATACAGAGAATGGCGGGTAAACCACAATGGCTTATAGAGGTTGAAACGTTATAATTGACTTAGAGGATAGACACAAATATCAAGTATATACCTAGTAAAACACAGACCGAGGTAATAGAATGATAAAGGTACAGTGTATACAAGTTTTTAACAGATCCTTCTTCTGGTCATTGGTCAAGGATTCATGTATGTGAGACCAGCTCCTTCTCCAGGACAATAGGGAAGCAGGATAAGTTCTGGGCCCTTTGGAAACTATGACAGCATGGGAAGTTCTGGGCCCTTCGGAAACTGTGACAGCATGGGAAGTTCTGGCCCTTCGGAAACTATGACAGCGTGGGAAGTTCTGGCCCTTTGGACTCTATGACAGCGTGGGAAGTTCTGGCCTGTTGGATGCTATTGGAGCCTGGGAGGTTTGGCTGCTACGGAAGCTTGGGAGGTTCAAGGGCCTTCTGTTTAGATTTGTTCTCCTGTATCGTGTCAAGTTGCTGTACTCCAGACTTTGGATGTGACCATGTAGTCACTTGTGTAATATGACTGAAAATATACAGGTTGTAATTTCAACAATGATCAAACAGACATTGAACACAATAAAAGAATATTTCTAGAGATCACCCATTCTGTACAATGTAAATTGTTATGTATAGTATTAAGGTAAATAGTATTTTTCTGTACTCAACCATTTCCTGTAATGACCTTAGAACAAAGGTTATTTTGTTCCGTGGTTGGTCACTTGATATGGTATAGGTCTGAGATCTATAAGAAATTCTCATTGCTCCCGCCAGTTATTTTTTCTCCGAAAATAATGTAGTTTTTATTTAAAAGCAGAGGTTTTACTGAGAGATATAAACTAGTGAACATTGCTTAATGAAAAAACAAAAGTTGGCTTACTTGATGTAGTACTTCATTCCATCTGCAGTGTAGGCTTCCTCCCAGCCATATGGTAAAGCTGCAACACGAAACAAGAGATTTACCCAATGATTCAGTATCGTAACGAAAATTTACAATTTATAATCAAAATATGAAAACTAAGGTGAACTAGTGGTGAAAAGCTTATTTTTAGAATAGCAGTCTATTATATGTTGGTATGGGGGACAGAGAAATTCCACCCAAGGATATAGAATTTGGGTCAGTATCAAGACTTTGCCATGGTTCAGCAAGTATAGTAAAATGAACTGAAATTTTATAATACTGAGAATTTGCCAAAACTATGTTCAATGAGAAAGTGGAACACACGGTAAGTTATTTGATAAAACTTAAATAACCCTTCTATACTCACGTTCAGACTCTATGATGTTACGGACTGCCTGCACCACTTCTTTGGCTTCTCCGGCCAGAGTTTTGGGTGTGGCCTTTTTGTGTTTCCCGAGATAGCCTGGTGGCCTATTCCCTCTTGCATTTTCCCCTTGTGACCTAGGGTGTAGTTATGGAACACTGATTATTTGATATCAAACCTATTTGATTTTTTTCTTGCTCACTCACTCCATTGAAACTTTTTAACGCCCTTATTACAATGTCACATTTTATACAGAAGACATGCATGTGTTCATTGTAAAGGAAGGGATTCATCAACATCAAACTCAATGATAAAGGACATAAACGTGCAATACAATCACCAGTGGTACTTTTTTTTCTCAAAGTGAATAAAATACAGCACTTTAAAGATTTTTGTAAATTTTTAACTCAATGCAAATTATAAACAAAGAAAGGTTTGCCAAAAAAACAGTTATATTGTGAATGATGAGAATGATGTTCAGTAGTCACCAGATCTCTTTTTGACCTCCCCAACATAGAGCAGAGTGTTCCTCTTATATTTCCAGTCAGGGTACAGTATTGTCATGTAAAACATGTTGTGTTCAAATACTTTTCTGAGGAGGACTATACTTCATACTAATGGAGCCACTTTCCAGAAATTGATACCGTTTTTTAACAAGATTTATATTAGTTTGCAATATTTAGTTGTGGTTACATAGCTTTTTTAAATAATGTGTATAAATCCCTTCCATGCTTTTAATAAAGAATAAAGTAACGAGTTATCACATTACTCATTTGGTTACAGCAAAATGACTACAAAGGTTATATGGGGTTTGTCATTAGGCTACATGTTTAATTGTATATCAAGAAAAGTATTATTTCACATCAATAAGTTTTAAATTGAATTTGAATTTAAAGCATGACTATTGGCCTGTAAGGGCATTCAATTCTCTAGGATTTTTATAGAAATATCCAATGTATACAGTTGGTTTGAGTATCACCTGTAGCAAGATTTTGTCTTTAATGATGAAGAATGACTTACTTGGTTCCGAGAAAGTTGCCCTGGGCCGTCATCGCTTCATGGACATGCTGAGAATAGGAATAAGATTAAATTCTATAAAGCACAAACTTTCAGAAATCTTTAAATATAAACTCATCAACTATAATCAGCCAGCATTAACTGTGTACAACTATAAATCACAAACTTAAAGGACGATAGAAATATAAAGTCATGAAATATAGCTAGCATTGCATTAAAAACTATAAAACACAAACTTAAAGGGCGATGGAAATATCAAGTCATGAAATATAGCTAGCATTGCATTAACAACTATAAAACGCCAAACTTAGAGGGCGATAGAAATATAAAGTCATGAAATATAGCTAGCATTGCATTAACAACTATAAAATACAAACTTCCAGGGCAGCATGGGTACATTCGCGTATCCGGTTGAAACGGTTGAACCAGTAAAGAAAACGACAGGTACAGATCTGAACCGAGGCTGACCTCAGGAAAATTCGGCACGTGTAGATTGAGGGGTCCAACCATACCTGACCGAAACTAAAATGCTGACTATTGCCAGTTTGCGTTATTTCTTTCTAAAACAATGTAGTTTTTAAGATACCTTATGTTATTCAGTGGACGTGAGAGAAGGGCATGATATTCTTGATACATTGTTTTTTATTCTCTGAAACTGTGCATTTTTAGCTCAGCTTATAGAATGGTCCAAATGCGTTCGTTTATCGTGGAATATTTCTGCGCCACACGTACCGTTTCAACCAGGATACGCGAATGAAGCTCTGATACATAAACTCATCAAATATATAACTGTACATCATCTACTCCTATAATATAACAGGCTGCTGGTTGGCCTTTTTTTCTATCAGATATGACTTTGTCGACTGCTACTGTCAAAAGTATCTCGCCATGTAAACCTCTAACACTGTTGGATTATATACATCCTCCAGATAAACCTACCAGATACAAAAGCTGTAATGGTTGTATAAAACATTAACACTTTTAATCATTCAGGTCATTCTGTTAGGACATAATTTCTGGGCAACCTGGAATGCGTTAGTTCTCCCTGGCAAGCCTTGTAATTTTTGTAGTCTCAAATGTAGATTTAAGGATAGAAACAAATTTTTCATCTATAATTGAATACATCATGAAATATAAGTGTAAGCAACTGTGGATTGTGTATCTGTCATGCCGGGAACAATCATTTCCATCCTTGTAGAACACAAGCCATTAACACATAAAATTCTGCAATAACGTTAACTAGACGATGGGTGCTTGAGAGTAAAATAAAACAATTAAATAATACCATATACTGATTTAAATATAAAACACACTTTATTTCCTTAACCACAGTTATGAAGCAAGATGTGAACATAAAATAAACACTTTTGTCATCCCAGGTAGGAAACCTGAATATCCTCAGAAAAATCGCTCTTTCAGGGAAATGAATCCATGCTGTCGTTGTGAAAAGTGTAGTGTGCTAGCCACTATTACACCTGACCACTTTAACATTTAATAGGCATTGAGCTAAAGTATGTACAGAGACAACAGTTATATACAACAGCAGTTCTACAAACCTCTGCGAACTGAAGAAGTTTCTCTGTAGACACCTCATAAGCTTTCTTCCCAGCTTCAGACTTCTTCAGTTGACAGTTCAATACTGCAATCTTCTGCTGCATAGATGGGCTCTGCAGGTCCTGTGTTATAACATGTTAAATCGAGTTCAAGCACTAACTTAATTCTGACTTAAGATGTAATCACATAACAGATACATGTACCGACCAGTAATATCTGTGTCTAACTCTATCTTTATGAAAGCGAGTGTTCTTAACCCAGCTTTGCCAGATGATACTTTTCTAATTATTGACACAGAAGCACAAAAGGTATCCTTTAAAAGGAGTTTACTTTATACTTTGAACTCTGATCCGACATATATAACATTCCATTCTACTGAATCTTAACCTGATTTATAAGTTCATCTTAGTGAAACTGGAGATTCTAGTGTCATAGCCCCAATGTCTACGTTCTATACAAAATATCTGTACTTTATCATAGTTCAACAACCTTCAGCAAAGCCAAGCTATGGGGCTACCATTGATATATAGCACATGGTAAACCTCAAACCTGACCCGATTTGCTTTACTTGTTGACCTCTGACCTGAGAAGACTTACATGTTGACCTTTGGCTGGTGCCTTGAGTTTGGCAATCTCTCCCTCCAGTAGCTGTACAACCTCCTCGTAGTCCTGCTCCATACTGCGGGCGGCTCGCTGGGCCTGCTCAGCTAACTGGACTTTGGTCTTCAGAGACTTGGTCTCCTCTATAGCTCCTTGTGCTCTCTGTAACAGATTACACAGTCATATCTGTATCTCTATTACACTAGTATAATCGAAAACTATTTTATTGAGTGTATTTCAATAACTGGAATGGTCATCATCTAGAACTAACATATCAGACTGAGACCCCTATATCAGCCATAAAGGCTACATTGTTATGATGGTTAAATGTTGATATGGACCACAGGGACTTGACACGTTCCTATGACCCAGAATGAAAAAAAATACCCCCATGGTCCAACCCCCAGATCACTTATTGTCAATAATAAGTGATCTGGGGGTCGGACCATTGGTATTTTTTTCATTCTGGGTCATAGGAACCTACCAAATCCCTGTGATATGGACTATAACATAAAAATTGCAATCATAAACTTTTTATCACAAGATTCAGATTCTCAGCAATCATTACACAAACTAAAACCGATGTCACCCAGATCCAAACTCCATCCCCAGTGATATGGGTGAGGTTATTCATGTGTTATCACATATCCCCAAAAACACATTTTAATCAAGTATAAGGTAATGCATGGTCATTATCAACAACAACACCTACCTTCCTGATGCTCTGTAAATCCTCTTCTGCCTTGAAGCAGGATGATTCTTTTTCTTCTAATAACCCCTGAAAAATAGGTTCACATTTTTCATGTTCAGAAGGAAACTCAATTTGACCACTTGTAGGGGAAACAAATTAAATATACATTCCATCCTCAAAAGTGGTCAAGTGACACTTTTGACCCTTTAACCTTGAACAATGACCACCAAAATCTAATTAGGTGTAGAACTGATGTGCCTTGAGTGTGACCTTTGGCCCTCAACCTTGACTGATCACCACCAAAATCTAATCAGATGTAAAACTTAAAGGTTACAATACTATGTTGTCAATATAAAGATAATCTGTAGCAGGGTCCAAGAGATATTTTGTACACAAGCTTTTTACACTGGATGGACAGACGCACAGACAAAGTGATTACTTTGCTATGTACACTAACCAACAAGGTGGGAGTTGGGGTTGGAAGTGGGGAGGGAGGGGGTAGCGACATAATTAAACATGAGGACTATTACCTTTAATCTTATCACTTCTTCTCGGAGCTCATTTCTTTCCTGCTGCAGACTAATCAGATCTTCATAGTTATTTTCTCCAAAATCTGTGATGATGCTCAACTGAAAGGTAATTTAACATATTAAATGATAAACTTTATAGTTTTAAATTTTATTTATGGTTAATCCTCATTAAAATAGAATTGTTTAACATGGGTACAAAGGAACAGAACTTCACAATGCATCCCATAATGACATCTAGTGTAGCAATACTAACTGTATAACGGTTAAACTGACCTATTCATCTTGTGCCAGAAACTCATCAAATGGGCCATGGTACCAAGATATCAAAACATGAGCACACTGTCACAGAACTGACTGATAATTTAATAGATCTTCCTAACTTGTGCTCCTCTTTTCTTTTTTCATGTGAGTGTTGCTGTTTCACAACTTTTAGGTTCAATACACTTGCATTTCGGACTACGTTTTTGTCATGATTCTAGTTTGGGATGGTGGATACAGTTTGATCCCACTCCTTCATATGGGTCACACTAATTTAAATTGGTTCCTCTTTGTCCAGGAAATTAATTATTAAAGTCCATGCTTATAGGAGCATATACATTTTCTTTGAAAAAATATATGCATACAACGTAAACAGTGCCATGCTTTTATTAACACTGAGAGAATTAGGGAGAAAAGTACTTAATTGGATAGTCATCAGAGTACCTCATTTACAGTGCATATATTTAGACTTCAGACATGTTATTACAATCTTTTCTCTTTCAAAAAGCCGGTACTAATGGTAGCTTAACATATTAGTACACTGTATACCTCAGGATTAAATGCTGGTGGTTCTATAATAAAGGTGAGATCTCGGGCAGCTTAACATATTATTACACTGGCTACCTCAGGATTAAATGCGGGTGGTTCTATAATAAAGGTGAAATCTCGGGCAGCTTAACATATTAGTACATGGTATTCCTCAGGATTAAATGCTGGTGGTTCTATAATATCGGTGAGGTCTCGGGCAGCTTAACATATTAGTACATTGTATACCTCAGGATTAAATGCTGATGGTTCTATAATATAGGTCAGATCTTGGGAAGCTTAACATATTAGTACACTGTATACCCCAGGATTAAATGCTGGTGGTTCTATAATACAGGTGAGATCTTGGGCAGCTTAACATATTATTACACTGTCTACCTCAGGATTAAATGCGGGTGGTTCTATAATATCGGTGAGGTCTTGGGCAGCTTAACATATTAGTACATTGTATACCTCAGGATTAAATGCTGATGGTTCTATAATATAGGTCAGATCTTGGGCAGCTTAACATATTATTACACTGGCTACCTCAGGATTAAATGCGGGTGGTTCTATAATATCGGTGAGGTGTCGGGCAGCTTAACATATTAGTACGCTGTCTACCTCAGGATTAAATGCGGGTGGTTCTATAATATCGGTGAGGTGTCGGGCAGCTTAACATATTAGTACACTATCTACCTCAGGATTAAATGCTGGTGGTTCTATAATACAGGTGAGATCTTGGGCAGCTTAACATATTAGTACACTGTATACCCCAGGATTAAATGCTGGTGGTTCTATAATATCGGAGAGGTCTCGGGCAGCTTAACATATTAGTACACTGTCTACCTCAGGATTAAATGCGGGTGGTTCTATAATAAAGGTGAGATCTCGGGCAGCTTAACATATTAGTACACTGTCTACCTCAGGATTAAATGCTGGTGGTTCTATAATATCGGAGAGGTCTCGGGCAGCTTAACATATTAGTACACTATCTACCTCAGGATTAAATGCTGGTGGTTCTATAATATCGGTGAGATCTCGGGCAGCTTAACATATTAGTACACTGTCAACCTCAGGATTAAATGCTGGTGGTTCTATAATATCAGTGAGATCTCGGGCAGCAAACAGCATCGCTCCAGCACCAATGTCCCTCTCCCCCAACTCCACACGGAACAGGTTCCTGGCCACTGCCACAAAGTCTAGAACAGAAATTATTTCTTGTTATTTAACCAAGGCATGTTCAACCATTATTCATGTCAGCCTGTTTATTTATCTGTAAATTATCACTGAGTATTCTATGCAGTGATCCAAGCACATTCATACCTGAAATTCCACTGAATATATTTTCTTGATAACTGATCATTCTACTGAACCCTAAACATGGTCGGAGACCTAGACATTCAGGTTTGAGATATATATGAGACACTGGACCCATGCCTGATAATGAGATATTTTCAATGTTACCATACCTCCGTAGTTAACAGAACCAGAGGCATCAATTTTAAGTTGTTCCCTCATCAGCTTCTGCTGTTCCTCAGTAGGATCCAAACCGAGATATCTTAGTGCCTGAAACACAATTTTACTTAAATAACAAAAGTCAAAACTAAAGTAGTTTTAAAGCACTTTTACATGTTTCCCAATTAAGTAGGCATATATATATATATATATTTCACACTGAACTCCCACAAATCAATGCAAGGAATCTCAGAACTAGTACTACCAGACAAAGGCTAACTTACATACTTCCATGGCCAATATGTGTCAACTTGAAAGAAATACTTTATACCAGGAAACTTTTGCCCAGTCAAAACTTCAACTTAGACTGCTAAAATCAGTACTCGTCCAGTGTTCATTTCGCCCTTCATATTTGTTTACTAGTGTTGACTCTTATGGTAAATTTGCCCCTCATTACAGTGGAAGAAAAATGAACAATTTCAACTGCAGGAAAATTTCAGGTATACAGTATTATGCAAACAGTATGTTTGATAGACATTTCAAACTATGAATGTAAAACCCCAGGACAACAGATAACACAGTAACTCCATCATTTTTCATACAAATCATATCAAAAGGGATGCATTAGAATGAAATCAATCAGAAAACTAGATAAAGACCAGAACAGCATGTGTCCTTAAACATATGTGTATATGTCTCACCACTTCTAATTTCTCTATCTTTAATCTGACATGAGGATCCAAGGACAGTTTGCGAGATTGTGACAAGCCAATGGACTTTGAATGATGATTTCCAGACTGAGTATTCAAGAAGGAATTTCCTTGGTCAATCTGGGATCCAGGCATAGTAAAGGCACTCATTCCATGTACTGGAGAGGGCTCCTCCATACCAAAAAGGGAAGACACCTCAACAGTGCCAGTCATTCCTAGAAAGAGTAGAGCTGTTGTAATAATGATAATTAATTAATTACAATAATATTTTGTTTTGAAAAGCTTTACAATTTCTTTTTTCCCCATAAGGAAAATGTGTTGAGATACAAAATGTACTACTGACCTTTAACCTGTGGCGTTGAGGCCATTTTGGGTACCATCTTCCTGTCAACAGCCTTTGGCAGACCATTGTGTTGTGATGAGTGCACACCATTAGTTAACACTAGGTCCTTGTCTCTGTCATTCAATCTCTGATGGAAACAAAATCAAATGAAAGATATTAGAACAAGGAAAAATAGCGGGTGGTGGGGGTGAGGGTGGGGGTATTACTAAACTCCTCAACGGTAAATGAGCACAGTGCTATATAATATTGTAAATGTTTTTCTTTTTATTAGTAAGAGTCAACACTTATGGAAAAAAAATGCTTCTTTAAGTGAGCAGTGATATCTGTATATACTAGGTGTGGTGTTACTTAGAGTTATAGATATTAGTTACCTTGGTTACAAATTCTCACTATGATATGGGTCAAAAGCGAGGGGCTGGATTATTTATCACTTTGACATCCTAGGATCCATCAATATACAAGGTTAATTCGATGTTATAGTATATGAGACTTTTAATATGGTAATGGCCAAAAGTAAAACAGGTCACAGTGACCTACTTTTAGTATATGTATGTTATACTGCAATACCAAGATATGTCCCTAACCATGACGATGTTGTTTGGTGCTCAAAGAAGTTATGCTTCTAACAAACTTTTTCAGTGATAAAACTCAAAGTGACCTACTTTGAGCATTCAACATTTCACCATTCCAATATGTATTGCTGTACCAGATTTGGTACTTACCAAAGTTAAAGTATAGTATATAACCTTTGTAAATATAAAAGCCAGGTTGAAATGTTGTTCACAGTTACAATATTTGAGTATGACACACTCCTTAACCAAAAAATATGTTTCATGACCAAATTTGGAAATCTAGGTCAAAAGGCATAGGATATATGCCCGAGACAAAGTGAGTGTGGTAGGACAGATGGAGAAATGAGATGTAATCCTACAGTCCCTCTGGTAGTACTTAATTTTAAAGCATACATTAAAATATCTGACACGTTAGTTTTAAGTTTGCACAACTTTAAGACTGACATTATATCTATAACAAAATTACTGCGAAGTGGTACAGCAGTAGTTTGTATTGTTGAAATACCTGGTATATAAAATATTTGTGAGTAATTTATGTTAAAGGAGAAACTAATTCAACAAACCTGGTAAATCAATGAGTACAATAAAACATCTTGGAATACATATAGTACTGCATTCATGAAACCAAGGGAAATAAGTTTATTAATTATGGTCGGATAATTGTGATTATATTCACACCGCAGATTCAGGGGGCATAACTCCATAAATTACAGTCGGATAATGGTGGTTATCAAACCAGGCTCTCATGGTAATCAACCTTCCCAAGCGGTTTCAAGCTAATCTGTTGAAAATTACTGATGGTATAGAGCGGACATTGTATAAGCAATTTATCAAAGGGGCATACCCCAGTTATTACAGTCAGATAATGGTGGTTATAAACTTGTCTGAGCTCTCATGTTAATCAACCTTCCCATTAAGATTGAAGTTAATCCACTGAAAATTACTCATGGTATAGAGCGGACATTGTATAAGCAATTGATCAAAGATGCATACCCCAGTTATTACAGTCAGATAATGGTGGTTATAAACTTGTCTGAGCTCTCATGTTAATTAACCTTCCCATTAAGTTTGAAGTTAATCCACTGAAAATTACTCAAGATATTGTGCGGACACAGTGGACACAGTGCTCGCCTGTTTGCCTGACAGCCAGCTATTAACGTGATAACATATATGTCCCACCTTTTGACGGTCATATAAAACATTTCATAAGAACTGGTTCAAATTCTAGGTGAGTCATAGCTGTGTTTATACTTGAGTTATCTCCCTTACCTGTACTGGTCCCCTAGGACTCATCTTGGATCCAGATGAGTTTCTTGGGCTAAGGTTACTTGACTCACTCACACCATTCACTTCCGGAGATATACCAAAACTGTCAGTCCCTGTGGAAATAGTCAAATACACGATGTTGAGTTGACTTGTTATTTTTGTTACAGGTTTTAGAACTTCACAATAGCTAAGGTCAAATAACAATGGTGACCTTGTTATAGAGCTACAAATATCTTTATTTTCAATAAAATATTTAACAATTGACAATGGTGTTGCTTTAACTGTTTTTGTTTGCATCCAATTTTTTTAACGTTTAAACATACCAGTTTTTAAAGATCAATAATTTTTATCCTGTAATTTGAAAATCACATATCAAACATAAGTAAGCAGTAAAAGTAATTTTACATCAAACTCTGGGAAATAAGAAATATCAATTGGAAAATTATTTCTATATAAAATTTCAAACAGGCTATTAGAGAGAACAAGAGGCCCTGCATCGCTCACCTGGATATTTCAGCAAAATATTCTCAATAACAGTACTTTTGCTAATATTTCCATAAATTAAGTCTTCTTGGCTTTAGAATGTGCAAGACTAAATGAAATTTTATGCTACTCTATCCCAGCATGCTATTGATCCAGTATGATCAGCCAGGGCCTCCTGGTATTGCGAAAGAATTTGTTTAAAGACATTTACATATTTAACCCCTGTGTCCTCGAAAGTATGTCAAAGTAATTTATTTCGAGAAACTTTATATCACTCTGTCCAAGGTACCTACTGGCCAAATATCATTGCTTTAGGCCTCTTGTAATTCAAAAGAAGATGTTTAAAGTTTTTTAACACTTTTTACCCTTGTGACCTCGAAAGTAGGTTAAAGTAATTTATATGGGGAAACTTTATAGCACTCTATCCCTGGAACCTACTGGCAAAATATCATGGCCCTAGGCTCTCCAGTTCTTAAGAAGAAGTTGTTCAAAGAAAAAGTTTACAGACAACAGACAACACACCATACCATAAGCTAAACTGGCAGTTCGTGCTAGGTGAGCTAAAACAACCACTGCCATGTATTATTTATATTCAATACAAATATTGAAAAAGTTAACCCCTGTATTTCAAAAGAAAATAACAAAATTTTCTGCAAAAAGGTTCAGAATCATCATGTTTGACTCATTCAACCCTGAAGACATATTTGAACTTCTCCTATTCAAAGGTTGGAATAGTTCATTATGAAATTTCAGGGGCTATCTGCAAATCAAGATCAGTAAATTACCATATCCTGACGGCGTTGTTGACCTTGAACTGTGCTTGCTCTGTGAATCTGTTGGTACAGGTGTACTAGGAAAACTGTAACCATTTTGTTTCTCCAAAAGCTCTATAAATTCTAACCTGCAAAAGGAATATATGTATTGATATATCACACATGGACACACTTTTATTTATATGTTTTCTTTTTATTACATCAACAGCAATAGCACGGTAAGTATTAACCGTCATTCGTCCTCTTATTGGAGTGATGGCCTAGAAGGACATCACAATCCCAGCCAAATTGTCTTATCAGAATTTTATTTGGCAGTTCAAAATAAACAGCATTTAAATATGAGCCTGAAGAATAAATCAAATAAATGTTGACATGGAAAGACATTAGAATTGTTTCAATTTAAGTAAAAGACATCAATATGGTAGTTAAAAGTATCCCCATATACTTACACCCAAAGTTACAAAGTAACAGTAATACCATGCATCTGAATGACATATCATTTATGTACACATGTAGCAGACATTAGGGAAAGATTGCAGCATCAAAATGATTTATAAATATCATGTACAAGTTGACTTTTTGTTTTGTGATAAAGAATGTGTTGATCAAATCTAAAGCAGGTATAAACTTACTTAGCCTGTTCATCATTTGTTATGATCATTTCCACCTTGCTCGAAGCTGAAGCCTGTCGCAGTATTGATACAGCCCTGTGGATAAATATAAAATAATTGTATGTGAATATATACATACATGTAATATAATCATTCAGACTAATACCTCAGATATTATTGAATCTAGAATATATAACCGTATCTGAATTTTATAGTGAAAGTTATTTTGGTTATTTTATACAGGTTGATTAAAATACAAAATTTGCAGCTAGCTTTTGTATTTCATCAAATCTGAATGACGAGCAACCAAGGGCTTGTAGCAGTGACCACAGCAAGGACTTAAAGCATGTAGCTATAAACCCTCAAGGTTTCATTGCAGATTTGGTTAATATGATTTGTCTTATGGTTCCATTGATATAAACTAGAAAATGTCTGTAAGACATGAATGCCCCCAGTCACCATGTGAAATTAGTTTCAGTGTTTGATATTGTCAGGGACATAGAACATTTATTAAGTGATTTTATATAAAACATGTCAGCTGTTTTCCTTAATTAAATCTAATTTCTATTTTATTTTTGTCAAATTTTGTTGTTAAAATGTATTTAAATTTATATGTGATGTGTTTGTGTTGATTTTAGAGCTAGAATAATTTTAAAAAAACCATGATTGAAATGTTTGCAAAGTGTACATATACATGTATTTTTAAAAAAAGTGAAAAAAATTCCTTACAAGATATTGTTCATATGTACACATACTCATCCTTAAGGCTGGCTTATATTGAAAATTTAAAAAGTTCATAAATAACAAATATATTCTAAACAGAATAACAATTTGCTAAACATAGTTTTCAAATATCCTTGTATTTGTACAAAGACACCACGATTGCATGTAAATTTACAATCACCTTTCATTGGTGACGCCTTCCAGACTTTCTCCATTCACCTCGAGTATCTGATCCCCTTGCTGTAAGTGTCCTGTAAAAAATCAATGGCACAATTATCTTAAACAGACAAAGCAATCAAGAAATTTCCATGGTTTACATGTGGCTTACTGTGTTTGTCATTTTCAAAGTCAAACAGTAGCCTATGAGCTAGGATTTTTTTTCAAGATTCAACCTGAAAGCTAAAATAGCTTCTAAATCTCATTTCAGTGCTTGTGCTGGTCCATATTAAAAAACAGCCATTATATAGATTTGTATCAAACTTAAAAGTCTTCAAGTAGCAGCCCGAAATTAAAGGAATGTAAACAATTTAAATACCAAAAGTGGGGATATTTGAGTATATACTATCAAACATATTCTAAAGTAACATGACACAGTAACCTAGTACTTAGTTTATAAACTGGATGTAGGAGGTGAAATGTTTCGGATGGCATTTTTTTTAACATCCTGCATTAATGAATACCTTCAATGTCAGCCAAACCTCCTGGTAAGGTTCTTTTCACAAATATCCCATTGCTTTCTCGACCGTCAACACTACATCCTCCACAAATTTTAATTCCTGTGAAATAAAGGGTACAACATGTAGCCAAGTAAACAATCTTTTATAAGATTACTTTCAACCTAAACAATAGTACTACAATCTTAAATACATTGAGGGATATCTTTGATGATGTAATACATTACCATAAACCGTTCATGTGTGACAAATAAAGTTTTACCTAGTCCCTTAGAGCAATCTTTGTAAACGATCAACTCAGCATCTCTTCCTTCATCTTCCTCGTCACTTCTGTAAATTAATAGAGACAAATATAGACATATTAGCTTACAGGAAGAAACTTAATAAGACAAGAGGCCCAGAGGGCCTTATCGCTTATCTGAATATATGTTAAAAATAATTGGTATGAAGTAAAGATATAGCACTCTATGGTAGGTGCTGTAAGTACATATGAAATTTCAGAAAGATCAATCAAGTACTTGAGATATAGCAAGAACAAACTTCAAACAGAGCCCCACCCCAATGCCCTAAGGGGGTCATACCCACCATTTATACAAAATTGAGTCCCCAAGGATGCTCCAGACTAAATTATCATACAATCCCTTAATCCCTATGGTAGAAAAAAGATTTTAAAAGTCTTACCTCTATTTCCCCTATTGGGCCCTGCCTCTAGCGGGGTCAGACACAATGTTTATACAAAATTGGTTTCCCTTCACCCAAGGTTGCTTCATACCAAATTTTGACAAAATCCTGCCATTGAAGAATTTGCTATATTTCCCCTATTGGGCCCTGCCTCTCTGCCTCTAGGGGGGTCAGACACACTGTTTATACAAAATTAGGTCCCTTTGCCTAGGATAGCTTCAGACTAAATTCTAAATTAGGATAATATCCCTTAATCACTATGGTAAAAGAAGGATTATAAAGGTTTCACCTCTATTTCCCCTATTGCCCTATTTATACAAAATTGGTTCCCCTTTACCCAAGGATGCTCCACACCAAATATGGACCAAATCCTTTCATTCCTACAGAAGAAGAAGGATTTTAAAGAATAATTTGCTATGTTTCCCCTATTGGGCCCCTCCCCTCAGGCCCCTGGGGGGCCAGACCTACGGTTTTTATAAAATTGGTTCCCCTTCATCCAAGGATGCTTCAGACCAAATATGAAACAAATCCTTTCATTCCTACAGAAGGAGAAGGATTTTTAAGAATTTGCTATATTTCCCCTATTAGGCCCCGCCCCTCAGCCCTCAGGGGGGCCACACACACTGTTTATACAAAATTTGTTCCCCTTCCCCAAAGGATGCTCCTGACCAAATTTGGTTAAAATCTGCTCAGTCGTTGTATAGGAAAAGTTGACGGACGGACAACAGACGCTGCAGTATGGCATTAGCTCACCATGGTCCTTCGGACCAGGTGAGCTAAAAATTAACAGGAACATTGATATGGACATTGATAGGGAACATTGAAAGGGAACATTGATAGGGAACATTGATGATAGGGAATATTGATAGGGGACATTAATAGGGGACAGTGATAGGAACATTGATAGGGGACATTGATAGGGACATTGATATGGGACATTGATAGGGACATTGAAAGGGGACATTGATAGGGACATTGATAGGGGACATTGATAGGGACATTGATGGGGAACATTGATATGGGGACATTGATAGGGGACATTGACAGGAACATTGATAGGAACATTGATAGGGACATTAATAGGGGACATTGAAATGGGACATTGATAGGGAACATTGATAGGGACATTGATAGGGACATTGATAGGGGACATTGAAAGGGACATTGATAGGAACATTGAATGGGGACATTGATAGGCAGATTGATAGGAGCATTGACAGGATAGTGATAATAACATTGATAGGGACCTACATAGGGAACATTGATGGGGACATTGATAGGGACATTGATAGGAGCAGTGATAAGGAACATTAATAGGGAACATTGATATGGACAATGAAAGGGAACATTGATAGGGAACATTGATATGGACAATGAAAGGGAACATTGATAGGGAACATTGACTGGAACATTAATATGGACAATGAGAGGGAATATTGATAGGGAACATTGACAGGGAACATTGATCGGGAACATTGAAAGGGAACATTGATAGGGAACATTGATATGGACAATGAAAGGGAACATTGATAGGGAACATTGATATGGACAATGAAAGGGAACATTGATAGGGAACATTGATATGGACAATGATAGGGAATATCGATAGGGAACATTGATAGGGAATATTGATATGGACAATGATAGGGAATATTGATAGGGAACATTGACAGGGAACATTGATCGGGAAAATTGTTAATAAACATTAATAGGGAAAAATTAATAGGGAACATTTAAAGGGTAGCATTGATAGGGAACATTAATAGGAACATTGATAGGGATATTGAAAGAGACATTGACAGGGAACATTGACAGGGAACATTGGTATGGAACATTGATAAGGAACATTGATAAGGAACATTGATAGGGGACATTGATATGGGACATTGATAGGGACATTGATAGGGGACATTGATAGGGACATTGATAGGGGACATTTATAGGGGACATTAATAGGGGACATTGATATGGGACATTGATAGGAACATTGATACGGGAAATTGATAGGGGACATTGATAGGAACATTGATAGGGGACATTGATAGGCAGATTGATAGGAGCATTGACAGGATAGTGATAATAACATTGATAGGGACATACATAGGGAACATTGATGGGGACATTGATGAGGAACATTGATAGGAGCAGTGATAGGGAACATTGATAGGGAACATTGATAGGGAACATTGATATGGACAAAGAAAGGGAACATTGAAAGGGAACATTGACAGGAACATTGATAGGGAATATTGATAGGGAACATTGACAGGGAACATTGATCTGGAAAATTGATAGGGAACATTGATAGGGGACATTGATAGGGAACATTGATAGGGGACATTGATAGGGAACATTGATAGGGAACATTGATACGGACAATGAAAGGGAACATTGATAGGGAACATTGATAGGGACATTGATAGGCAGATTGATAGGAGCATTGACAGGATAGTGATAATAACATTGATAGGGACCTACATAGGGAACATTGATGGGGACATTGATGAGGAACATTGATAGGGACATTGATAGGAGCAGTGATAGGGAAAATTGATAGGGAACATTGATATGGAACATTGATATGGACAATGATAGGGAACATTGATAGGGAACATTGACAGGGAACATTGATCGGGAAAATTGTTAATTAACATTAATAGGGAAAAATTAATAGGGAACATTGAAAGGGTAGCATTGATAGAGAACATTAACAGGGACATTGAAAGAGACATTAAAATAGACATTGATAGGAACATTGATAGGGACATTGACAGGGAACATTGATAGGGAACATTGATAGGGAACATTGATAGGGACATTGATAGGGATATTGATAGGGAACATTGATAAGGAACATTTATAGACACATTGATAGGAGCATTGATAGGGAACATTGATAGGGACCTTGATAGGGACATTGATTTGGAAATTGACAGGGAAATTGACAGGGAACATTGATAGCGACATTGATAGGGACATTGATAGGAACATTGATGTATGTTAGTATAAATTTGGTTATCCTTATGGTTTGGAAATAATCAATAAACTCAGCCTCACCCGTTTTCAAACTCATAATTTTGCTCTGTCTCCAGCTGTGTTACAACTATGGTTGACGACATCTCTGTCCCTTGGAATCAATCACATAGTCTGTACTGCAGTCTACAAAAACGCAAGTAAAAAAACATGTGTTTATAGTTGAAAAAAATAAATTTTGGTAACCTCTGCTAGTCATGTGGATGCTTATAACCATCAATTCCCTTAAAGTTATTCAAATAATCTTCAATCACCTTTAACATATTCAAATTCGTTTATAGTGTGCTTTTATAAGCATAAAAGATAACAAGCAATTAATGACTAGTGTTCCATTTGGGCATTAATTACTAATACATGCTAGTGTAGCTGATCAGTTACATAGCTTTTATATAGTTAATAACGGTTGATGCTACCTGTCCAAATTCTATATTTCAAGAATGGAGGTGAAGCTAATATGAAATTAAAACAATTGAGACAATAGTACCTACATAAAACAAAGTTATTGTATGCAACAACATGAAGTGTTTTAAATATCTTTGCTAGGACTAGATTCTAGCAGTTAATATCAACAGTCTGACTTATCCATTGCTCTTCTACTCTTTTAATGGAATGTAATAGGAGATTGAAAATGCACGGCAAGACCAGGGTTCGAACCTGGGACTCTCCGAACTCTAGACTGACTCTCTACATCAGAATTTATGTTTTATGCGCTAATGTACCTCATTGTATTATTCATTCTGTTTCACATGGATGCCTTCAATAAATTGAAGCATATCGGTAGTAATTATCGTGTCAGGTTGTTTCACCCTAAATCCTGTTCGCACTGGGTCGTTTCGAAGTAAGTTGTTTTGCCCTAAAAATATTTTTAGAGTGAAATATTTTAGTCCTGTTTAGTTGTATATGGCAAAGACAGTCTAATCTCAAGGTTTTCTATGTCTCCTTTAGTCATTTTTGTTTTTAGTCTCGTTAGAAATACAATGTAACTACACACCTCATGAAATTCTTTTACCAACACAATTGTTCGTGATATATAAAATAGAAAGCTTTTTTAATCATTTGAAACATTTCGACAGATACTTATTACTTAAAAATGTGAACGGGATTTATGGTGAAACGACCCGGATCCGTAATACGAAGCCCTAAATGCATTCAGCCATTTAGGTGATCATGAACGGTTCCGGGTTGTTTCGCCCGAAATCCTGTTCGCCCTAGCGCTAGGTTGTTTCGCACTGAAACAAAAATATTAGGGCGAAATATTGTATGGTATTTTCTTTCAATTTTAGTATTTTTAAGTCACAAATTAAGTCTTCTTAGTCTTCCATATAATTAAATTCAATATCATAGAAAAAATGTGTTTGTCTTATTTTTAAGCGAGTGTGACAAACGGCAGCTGTGAAAAGCTGACTCCGCTCTCACATACTCTACTTGAAATATAGCTCACATCAATGGAGAAGGTTATCAATAAATTTAGTTGATATATTTGAATATTACATATAAATTTTAAAAAAAATATTTAGGGCGAAACAACCTAGGTCGAACAGGATTTAGGGCGAAACAACCCTAAGCGCGAACGGGATTTAGGGCGAAACAACCCGTTACGATCATGAACTAAGTAAACCTTGCATTACTTGTAAATGCTACAAACATTACATGACCCGCTGGCCTGGCATGAGAACTATACAGTAGGCCCTAATATAATGCCAATGTTCTGGGGAAATGTTTTGGGTTACAGTATGGCTACTCAGTGAGTAATTGGCCAGTCTGCGGGTGTTCAAGAAGACATCTGCAAAGCCTGTTACCTTCCAATCTTCATAAACGAGAAGACGTCTTTCGCCATCAATAGATGCTCACCAGAGTACAAGAATATAGATAATCGTCATTCGAGTATTGAGTGAAATTATTGAAATAACTGTACGGATTTGTCTCTGTGTGTACAAAGGAAACGGAAATACTTGTAAAAATGGCGCATGCTTCGTAAAGTCTGATAAAAAATATTACCCACAAGCCAATTCGTGCTTCTTCTTTATCGCCGCCATAGCAGCTTTTGAGGAATATTATCATTAATTTAAATAGAGGATTCCTTACGTTTGATTGAATATAGAAGACTCAGGGGTATCTCAAAATGTGCCAAGTACTTCAAATTTAGCAAATATTTTAGCTTGACGATCAAAGTGTTGTCATATCATCAAGATTTTGTTTCAAAATGAGGCCTGTTGTGACATAATTTTTCTCATCCTCAACCTATCAGCTGACCCAAGTCGGGACCGTACATAAACGATTGTACATTCCCAACAATTATGGGATCAAGAGGAATACCCGGTGACAAGGTAAACATATTCTCTTTGTATTTGTTTCTTACAGACTGTATACATTGTCTAAATGTAGGTCTATTTCCGTTATTTCCACTGCCACTGGTCTATGGATGGTTCATTTTCAATACACAAAAATCATTGACTTCTAACAGTTAATTCACTTCAACTAAAACTGGAGTCCGTTTCTTTATCCGAAAAAAATGTGTCGTAAAGTAATCATTCAGTGATTCCTTTTTATTTCATTTTAAATTTTGGTTTACACTAACAGTTTGCATGTTTATTTTGGTTGCTGCTGTTTATTTGTGAGCCCTGTTTATTTTTACGGACAATGAGTTGACCTACTTTCAGTAAGTTAGATGTCATTCTGTCAATGTTTGTGTCCGACTGTTACAACAGGCCTAAGTGGTTAAAAAAAATAGTTGCTGCATATATATCAGATAAAATTGACGTAAGTCAGTTGTTTGTGTATTTACTAGGTATAATTTTATAGATCAGGAGGGAGGACAGGGAAGTCAAAGGAATTTGCAGCTGATTATTACCAAAATAGATATTTAGGGCATATGAAATCTGCAGGTTTTAGTATGATTTTACTTATTTTTTTGTTCCCTACCCTAATGCAGGTCCAGTACACTCTGTCTATTGAGCTATAGCTGTAAAGACCTATAATAGCTCTATTGACCTTTTGAGCTATTTTCATGTGATGTTCTTTTTTAAGGAAAACGAAACGAAAGTCACTATTAAAAGAAGATTGTATCATTCATTAGGTTAATAGCAAACTACATTAAATATAAGTATTCTTTTAAAAAAATAATGATGTTAAAAAAAATTCAGAAATTTGACATTTATGAAAAATGAAAATAAACATCTTACTGTATGCTTTTTGTATTCAACATTACCATTAAACTTATTGTTGTATGCGACTTTGCTTTAATTTAATGAAAATTGAAATCTGAGAAAATCTTATGATAATTTTTTCTTTTGAAATAATGAAAAATGAAAAAATAAATCCAAAAGGGGTGTGATATTGGTTTTGCGGGCTGATACAGGTTTTGGGGTGTGATACGGCCGGGGCTGATACGGCTTTTGGCATATTATTACATACTTTCTAATAAATACGTTTTTTTTTTATATGCGATACGACACAATTGCTCTTATCCATATCAGCCGTCGCCGTATCACACCCCAAAAGCTGTATCACACCCAAAACCCAATTCAGCCCGCAAAACCTGTATCACACCCCTTTTGGAAATTTGTCGTTTTTCAATATTTCAAACGAAAAATATATCATAAGATAGTAGCTTTTATTAGTAAGTATGTAATAAACAGATTAAAGCATGCCTTTTTCCATATCACACCCAGTATCAACCCGAGACTGCAATATCGGCCCAAGGCATGGGCTGATATTGCAGTCTCGGGGTGATACTGGGTGTGATATGGAAAAAGGCATGTATTATTCTCTATTTATAGCTATATAGCTCGATCAGCAGAGTGTAATGGACCTGTAATGCTCAATAAAGTCTTCATTTACACAAGATATTTTTATTTGTAAATCTATCAACTTTGATGTCTATGTTAATAGTTAATATGAAGAAAACTTTTTAATGGTAATTAAGTATCCCTGTCACACTTCCCTTTTTTTTGTAACCACCCCTGATTTCATCTTGGTTATAACTGTAACAATTGGGCAAGGATACTGTGGCCAGGTAATATTTGTTTAGTCCAGGGTTTAAATCCTGGTCAAATTCCGCTGAATTTTTACAATCGGGAACATCTTGTTAATGTTTTTGACAAATAAAGAAGATATCTGAGAGAATGGCACAAAAAAAATCCAATCAATTCCTTTCAGCAGGTGCAAGGTTTGCTTTTTAAAAGCAAGACAAAACATGTACAGGATCAATAAATTGAGGACACAAAAGATGAAAGTTATTACCAGGGAACTGTACATGTTCATCTGTGATAATTTCAGGGGTGTAAAAAAAATCAGACTACTAGCCCAAGGCTAGAAGACACTAATAATCCACTAGCCCGAAATAAATTTCTGCTAGCCCGACAAATACAAAATGGATCAAGCTGAAAACATGATCACACGATCTTTATCTCATTCACAGATGGATATGTTTTCCTTAAAAAATAAAATAAATCTTTTTTTGTTGGTTAATAATTTATAACTGATTGCCCTAAAAGTTTTTGAAAGTAAAATAAAAAAAAATCTGCAAATTTTTTGTTTTCTCTCTTCCTGAAAATCAGTCCAGAGTCTGGTTTCACTGTTAGAAAACATGGCAGACTAGTTGACTTTTGGAGAGATGAATTTTATTTCTGTACCCCACGTGCTTAAATCAAATAAAAAGAATGATTTGCAACCAAGAGGGCCATTTTGGTGGTTAGTATAGACTTTCAATGCTATCTTAGTAAGTTAGTTGTGAATAGTGCCCACTTTCACACATAGCACACATGTGCATGTGAAGGCCACAGAAATTGAACCACTTGCATCATCAATATACATTACATCGAGAATGGCTCCTTGTGGTCTGATAGATATTGCAGCCATAATCCTGGAGGGGATCAATGACCCCGCCATGTTCCAGTTTTATTTTTATTTTACATAAAAGGACCCCTCTTAAGTTTGATATTGACTAAAAAAAAATCTGAAAATGACCCACTGTTCTCCAATTCCCAGATTTTCCCTGTATTGTAATGAAAATTACAAGGAATCTACAGGTTTAGAATGTGAATTGATTACCCTTATGGTGATAGAATAGAACAGAAGCATTTTTATTAGTTATACCATGATACAAATGTCACTAGCCCCGGGCTAGCTATATATATATATATATTATATAAAGAAAAATTCTTAACAATGAGTCTTTAGTACTTTCATCTCTTCTAAGAGATTCTTCAGACTGAACAGCGTACACATTAAATATATATATATATATATTATATAGTAAGCCTCTAAATTTCACTATACCATGCTGAAAATCTGGTAGCCCGGGCATCGGGCTAGTGGATTTTTACACCCCTGAATTTGTATCAAAATTATTTTATGCAATGTTACTTTTTAGTTCAATTGGTGATAATCGTGGAATGCAGACATTTCAGTATTTGGTTGTTTCAATACATTTGTCATTTCATCAGTATTAATAACTATTCTAGAAGTTGTTGAAAGACATTATTGAAAAAGATTTTCGGCAATTGGACTGATGTTTTAATCAATCATGATTTTAAATTTTGAGACTATTTATGGATTTTACTCTTTACAAAAAAGGATCCTTTTTTAGGTACTGAAACATTGTTTGGAGTCATCAATTGTGAAAATCATAAGTTTGTTTACAGGTCGGCACTTGGAAACACCTCGCAATTGATATACATGTATGTAAATGACATTATGTTATGTTTTCTTTATTGATACATCTGCCTGCTTTACACATTAATATTTCAGGATTGTTGTATGAAACATGCTAAAATTCAGTAATGATATCTAGATCTGGGCAATTGAAATTGCATTTCAGAAGGTCACTTGCCTGCACAGACGAGTACTTTAAAAGTTTTTCCATGCCCGAGTATGACCTCATATCGTCTCCATATAAAAATGTTTGTTCTGTATCAATTTAATTAGCTTGTAACACCTTAAAAAGGAAAGTTGATTCATGGTACATCAGTGCTCAACATGGATGTTTTATTCTAGTTGTAACGATTGTAAGCATTAGCAGTCAAATTAAGAGTTATATTTATTTAGACTGTAAACTAGATGGTTTATTAAATATACACGGGTAGTATTTTTATAATTCGAATGAATATTATCAGATTATGATATTTTTAAGGCTAAAATAAAAATAAAAAGTTGACTCGGACAAGGAAGATTGTGACAAATATTATAGGGCATTAAAGGGCAACATAAAATTTTAGTACAGTGTTGGCTTGCAGTTGTAGTCCTTGGCTTGGATATTCAAAATATCACATGATGGTCTTATTCAATTAATCAGAAACAAACCTGCTTTTAAACAGTAGGGGTGGAAATTGTCAAGCAATTTTCATACTGCAAAATTAATGGAATATTGCTATATACCCCAATATATTGTATTCCTAGAAATTTAGTACGTTGATGATGATCTATTTTACACAGGTGAAAAAATGAACTTCTAGCACTCGACAAGGGCAGGTGAAATAGACTTGTTTTAATTTCTTAAACATGTTTTTGAATGTGTTTTCCCCCAACTGGGGGTGAATAAATGATTAACTGTCTTAAGTACTAGTTATAACAAAAATTGTAAACACACAAACAATTAGGATCAAACAAAACATCATGATCATGACAAACTATTTTATTCAATTTCCTTGTTTTGAGGGGAAAATACTAGCAGCCTTTCAGTCAATTCAGATGATTTATAAGAATGATGAAAATAACTGAAATTCCAGCTAAAATATACAGTTTTGATAGATAAAGGATATATATATACTTATTGTTATTGACAGTTGATGTACAAATCAACAACTAATAGACAACGCTTTGACATGAAAAACATCTCTGTTTAATTATATTATCAAACAGAAAGATGCCTTGCATTGACATATATTAGTAATAACCAGGCAGTCAGGACCTGGTTTTCAGGAATTTAAAAGTTAACAACAGTAAAAACGGTAATAATACCAAAATAAATTCACCAATGCAATAAAGTCATATAATGTAGAAAAATGGGGGGTGGGGGTTAATATTTTAGGGAAAGGAACAATTATATATACATGCTATAAGTGGATTTCTAAGGTCTATTTCTTCTTCCAGTCATTGCCTCCATCAACAGGTTGATGCTTCTGCAATGTATTTGCCGGGGCAAGTGTTTTGGAAAAAAATAACAACCCGGTTAACCCTGTTTTATTAAGAAAGTTGTTACAAAAATTGAGCTTTCTGTCAAATCATTCCATAAATGTGCTTAATTAACTGCCATCCAAACAGTGAACTATAAATAAAGCTAACCTTTTCACCACCATAGACCATGATGAACTCATCCCAATTAATGCATGGTAGAGTCTACTAAAGTTACCTAGGGGTGAAAAGGGTTGCACAAAAGTCAAATATAAAGTTTTCTTCAAATTTTGTAGTGTCAAAACATATGTCAAGCAGAACTGAAGAGTCAAAAGCTGATTTTGGGGAGTTAAACATATTCTCAATAGTCTATTGAAAGCCCTGAATGTGCAGAAACCTTTTTATTATATAGTATCAGTGATTTTACCCTCAGATCAGAAAAGCAATCCCAACCAAGCCCTTTAACTGTAGAAAACCAGAGTTTTGAAAGAGAGACTTATGGACAACCATGGATAAAATAGAATCTAAGTGGCATAACGAATCATTGTCACCTTTCTCTTCATGAAATAATTGTGATGTCTATGTTATATAATTTGTATATATTTTTTCAGATTAACTTGCGGTTGATCTTAGTAAGTGGGAAATCCAAAGAGTTCCTGTTTACGCCAAACGAGTCTGCGGCAGACATAACAGAACTTGTTTACAACAACTGGCCAACAGGTTGGTATTAAAATAATATTGGATAAGAGATTAAGTATACATACAATGTAATTATGAACAGCTCCATTGATGTCTCTCTTCAGTCTAAGTCTTATACTTGCATAAAAATAATCAACAGTGGGGTTGTTATCGGGTTTGTTCAGACTTGTCAATTTGATTTGAAATCACCTGCAGCAATGTCTTTGTCTGAGAGCTAGCCATGGCCAGTTCCTTTTAACTTGATCTCTAGCTATAGCTAGTTCTTTTAATCTCTGTATTACGTGTTATATTATAAATGATCATGAACTGCTGGAACAGTGGAGTGTAATTCTGTTGATCCACAAAATTTATGTTTGGAAATTTTGACACTGTATACGTACCAGGCATGTGTTTTGCAAAAATACAACAAAGGAAAAAAAACAAAATGATACATTACAATATTTTGAAAATCACTTTTCCATATGTATTGACAAGACACTATACTTAAACAAGAAATTGTATAAGTTCTTATCGTGAAATTTGCTCAATTTTCATTTTAAATACCTTCATTGTTTCCAATGAATTTTGTGGCATCTGTTTGCCCCAAAAGGCTTATATTTGTATGTCATTGTCAGTGTATGGAAGGGGGTTGTTACACACACACAACCGATACTTGTGTGGCTTGTTTAAAATTTATATATCAATATGAATAAACAAAATGATGGTTAGTTTGAACAGTAGATGTTTTGTTTTTCTGTACAGTTCACTCAAAACCATAAAGATATATTATTTATTGGATGAAATATATTCAATTTGGGATGCTATTAATAATGAACTACTTAGTAATGATTGGGATTCCATAGTTAATAACACTACTAGCATTAATGAACTATATTCTACTATTATAAACAAAATAAACTCTGCTACTAACTCTCATATACCTCACAAAACAATTACTGTCCATCCTGATGATAAACCTTGGATGACTGGTGAAATTCGGCATAAATTAAGATATAAGAATAGATTACATAAAAGAGCTAAAAATAAAAATAGGGAACAAGATTGGGCAAAATTTAGAACTTGTCGCAATGACACTATACAAATTATTCGGCAATCCAAAGAAAATTACTTTAAGAAACTTCAAAATTGTCTTGCCGACAAAACAGTGCATCCAAGAAAATGGTGGCAGATAGCAAAATCTATAGGAAAAATGAATAACACTAGCACTAATTCTTATCCTCTAAAATCTAACAATAAAATATTAATCCATCCACAAGATAAAGCTGAGGCACTAAATAACTTCTTTACCACCATTGCCTCTGATATTACTGACACTAACCTACCTGATTTACCTCCCTTATGTCCATTTGAACTTTCTGACATTAACATTACTGAACAAGATATAACTGACCAATTTGACATTTTTAATAAAAACAAACCAGCTGGTCCTGATGGTATTTTACCTATGATTGTAAAGAACATTTCTGCTTCTTTAGTATACCCACTCAAACTATTATTTAATAGAACTTTATCTATTGGAGTAATACCTGATGTACTAAAAACGGCTAATGTTACTGCTCTCTATAAAGGTAAAGGAGATATCAGTGATCTCAATAATTATAGACCTATTGCTATTACATCTATTTTTATCAAAATGTTAGAAAAAAATATTTTTAAATATACGTTTAATTATATTTCAAGTCACAATATGTTAAGTGTACATCAGTCAGGATTTCAACCCAAAGACTCCACTACTAATCAACTAGCTGATATCTATAATACTATAAGTGGCAATTTAGACCAAGGTAAAGATTTGCGTTTTGTTTTCTGTGACATAAGTAAAGCATTTGATCGAGTATGGCATTTGGGCCTATTATATAAACTAAAAACATATGGTATTAAAGGTAAATTATATAATTGGTTTAAAGCTTACTTATCTGACAGAAAACAAAGGGTTATCTTTGAAGGTTATAAATCTAGTACCAAACCTATGTCTGCAGGGGTTCCTCAAGGATCTGTCCTTGGTCCCTTCCTCTTTCTTCTTTTTATTAATGATATTACTAATAATGTAACTTCTCATATAAAACTCTTTGCAGATGATACCTCTCTCTATGTAATAGTAAATAATAACAATGACCTTACAACACCTACTAACATACTTAATGATGATCTTGACTCAATCTCTGAATGGTCAAAGCGATGGCAGATCCTATTCAATCCGAATAAGACTGTAGCTATTAACTTCTCTCGTAGACACATTAACAATCATCCTCAACTGCTATTTAACAATACTCCAATTGCACAACATGAACACCATACTCACTTAGGACTAACATTTAACAGTAAAGGGACATGGTCAGATCACATTTCAAATATTTATAAGAAAGCGAACTCTAGACTAAGTATTCTTAGAATTTTAAAAACTACAGTTGATAGGAATACATTAAAAACATTATATGTCTCTTATATAAGACCTGTGCTAGAATATTCTGATATAGTATGGGATAATTGTACCAAATCGGAATCAGATCTTTTAGAATCAGTTCAACTAGAAGCTATGCGTTTAATTACTGGCCTCAGACGAGGTACATCTCATCATATTCTGTATACTGAAACACAACTTGAAACATTACACACACGAAGACAAAATCATAAACTAACATTAATGTATAAGATTCTTAATAATTACACTCCAACTTATCTCGATAATATCATTCAACCATTTCTAAATGTAAATAATAACTATACCTTCAGAAATAACAGATTCTTTAATATACCACAGACAAGAACTACTACTTATATGAATAGCTTCTTCCCTTCTACAATGGTAAAATGGAATGCACTTGATAGCACTGTACGAGACTCCATCTCAATTTCATCTTTTAAAAAGAAACTTAAAAAAACCTTTGATACATCCGTCTCAGAAACTTTTATTAACTGTGTTCCGAGGAAACTTAACATAATTTTATGTCAGCTAAGAAATTTTAAAAGTGATCTTAACTGTGATAAGTTACAAGACCATCTGATTGATGATGCTTCCTGTGTATGTGGTGTACAGAGGGAAGATCTAATACATTTTTTCTTTCAATGTCCTCTGTATTCTAATATTAGGCATCATATTACCACTATTTATAATCTAGTAGGATATTTAAATCTGCACTGTTTAGTATATGGTATTAGTAATGCATCCAACCAATTAAATAAAACTATTCTTATACATGTTGACTCTTATATTAAATCATCAAAACGTTTCGTTACTTATACGTGCTAGATAAATTTCCAAATGAATATTCATGTATTGTTATAATTATTGTTATTCAGGCAAGTTTTATCCCTTAAATAACGAGTATTAGACATAAGCTGGTGTGGGTGTGGGTGTGCATGAGTGTGAGAGGAAACGAATCACAACATTTTATATATTCAAGCATTGTACATATCTACCGGAATTAGAAGAAGACTGATATAGGAAAAGCCTGTTGTCTTATTCTTTTGTCAATACTGTTCAAATATCTCCTTTAATGTTAACTTATATGTTTGTATTATATATGTATTGTCAATAAAATACTTTGAAATTGAAATTGAAAATATATTCAACTGGACTAATAAATACCTCCAATAAAACAATAAAATGTATCTTTGAAGGAGGTATGGTCATAGTCTCCTGTGCTTTGAAGCATGTGTGCATATGTATACAACTCGTCAAGTGAAATGCTTGCCTGCTGAACATTACCTTGCATTCAAGTGTTCCTCTGTCTTCAAGATTGGAAAAAACATGATACAGACATGTATTTAGCTTGAGGAGTTATTTTTTGTTGGCTAGCTGTTCATGTCTTAATATGCATACAAATATTGATATTGAGAATTTTCAATATGGTTATACTGAACTGCTATCCTAAATCATTTTCATCAATATATCAGTACTGATATTCAGCCGTTATCAGGACTTGAAGGTCCTCCAGATGTTTCAACAGTGATGATCAGTTTTGCTGTCCTTTGATGGGGTGGCTTCAAGTCTCTGATTTATCACTGCTCTGCCCCACAGCCAGCATTATGTTAGCTCTGCAGCATCTATCAGTCTTTAAGGTGCTTCCTTTCATGGTGTTTCTAACCATTCCAAAGATCTACCTGGTATTCCTGATCATTCCCAATGCATCATGTTGCCCTCTGAATTTACAGCTGGGAAACATCATCATCCCAATTCAAACATACAGCTAATCATGTCAACCTTTCTCCTTACCCTGTTAATTTCTATGTTCATGAGGTCTGTATTCTTAAATTGGCACTCTTCTTTTCGTTTTCTACACTCCAATTTCTAGGTTGGTAAGCTTGCATTGGTTCAAATGATCTGCCTTGAACTGACACACCATAATCACCATCAATCACCACTACAAGCAATTGTTGAACAATGTTCAGAAATCCCAACTGTTTATGCTGACTTTAATCTTCTATGACTGAACTTTTATGTAGTAACCCATATCGGAGGAGTAATGCCATGTACTTCAACGAGGCATTAAGCCACTTCCAGATGTGCCTGATGCCTGATAAGGTTATTAAGGTATAATTAAAGTTTTAATCATACATGTGTATTTGTAAATGCTTTTTTTCAAACTTTTCAATCCTATTCTATTGTTTAGATTGGGAAGATGAACCATTACCACCGGCAAATATATTGAGATTAATATATCAAGGAAGATTTCTCCATGGCAATGTTACACTGGGAGGTAAGTATTTTATAAAAGGGATTGAAATCATCTGAATTGTTGTTTGAAACTAGAATAGAATTACAATTCTGTTTCTGCATTATGAATGATATACTGGAATTAAGTGTAAGATGCTTATTAATATTATATCATTAGGTAAGTGTATTGATTAATCATTGTGATGAAGGGATTAGTTTACAATTACGATCTGACATTTTACTTTTGTTTCACAACAGGATTGGGAGAGGGCCTAGTGAGTTGTAAGTACTTGTGCCCAATCCCTCTGACTGTTTAATGTCAATAAGATATGTTCGAATGAAAGAGTTGTAAATTTCAGTTTTCATCATGTTCTTTTATGAATTCCAGCTTTACAACTACCTATGGGCAAAACGACGGTGATGCATCTAGTGCCAAGAGAGAATTTACCAGAACCAAACAATCAAGGTATATACATTCACATCAAGACATTCACCAGGGTCTTTTTCATTTACCCTGTTCTAAACACTTCCCAGCTGTCCCACAAGATTTGTTTGCTAATAACTTAAAGACAGACCTAGTGATTTGATTTGGCAAAGACTCCCAAGGCCTGCATCAATATAGGTTTATCCCTGAAATATTCCATTTAAAGATAGATGAATCAGTTATTTTACATAAACAAACAGGTCCAATTCTGTGATTTTTGTTTTGTTTTATAGGTCATGGCGGCTTTCTATTTTTATTTTATTTTTCAATTCTTTGATGTTGACAAATTCAAAACAATCGGATTGAGATTCTGTTAAAAAATGTGATTGGTTGAACACATATTTGTTTCATGATATTAACATTTGATAAATGTGTTGTTTTGTATATTTTACAGGGCAGTTAAAAAAGGACAAAAGTGGTGAGAGTAACTGTAGTAACTGCTGTGTTATACTCTGAAGCATAGCGATATCACTGGACAAATTCATACAGACAGTCATGATAGGACATGGATGTACACTGTTGTAAATGATGTCCCGTCATTTAGTGTGTGCTCCAGAACAATGTTGTATCATTGTACAAACAAAAATGCATTGTGTTCTAATAGGATCTGAAAAAAATAACAAAAAAAAACAAAAAATGCTGAAGTGACTGATTGACCAAGGACAGGAAACGTGATGGTGGATGAGGTTCTCATTTTAACATAGCTAGTCTGTGATAAAGGTAAAACAAAGCAAAATAGTACTTGTACTCTGTGCATGTAGACAGTACTCCTGGACATTTCTTCATCTCTTTATCTATCTCTCTGTCAATACTTTAATTTCCCCTGTGAAATGTCCAGGAATATTCTCGTGAAGGGAAAATTGTTTTCCCTTCATCATGTGCTGACTGTTAGAAAACGTAATGAAAAGAAACTGTGTAGGTGGGAAAACAATTGTGTATCCCTCACCTAGGACAAACATTTGCATATTTAAATCATACTATAGTGTTTTTTTCTGTAAAATTTATCACATTATCATAAATAGGCATTTGTTTTTGTTCTACTTTGGTGGAGCAATTTGTGTTCCCAGCAGATTTTGTTACAGGTATATTCAGCTTTTGCTTGTTATTATGTTGTTATGATATACATTGATATGTCATTTTTATGTGTTGACAAAGAGAACTACTACGTACTTAAATGATGTTTTTATGTTACATTTTTAATTCTTTCCCTAGATAAAATACATGTACCATTACAGAGGTTTTATTGACTGCAAAACTTCTCAAAAAATATATGAAATTTAAATTATGTATGAAAGATTTGAATGAAATTTGGATGTATATGTTTCAAATTGTTGTCAGTGTGTTCTATACAAATAGTGTGTTGTACTGCTCAGATTACTAGATTGGTTACTTTAGATACATGACATGGTGAGACAGTCAAGGCTGTTATAATTTGATCAGTTTTTGGCCAAAGTATTCTACAGATCTACCTACATTTTTTGATATTATATAATTAAATAGGAATCTACTGTAATCATACATATACTAGCACAGTAAAAAAAATATCCAAGCACCATTAACGGCATATTTGTAGTAGAATGAGGAACAGTGATAAAGATAGTGCCGTTGCTGGGGCTCGTGCCTGCAACCCTTGGCTCTCCAGCCCGCTGCTCTACCGCTGAGCTAAAGGGAACTTCCCAACAGCTGACGCTTGTAAGGCACAATCAATGCACAATTTTTACATATTTACATATTCACCAGTGAAATTTATGATATAAATCTGTGTACCTGGTACATATATACTATGACAGTCAGAAGTTTGTTTGAAAGACTGAAAGCCACGGTGCGACACCTGACCCAGGTCTGTTTCCTTGTCAGTTGACTGCATGATATGCTTCAGCATATTATAGAGAGGCCAGGTCTTATCTCACCTGATCATCGTTCAGTAGTTTATATTTATAGACGTTGTAAATTCTTCGTCATAAATTTTATTCTTCATTTTATTCCTGTTATATGTCTTCCCTTTTGGAACAACTGCAGTTGACATACCGGTACACATATGAGGCCTAAAGACATTAGAGTCTGTAATTTCCGTGCAAATTATTAGAAAAAAATAATGCTGTGCTAAATCAGAATGAACAATGGTAAAATAAGAAAATTTTGTGTGTGAACTTGATACAATATTGCTGCTAAGATATGTATGTTTACAGTATCCTATATATACACTTCCCCACTATTTTTTCTATTAGGAAATCACTGTCTAGAACAGTGAAGTATTTTACACAAATGTTTATTTGGTTTATTATGATGAAGCATCAGTTGCCTATCAAGATTGATGACTGAAATTTTGTGACATCTTCAAAGTCCATGACTTTTATACAGGTATCTTTTGACAATGGGGAATCTTCAAAGTCCATGACTTTTATACAGGTATCTTTTGACAATGGGGAGAAAAATTCTTCAAATTCTTCACTGTTTAATTTTGTGAAAAATAGACAACCATCTACACAATATAATACATTGTGATTCATTAACCGTTTTAAATCTTACTTTTTGGGATCAAGTTAGTTCTTTAATTCCCTGATTATATCTTGAAAAGCTATTTCTTTGTTATTTGCACATATATATTAATATTTCAATCAAAAATTCAAATTACACAACATCGGTTATATAATTATATTCAATTTTAAATCTTAATCAGTAAGAGACAGCAAACATGTCATGAGTGATTTCAAGTAAAGCTAAATTTAAAGTAGAAATCATTTTGTTTACATTTGTTTTTGTTATTGTTTTTTTTTTTTTTACTGTTAATATTTTGGTATCTTTTTTTTTGTGAAGAAAAATGTCATTGACTTTACAACCTTCAGAAAACATCTTGCCAAATATTTCATTATAACCATTTTACGACATTCTGCTTTTTGGTTTTATCATCTAATGGTTTATTTCAGTAGTTGTGCGTTTTTGATAACAGACATATTTTAATGATGTTCACAGGTAGTTATCAATGGTATCATCTGATAGTTTAGTTTCACGTGCACGGTAGATGGTACAGTAAAATATGTAGACATAGCCCAACTATGTGGATGGTATTGAATGCAAGTCTTGAATATTGAATGACACCATATATAAAGCACTGAGGTTTTCTGGTTTAACATGGAGCATGATCCTCACCGAATACCATGTACATGTACTCATAAAGCTTTGCAGGGCCTGTCTCACACAGGTGATTTACAGTTATCAAGTAAGCACTCTGTCTCTATAAAACCAACAGTGTATGTGGTGTGTGAATGTGTTTGTGTGACATAAAAAGTTGCTGTTGGAAATCAATAATAGATGGATTCTTCAAGTACATTTAGACAGCCTTAATCTATGTACATGTATCACAATTTTATGCACAAAGTGAATTTTTGAGAGAGAGAGAGAGAGAGAGAGAGAGAGAGAGAGAGAGAGAAAAAAAATATGAAAATGAAATCCCCAAAAGTATGTGAAAGAATACTGTGTTTTAGTTTTAGGCACAAAGTTACTTTTCAAAAATAAAATTAAAAAACAATCATCAAAATTAACTGAAAGTAAACAGTTGAGAATACATGGTTGTAGCTTAAGGTGATGCTCCTATCTTTATCATTCAAAGCATTGTGCATGAAAGCTGTAAGAACAGAAAATATTTAAGGTCAGAGGATTACATGTACTTGCACTAAAATCTGGGAGGGCATATTTGGAAAGATACAAGGGCAAAATGTTACTTTGGTGAAGGCAACAAAGCAGCAAAGCAAAAGTATTTTAGTTTACAATAATTACAGTAGGCTAGAAAAAGGCTGAAACAGGTTTGTGCTGTAAACTTCATCAGACTTAGAATTTTCCTGTAACAAACAGACCATTAGGTCAACCAAATCACTGTACACTCCACTACCATATAGTGGTCAATGAAACAGAAAATCACTCTGAGCAGTAAGTATGCTTTGTACAAATTTTTAACCAAAGTTAACATATATTGTTCCATTTGATTGGCAAAAGTATATTGTAAGATAATTGAAAAAACAGGTTTTAATGAGAGAAAAAAAATCGCCCCTGTAAGTACAGATTGAAGGTTTTGCATGAAGTATTTTAAAAATGTAACTCATATTAAATGTTATGTTTAATAAATTTTGTCATGTGATTTTGTTTATTTTGCCGATTTTGTACAGTGTGTGTTGTACAAGATATAGTATTCTATGTATATAAACAAAAGTTATAAATTATTTGTGTTTCATATAATGGTAACATATATATTTGGCGATCTCAGTACCTGTAGTTTGAAAAGACCAAATTCATGTGATATATGGCAACATATTTTGTTGTGGAATGAGTTGTCTGTTAAATCCTGGTTTCCTCTTTGTCGCCTTTTGTATGCTAGTCTTGAGAAATTTGTTTTGACTAGGGCTGCAAGGTGAAGGAAATGGTGATAGTTTTGTTTTCCTTGCTTCTTAAAATGGACATTATAAATGCGTGATCGTAATCTTGTTGACAATATAAGGAAAATTAACTTTCAGAAGCTGTCTTTAATGTGGTAATGGTTGCAGGAGAAATTAATTACAGGACAACGTTCGATATTTAATATAATTAAAAATTCTGATTATTAGGGATGTCATCTATCTAATGGGTGGATGAGAGGTGACTCCAACACTTATTCATATGTTGTTCTACAAGTTCACTATATAGAGTGCTGTTTCATACACACACAGGTATTGATACACATTTTATCATGCACCAATTACATACACATATTGAGAGGTACAGGTCATTGTGCCTATTGTGATAAGGTAAAGAAGTGCTAGGTAGACTTTGTAAAAATGAGCTCCAGTAATAGCCTATATAATATTGATTCTCTTCAATTTTGTACTGTACACTAGGGACAAAAAAGTCTTTGTGTCGCCAATATGTACAAACAGTGTGGATGGGAGGCAAGAGGATGAGTTGTGTAAATGACTTGCCTTATGGTATATAGGTGAGACAAGTACGAGAGTGGCGAGAAATTTTATTTATTAGGAAGAGTGTACAGAATAAATTTGACTTAAAATCTCATGACCAAGTCATTCGAATGTACGAATGACACCTAGTCCCCTAAAACTGCAATACACAAAAAATAGGTATACACATCATTGTTCATCTTCATTAAATGAAGAATTAAAAAAGAACCTCATTATGAAATGACAGGTAGACTTGAAACTTGAATTTTTGCATTTTCTTCTTGTCATTTTTATCACACATAGAAATGAGTTTCGTATCCAGAATTGTAATTTATCACAATTTTTACTTTTGACTTATTGGGAAATATTTATTGAATAAGGTTTCTTTCTCCCTGCATTGAGAAATATCAAAATGGCACACTTGTGAAAATATAGTATGCTGCTACACTCTTGAAATATGAATGTTATTCAATGGGAAATCATTAGATGTCTACAAGATAGATCTACATATGTACATCATGTCTAATCTTGTAACGTATTTACAGAGAAACAACATCAACATGGTAGTCCTTTGTCTGAATTGATATTATAAAAATGACAAAAGCAGGGCTATACATATCTGCTGCATCATATATTTAGGAAATATTTTACTGTGTAAAGATATCTGGATATCACGGACATTCATGTAAGAGTGTTGATTCTCTCTTGATCTTAATATCTTCATATAGACCATCTGCTTAAACTTGGTTTAAAAGTAGCTTTAAAGACTTCCCCCAGGTTTAAAAGTAGCTTTAATGACTTGCCTATGTACGTTGTAATTTAAGCTTGTAATTACTTTGGACCCTAACTTATGCTTCATTTCATACAAGACCCACATAACTTACACTCCTGATGTATAACCTCTGATAAAGAGGTGATTTTATCAATGTGTTCATTTCAGAAGATCCTGCTATTGAACTCCAACCTTTTTGTTATTAGAATATGAACCATAAGAGTACAGATGTATATACTTTTGCTGATTAAATCCGCTGATATAGTGATATGACGTTTTGGTTCAACGTTCCTCAAGCTCGGATACAATCAATCATATGAGACCGACATAGTCAGCAGTGTTATTTTTGCTGCAGTTTCATTGATCCCCATGTACAAAACATCAGGCTGTAATAGCCTTCATGTCTTGTATGGTTGTATCACACACTTTTTCATTGTAAACTATACTGTTAAAAAAATGGGGGTCAGTATTTCAAACTTCACTTGTAGCTTAAGACCATTCAGTGCTTTTTAAACATTATTTATTCCATAAGTTGTGGTTGTATAATTTTTAAAACAAATATCTTGTAAAATGTAAAATATTTCTTCTATGTATTTGGTGATATGTAAAATTGTGTCCCTTTTGCGTAAGTTGTTCCAACGTTTTGGTTTGTATAGACTTCTAGATGAACCAGCCAGAAAATTCACGCTGGTCCACCGAGTCACAAGCGTATATTATAGTGTGGGAAGGGTGTGTGTTGTGTGAATGTTGTTACAGCATGAAATGCTATGTTATTATATGCCACTGGATTTTGATTTAGTTGTGGACTAAGTTGAAATTCTAGTTGTAGTGATAGATTTGATAGGAAATGAAGCACCACACTGTTCCAATCACAGGTACTGCTCTACATAGTAAACTTACACCATTCAGGAAAGTGTATTACATGTATGTCTCGCCAAAATATAGCAATTACCCACCTAAATCTAAACACTCTGAGCATTCAAATTTTCTTGATTTAAAAGCTTTCTGATATTTAATAGATACTAATATTATGATTACAGAACTGTATAATATAGTTACATTTAAATTTCTAAACTGAAAATTAAGATTCTGGGGTTTTTTTGGGGGGTTTTACGGAAATTTGATATTCCCAAATTATTTTCTGTTTTAAACTTGAACAAAAATACATGAAAGCTTCTTTACATTTATGATAAGAAAAATAATAAATATATATAATACCGAATGTACACCAGGTAGGACAGGTAAGGAGGAGTATGGTGTTTACAACACTATATGTAGGACATACCTTGTAACTGGTTCAGACAGAGATGTTGTGTTTTTCTCCTGTGTAAGACTAGTGACACCCATTATTATCTTGTGTGATTTGGGTCTGTATGTGGTCATTCCTGACAAAGAATGTATTTGTATATGATAGGTGTTTAAAAAAGGCCTTTTTTCAAAGATTATCAATGAATTATAATTATGATAATAAGTGTGCAATTATACCAAGTTTTAGAATTGCATGACATTTTTTTCTGACAAGAAAATTTATGAGTAGTTAAGTATAAGCTACATTCAAAATTTGCAATATTTATTTCATTCCTGCCTCTTTGGGCTGCCATATATTGTATCTAATTATCTCCCTTTATAAGTTTTCTTCTTCAGTCCTGTAAATGAAGTAAAAGTATTGTCTACAAGTCATGTTCATTTTACAGAGACAATGATTTGTCTTTGGTACAGTTATTCATGTGTATATATTGCTCATACTACAGAGGGTTGGACAACAGGACAGACATTGTATCCTGTCTGTCCAGATGTCCCCCACTCAGGTCATGCATCATTTGTAATGTCAGAATTACACACAATTTGTGGTAATTGAATATGAATAAAAGTCAGAGATACATTTGTGTTGAGTTTTATTAGTTCACTTCATATGTGTTTCGTACACAATCACATTTACGACTTCTTACCAGAAACTGTTTTGTTAAATTTTATGGAACTCTGTGGCAATCGTCTGTCCGTGGTGGATCTTGGAATCTTAATTCAGAAGGAACTGCCCCCACAGGAGGCTAAGAAGTGGGACCATAAGGAGTCAAAGATTGTATAACCTCCAAAAGGCATTTCCCCTAACCTTAATGGTGGATTTTCCTTACATTGTAACACTCCATAAAATGGTCCTTTGGTGATGAAGAAACAGACTCCAAGGGAGCATAGGGGAAGGATTGTAATGGGTCAGCTAGTACAAAAATATCTTAAGTGATGATGCTTCAAAAGAGATTACTGATTGATCTTCAAGATTCTTTGATCCTTTTAAGGTGATCAGAATTTATACTGAAGAACTGGCTGACCCTTCAGGTGGCAGAGTGAACACTGCCAGACATTTATGAGACATCTCTAACCTACTTGGATTTTCACCAATCTTCAATGATACTTGGGTCTATAGGGATAAGAAGCTTCCAAACAACATGTCCTGAAAGATGCAGGGAAACGATTAATCTAGGCTTTTCAGCTCACCTGCCCAAAAGGCATGCTTGCATTAAGTACTAAAAGTTGGCAGAAAAACCCACCTTATAATAACATACAACATGTATATAGCGCCCTATATAATTTGTAAAATTACTCTATAGCGCTTTACAACATATGGATAATAGTAATGGTTATAATTGTAAAAACAAAGGCTTACAATCACTTTTATACATTTAAGCAAGCAATGTGCACGTAATTGAACAAATAAAAGGGTGGTATTTACATGGCGTCTTTGCAAGGATTCTAAAATGCAGACGTGAAGAGGTGAGTTTTGATGTCCCTTTTGAACTTGGCCAGGGTATCTGACTTTCTAATAGCAGATGGTAAGCTATTCCACAACGTATCCGAAACCCTCCCAAAGCATCTGTTTCCGTAGGTCACATTACGACATTTTGGGACACACAACATTCTGACTCCGACCGCAGTGTTCGTGACGGCTGATACAGGGTAACAAGCTCCTGTAGGTACTGAGGAGCTGTTGCATTCAGTGCCTTGTATGTGTACACCAGAATTTTGTACTGCGACCTGTATCGTTCAGGTAACCATTGCAATGAATAAAGCACAGGTGTGATGTGCTCTCTTTCGAGTACGAGTAACTAGCCATGCTGCAGTGTTCTGGACCCTCTGCAGACCACTAGTTAGTTTGTCAGATATACCACAGAGCAGGACATTACCATACCTTGACCCTTATTAAAGGACATGGGTCATTTTTAGCTCACCTGGTCCGAAGGGCCAAATGAGCTTATGCCAAGGTGCAGCGTTGGGTGTCAATATTTTACTTTAAACAACTTCTTCTTAATAACCAAATGGCCTAGGGTGATGATATTTTGCCAGTAGCATGCTGGGATGAAGGGCACTTGAGTTTGTTAAAATAAATTAGCTTCACCAATTTTCAAGGTCACAGGGGTCAAAAATGTTAAAACTTAAACAACTAATTCTGAATAACCAAAATACCCAGGGTGATAATATTTGGCCAGTAGCTTGATGGGATGAAGGGTTACCAAGTTTGTTCAAATGAATGACCTTCAATCATATTCAAGGTCACAGGAGTCAATTGTCTTACAAAAACCTTTTAAACAACTTCTTCTGCATAACCAAAAGGCCTAGGGTGATGACATTTGGCCAGAAGCAAACGCGGATGAAGGGCTACCAAATTAGTTCAAATGAATGACCTTCGCCGATTTTCAAGGTCACAGGTGTCAATTATGTTAAAAACTTCTTCTCATTAACCAAAAGGCACAGAAGCAAACGCGGATGAAGGGCTACCAAGTTAGTTCAAATGAATGACCTTCGCCCATTTTCAAGGTCACAGGTGTCAATAATGTTAAAAACTTCTTCTCATTAACCAAAAGAAACAGGTACTGATATTGGGCCTGGATCATGCTGGGATGAAGGGCTACCAAGTTTGTTCAAATGAATGACCTTGACCAACTCTCAAGGTGACAGGGGTCATATGTCTTAAAATCTTCAAATAACTTCTTCTCAATAACCAAAAGGCCCAGGGTACTGATATTAGGCCTGTAGCATGCTGGGATGAAGGGCTACCAAGTTTGTTCAAATGAATGACCTTGACCCACTTTCAAGGTCACAGGGGTCAAATGTCATAAAATCTTCAAACCACTCCTCAATAACCAAAAGCCCAGGGTACTGATATTGGGCCTGTAGCATGCTGGGATGAAGGACTACCAAGTTTGTTCAAATGAATGACATTGACCCACTTTCAACTTTATGTCCTTATTCGGTATTCAAGGTCATATGTTTTGGTTCTGATGAATCAAACACTGATATTCTGCCTGTAGCTGTATTTTAGTCCACTTTTAAGATTACAAGTGTGAGATTAATAGCAGGTGAGCGATGCAGGCCCATTGGGCTTCTTGTATTTTTATATAGAACCCAAAAGCCTTAGTGATGATATATGTCCAACAGCTTGCAGGAAAAGACACATTTTGTGAAAAAATATGATGCTACCGGAGTAACTTATCTTCAAAGTCATGGGTCTAATTCGCTAACACATTCAAAAGGATTCTACGGAAGAACCAAAATACCCCCGTGTTGTGATATCTGACCAGTGGCCTGCTGGCATGGAGTGGTCCAAAATTTGCTAAAACAGATGGCCTTTTAGTAATCAAATCCAGTTGATAGTACATTTGAACAATATTGCCATAGTATTTGTGTTATATGTCTTGTATGATATCAAAGCAGTCCATAAAAGTCCTGTGAGTGTAAAGGCCAACTAGCACTCTTGTTTCAAATATAAACTGTGTACTGATAAAATATAATTTAATGGCTGTAGTTTTTTTTTAATATTTACTATTAATGAAGCTGCAGTTCTGATATCAAGGTCAACATCACATACCTGGTATATACAAGTATTCACAATATTTTGTTTTAAATATTTTTATTTTGAATAACATAACAATATCTTTGTTTCTATCATCAAGACATGATGTGAATAAGAAGGAACAATTTGATTCAAATATCAACTGAACACACCATATTGTCTTGTTTTTGAAATGGACTTTGATAACATGAGGCCCTTATTCATTTTCTCCATGACATCTTCAGGATCTTGTAATGGATTAGGTAGAGATCTTGCCAGTTCTCCAATCAAAGATATAGAACCCTGAAAAACAAACAAACAGACCATTACAATCTGGATTGTAAGAGTTATGACCGAGACAAAGTTGGAAGACTTAGAATTCCCACAATATCCATGTACATTTATTTGTATATGTACTCACCATTTGTATCAAATGTGACTGGATTCTGTCCTCAATTATCTCCTGTCTAATGTAACGTGTCTTCTCCCGCACAAAGTTTCTCTGGGCTGCAGCAGCATCAATATTCAGCTGATGAGCTCTAGAAAAGTGAGAAAAGATTATTGATGTATTCATTACATATTAACAAAACTACATTCATGTTTATTTTATGCTTTTGCCACGATCAGCAATAAGCTACTTCAGTATAGATAATCTAATGCATTATTAAGGCTGTTCTGTGGAACATCTTTCATTTAAAAATAAAGCTGATGTCATAATTTCCAGGGGCTGCAGCCATTGGTCATTTTGTGCCAGTTTAATGTGTATGAATGCAAAAAAAATAGGAATGTACATACATACATTTACTTTTTTCTCAACAAAGCTAATACAAATATGTACATGCAAGACCAGACACACGTTGCCCATTTAATGGAAGAGCATGGTTAATGGATAACCACCAAATACTATTTACCAACAAAATGAATACAGGTAGGTCAGAAAGGGTAATACAATGTAGTTTTGACAATACATGTATATCCCTTCCTCATCTTCAGTTTTGCTTTTTGTTACAGTGCCCTTGGCTCTGACCTTGGGGCCCTGAATCCCCACGTATTGTATCTACATGAAGTGATGTATCTCCATGTAATTCCAGAGATTTTAGATTCCTGGAGTTCCTGATTTTGACTATCTAGGCTTTGCTGTCAAGGGAGTTAGGCCATCTGTCAGAGTTAGCGTGAAAACTGTTATACATGTACCTCCAAAGACAAACTTCCAAGACAGTTTCCAGATATGCAGACCAACTCCCTCAGCAATTTCCGTGACTTTTTTTATGGAAATCGCTGAGTCAATTATCAGTGAGAGTTGAGTAAAGTTTGTACTAAACTGACTCCGCCTAGTCGTTTCCATACTTAATACATAAACAGTAACTTTTGATTACCTGCAATCCTTGCATCGCCTCGGGTCGTGTATTTCTTCCTGAGCTGCCTGAAAACAAGATCAGGAGATAATTTTTATATTATATTTATTTATTTATATTAATGAATTTATATTTATAATTAATTATTTTAATATTACACAAAGAAAAGTTGGTAAGGGCCATGATTGAATATTTGTACCCAGTGGTTAAAAACAACCTGGCGAAACTTGAGTAGAAATATTCTAAATCAATCAGAGAATGAACTGATTTTAATAACATCTTTTTATGACCTTGAGGATGATTCACACTAACTTTTGTTAGCAATGGTCAGGAGGACCTTGAAAGTAAACAGAATTAATTCCAACAGTTAGAGACATGGTTGCCATCTTGAATTTCAAAACAACCAAAAAAATGCATGACTTTTTAGGGACCACCACAAGATTATTCAAATGCATTTTAGTTGTAATTGGCTTGTTGGAACTTCAAAAAAATAATCTCAGAAAATCTGAGATCTTTAACTCATTTACCCCTGGAGACACATTTAAACTCTTCCAATTCAAAGGTTGGAATATGAACGGTCATTATGAAATTTCAGGGGTGAATGAGTTAAAGGAAAAATCGATGAAAAGACAGCACCTGGATAACCTGGTATCAGGTAAGCTGAAAATCGGAGGGGGATAATATAGTCTGTACAGGAGGACACAGATGCCAGCTTTAATGCAGCCGAAGTGAGTATTATGTTTTCAGTGTGGCATTCACATATTCCAGCATTATTTTAGCAATAGTTTTTAGACAGCTCTCTCCAAAAGCAGATATTAGTCTGGATATATATTTCTCGCACCTCAGACAGAGATATCCCACGTCATACTCCATGCTAGATTTGTCTATCTCGTTCGCTCTGTCTTGTACCTTTATGTGACATTTCGAGGAATTTTTACACTGCGATGTATTCATCCGCACGTTAACTGCTTGAAATTGACAATTTGCATCATACATGTTCTGTTTTGTCGTTATATGTATATTTTGTTTATGTTGTTAGATATTTGATGTTGTAGATAAAATATAATCTACACTGTAAAATATGTTGTAATCTATGTCAGGACGGACTACATGTTTACGAAGAAGCATTCAAATGTAGCTTTAGAAGTGAAGAGGTCATTATCATTTGAGGCCCAAGGCGGGATACTGGTAGTTTTTTTTCATTTAAGAAGGTCGCTGGTCTTTAGGAAAAACAAAGATCCTGAAAAATGGTGTTGTGGTAAAGAGTGATGAAAAAATATACACACACCGAACCTTCATCACAGCTACCTCTCAAAGTTATGTGAAGTAATACTTCAGAACCTTACCGTTTCCATTCTCTTTATGAAGTTCTTTAGTTTTAGTCTGTCCAACAGTGACGGATCAATGCCGTAGTCCTGTATCAGGTGTCCTTCCTCCTTCACTGTCGGTGTCTTGGACCCGGATGATTTATGGGGAGGCTTTCCCACACTTTTCATAGCTGAACATATTTTGGAAAAAAGATTCCATCATGAGAATACATATGTAATTACTTATCCATAAGTTAACAAACTTATCAACCAGGATGTGACACTAGGGCCACACAACTTAAAATTTATAATGACAATAATAATAATAACAATATTTCGAGATTCTTATATACCGCTTTATCACATCCTAGTTTGTAGGTCGTCTCAAAGCCGTTCACAAATTATCATCCATGGTTATAGGTCCTTTGCAACCAGCCAATATCTTTCTCAACTCCCTGGGGAGCATACAGCCAGTGCTGCCATTTCGGCGCTCAAAGCTAGCATTCAACAATTCTAGCACTGCCCAACCACATACTCATTTACAGCTGAGTGGACTGGAACAAGCGGAGAAACGTATCTTGCTCACAGATACACCACAGTGCCGTTCCGTGACTCGAACCTGCAACCCTTCGGTCATGAGCCTGGCGTCCTACCACTAGACTAATGTGTCTCCAATGACAATGAAAATAATCAAGACCCAGTTGTCTACAGGTAGATATAGTGTATTATCAATAATCATAGACATCAAGGTGAGATTTTCTTAATAAATTGTGTTTCTATGAAACCTGTTAAAACCTTCAAATTTTAGGATATAAACGTTCAGCAAGAGAAGGGAAATAAAAACTGTGATAAAAGAAGTAGAACAAGGGTATGTTTTGTTAGGTATAAAGAATCGTAATTTAAAATTTCATCTGATAATGTACTACTGCGATTTCAGCAAGTGTATCTTCTTTCTGATATCTTTATATAACTTACCCGTCGGTGACTTTTTGTGTTTCAGCAAGCGTAGTTTCTTTTTGAGATATCTAGAAGTGTACCAATCCATTTCTTTTTCTGTGAATTTAATATCAAAATTTAGACACTAGTACATGAGACAGATGGCCATTGACAATGACTGAGTGGCTGGTGCTATTAGTGTATATATCCTACACTGATAGTGTATACAGGGAATTTTAGACGCTGTTTAGTACAGATGCAGAGACCTGCATTTTTACATTGTAATACATATACTGTGAAGTGGAAATCTTCGCTATAAATTTAACATAGTCAATCAACGTAAAAAAAGGCAGAAATGAACAAACTGACACACAATGATATATTTATTGTAGCAGCATTACCCAGTTACAATGTTAAAATTACACCAGTTTTTTTTTTCACTTTTGAAGTATTACGGTTTAAATGATTATGGGTATCAAATTATGGTTGATTATCAATCACTACAGTAATCAACCAATATAACTCTAATGTATAAGAATCATCAGCCTCCTTTAGATATTACTTGCAAATATGTGTATTGATATATCTGGATGTCACAATATTAAAATATAAATGATTTTGCACTTTCAGTGAAGCAAAGATCAGAACAATTAATGATGCTTTAGAAAGTGATTATAAGTACAATGTACACCCATACCAAGTAACTCATCTTGACAAGCCTGAAATAGTCAAATACCTTTGTCTTGTTTTCCCTGTGTTAGTAAGGTTGACAAGTCTGTCTGTCTGATACGTTTTTGTCTTAACCGAGACATCATGTCTGCTGCAAAATCTGTCTTTGATTCTTCTGCGAGTTTGAAGAGCTCAGCCTCCTTTCTTAGCTAAAAAACAATGTTCAATGTGTCACTAAAATTAAAATTCTTTACGTTGTATTGCTTATCATAGAATATAAATAGGGGCAGCACAGCACTGATTATATACACCTATCCCACGCTAAAGTGACATAATCATCATCTTGCCAGACTTTACGTTAACCTCCATACAGAGTATGTATATAACCTCCGTAAACACCTTTTGATCCTCAAAATGTTAGAAGCTTGCCATATAATGGTTAAGAATACATGATTTATGAAAATAGTGAATGCAAAAGAAAATTACAATTACACTATATTTCTCAAAAAAAGTTTTAATATTTCTGTGATGTGATGAAAGGAGACATCATATTGTACTTTCCAGCATTAACTGTAGAAATATGTATGCCATATATGGCCTTTATTACATACATTTAACAATATTACCCTGCATAAGAATTGTCTCCCTTTGCTCATTTTCCTTACCATATAAGAAGTAACTGTATTGTCCCTTTTTCAAAACCAAAGAAATTCTTAAATGATTCTTAATAAAAGGTAGATCTCACACAAATTTGAACTAAGCTTTTTCATTGGATAGCATTAATATCGACCAGATGTTATCAAAATTTTGTCATATTTTAGTAAATTACTGTGTGGAAATCACAAATAATGAAGATGCGCTATGTTTATTGTATGTGCATATTTGACTCAACTTTGGACTTCACTTCAATCTTTGTATATTGTTACCAGGTAATATGTTACAAATTTTCATCGAAATAAATATTTCAGAAAATCATCTTTCACAAACCGAAGTGTGCATGGATAGACTGATGCTCACCAAATCATACCATAACATATTGATGTTCCTTTAAGATTGTATGGGCTTACAATAATACTAGTTATTGCATCAATTTTATAAGTTCATCAGGAGCTGGAATAGACAAGGACATATTTTAGGTGTTGAGTAATGAGGAGAGTAATAGAAAATACTTTTTCTGGGTCCTCTGTCTTTGTGGTGTCAGCTTCCTCAAATGTATAGCTGTAGTCATAGCTGTCGCTTCCCAAGGTCACGTCATCATCAGGGTCACTGGACTGTCTGTGGACCAAGTATAAATCTCCCTCAATTTAATCCATTCTTATTTATCAGTTTTATTACATGTATTATATTAATGGCTCTGTGAAGACTTCAGACAATAGAAACAAAGAAGATTAGTTGTGAGGATCCTTTGTTTCTTATAATAACAACATAATCCAAAACAAGAATTATTGGAAATGAAGAAAAGTAATGGTTCATGAAAAGTGTATTTTAATTGGTCTTTTCAATCTCATGTAAACACAGGCTGGAATAGCTTCATCTTTAAGTAAGATTCTGCTGAACATGTGTTGTCCACACTCCCTTGGAATTAATTTATGAGCTATTCAGCAGTGACTACTACAAGTATACACTGTGGCAATCATCTGAATTGCACTGGATTTTCAACTAAAAAGGGCTGATTTTTGTCCAACCCCCTAGTGTGATTTTTCAGTCTCAGTAAAAAGAAAACAATATATACCTTTCTGAATAAGTATCCTCATCTGATTCTGCTCGTCTAGTGAAGGTGGGTTCACTATAAGTATCCTCATCTGATTCTGCTCGTCTAGTGAATGTGGGTTCACTATAAGTATCCTCACTATGTTGTATTTCTGAGTCGGTTGACTCGTAGCGGGTGTATCCATCATCTGACTGCCAACTGGCTTTGTCAGTGTGCGTTCCTGTGTAGGTAGCCGACCCACGTAGAGGGCTGCTACTCGAGTCAAATGTGTCTGTGTAGGAATATGGTTTGGTGTCATGTTGAAGAGTTTGTGAATAGGAATCTTCTGATAAGCGAGTATCAACTTGTTCTGTTGCTAGTGTGCCCTCCACAAATGTATCACTGTATGAATAAGCTGCCTCCTCACTCTCAAACGTGTTAGAATAAAGTCTTGTCTTTGTTGGAGCAGATTCCTCAAATGTATCCGAGTATTGAACAACCTTTGGAGACAGGGAGTCATCAAATGTGTCGGAGTACGAATATAACATAGAGGGAGAGACTTTTGGTGGTCCCCGAACTGGCATCCCAAGTGGACGAACACTTTTGGCAGGTGTTGGTGACTTTGATGGTGTTGGTCTTGCAAAATTCATCATGAGAAAAAAGTGTATAATTAACACTCACTAATCCTGAAATGATAATATTGTAAATTTTTTACAAATTCAATATATATCCCAACAGTACAAAGTAAAAGAGTGGTACCACAAAACATTACATATACAACTGTATTCTCCATGGAGGTTCAGGCCAAAATACCCCAAAATATAAACAAAGGTTATCAAACTTTGCTATTTTTTCATGTACCTATCAGTTAGTACCATGGACAGAACAGAGGGATCAAAGATATATAAATAAACTTTACATTGTAGATGTTTTGACAGACAAGGCTAGTACCTGTGCATGCTCCTACATGCTAATATAATTGCCAATTACTTATTTCATTTTTGCTATATTTGCAAATTGCTTGACTTTTGCTTAATGCTTACTGCAGACAGTCACATGCACTTCAATTGCTCAATTTTTCATTGTCTTTCGCTAATTGTCACAAGCAATAAGCTTATTACCATTTTGCTTATTACCATGTGTTGCAAATTTAATTGTACATATGATTTAGATCACTTTCTAGATTTGTGCTAGAGGGAAATTCCCTAGCACAATCAGTAAAGCTGAAGACTGGAAAGCTATGGTTTGATCCCCAGTGAAAGCACACTATTCTCTTTTCTGAATACATATGGTGTTTATGAGTGGCCCTCCCTATGGTTACAGCTAGGTAGTTAGAACCTGGGTTGTTGTGGTGTTTTAGCTAGGGTGACCGCATTTATTTATTTAAGGGGGGAGTACGTAGTGTGGCAAGTTTTAATTGCACATAGGATTACATTTGCTTTCTTGCTTCACACTAGAAGGAAATTCCCTCTATAGCTCAGCCAGTAGAAGGGAGGACTGGGAAGCTCGGAATAGTACGTTGACATTCCATCCTCAGAGGAAGCAGATCACTTCTCTCTTTCCTGTTAGTACACATGTTATATGATTATATTCTTGTAATGTTATTTGCTAATTTACTGAATAATTGCTAATTGCAATATGAATTTAAGCAATTGCCAAATTTCGGAATACATATGATGCATTCGGATATCAAATATTAAATTATAATTCACTAATAGCAAATGTCAAGTGGGGCCTGTTCGTGTTGCATCTTGGTGGACCTACATTTTCGGGTTTGCATCTTGGGGGATCTGCAAATGCAAAAGCTCATCTGAAAGGCAGTGAAAAGAACATCAGTTTATTAGGTCCGACCTTATTTCATAAACGAACAACTCTTGTCAAACCGTTTGGATCGTGATTAACGAAAGCAGCACAGATAAAATTTCATAGTTATCCTCAAACTTTACTGAAAAATATTCGGACGAAATGACTTTTTAGTTTGTTGTACATCATATTTTAAAGTCACACACATTTGCATGCATATACGCAAATCATATATACTCCATCAACAAATTAGTGCTATTATTATCAACCCAACCCCTGGGTTTAATCTTACCGTTGAGGTGACTGTCAAAAATCGTGAAGGTAAACAAGAATGAGCACGACTTGTCTCCTTTAAATGCAAACGTTTACGAGACGACGACTTTGATTTGTCAGAACGTAAGCGGCAAGTAATTTATTCAAAACAAAATTGGTCCTGATGCTGGCGTCGTGTTGCTGTGTCTATTCGTTCGTCCATTAACAAAGGCGCGTATATATGTTTCGTCACGGAAATGTTTCATTGTTTCTCATTCCAGTCATACCCTCGAGGTAAGCCGAGATTTACATGCTTCATCTTACATATTTTAAAATACAGGGATGCTTGTCAGAATAGTTGACGTTACTGTTGATGGCCTACCTACCGAATGCTCTGACAGGCTGCCGTTCCGCTCCACTACTGTTTCTACAGCTGCTGTGTCGGCCGATTATTCTAGTTCTGCGGGGGTGTCTAGAAATGTTATCAAGTGCTATGTTATTCTATGTATTTGACTGAATGTAAAGGAATATATATATAACAGTTGTTGACTGTTCATATCAACACATCGTATAAATAATTATACTTGACAGTTATAACTTATTTTTTCACATTTCATGACAAAAAATAGACAATATCTTTTATTTCATTATACATTACAATACATTAAACTTTATTTAACGTCGGATATTTAAAAACATTTAACATTGGCTATTAAAAGCTATTATTCCGACAAACATAAGTAAAAGCATCAGTTCAAGAAATTACATATATAAAACATTATGAAACATTAACAGAAAATGTTAAGACATAAGTCTCCATGCAAAGTTATAAGCTATATATATATACATGCATACATATAGCAGAACAATAATTTTACCATAAAATACATATTAGCATAAAACATTGAAGCAAAGCACATACACATAAAAATAGACATTATGAGCTACAATTTCCACTGTCAGCACTATATATATAAAACACATTTACAACATGTAAAACAAACGGAACATAGTAATAAAATAAATTAAATGAATAAAATAATAATAAGAGCAAACAATTCACACAAATCCGAAGAAGCAGCATAAAACACACACATAATTAAACATGAAGCAAAGCGGACTCGCCACATGTACATTTACTACACACTGCGACAGACATTACAAAAGCAAATGGGACCATCCCAGGTCTGGACCAGTCTCCTAAATTCATTGTACCTGTATACTTTTCTGAGTTGATTGAGGAGACTGTTCCACACCCGGGCGGCCTCGTAGGAGAAAGATTTGAGTCCAAAATACAAGATTTGATGCAAGATGGTTTAACACATTTATTGTCCAACCTCGCGCTTTACACCAGCTAACCAACACCCGAATATTTCATAACCCCCACAGGGCCCACCCCTTCCTTTTTGAAATTTCAACCTCTATAAAAACTGCAATTTCAAATAAATATTCTAAGTCACATCTACTAGGAGAAAGTGTTTTTACACTGAGATAAAAATGGCAGGAACACATTCGAGCTCAATCTCAATGGAGCACATATTGTTTAGTCCAAAGTAACATTCTCCTAGATATTTTTTTCAATACGGTATAGTCATACATATTTGTGTATATAATCACTCACAACTTTGTTATTCATACCAAACTGATGAATCATATTCCGAATACCAATATTCACTGTTATAAAGTCAGTCTGCTGATAGGCAGAATTTTGTCCTTGGCTTGTTTAAACAATTTCCATCTTCGACTTTTGAAAGCCAGTGTTGAAACATGAAAATATAATTGGTAACAGTTTAAATAATGGTGCAATTGTCTCTATTCCAGATAACTACTTTTTGAAGAAGATGACTCACAAAAGTTGAGCCATGTCCCACCTGATGACTTACTTCCATATTTGTTTTATATGACAGCTGTCTGGGACTACTGTACTATAGAACCTGTGTGATGGTTTTGAGTCGTGAGGCCATTGTTGGCCTCATTGTTGTGCCGATCATGCTGGCCATTTCCTTCACATTACTTGTCACTTACCACATGACAAGACAAATACTTTGTGGAATTTTGGGCTGTTTCTGGAAAAAGAAAAAGTGCTTGTGTTGTCAACAAGAAAATTGTAAAAAAAGACAAAGTGATATTGACTTCAACACTCCAGATCATCAGCCAATTAATATTGAAGACAGTGTCCATCCGGAAAAATCCACCTCAAGTATAGAGGAAAAGCCATCAACTGCTACACACAACTGTAACTGTGATAGCTGTCAGGTATAAAGTACCTAAATATCAACATGCAGTGGATTTATGGAATCTCTTAAAATATGGATTCTGTAAAATATCATAAATAAAACATGGATTGGACATCACACAGTAGACAAAGTAATTTGTGCAGTGGAATTAACACCAAAATACATAAATGAATATATAAGGGTATATGAAAAGTACAAAGAGAAAAGGCGAACTATGATTGGTTAGCGACAGTACATGATGTATGTACATGTAATATGATTAATAGAATATGAATGGAATTTAATTAAAGCACATCCTAGATTTTCTCAAGTTCCTTTATCATAAGTTATACATGCATAAAACTAGTATATTGTATACTGTTGTTACTACATGTACTACATTAAATGGCTACTCCTATGTTACATAAAGTATTGGGATTACGAATTGACCTAAATTTAGAGAGAGAAAAAATGTTTTATTTCATTGGACCTTTTTACAATGGCTTTGACTTAATTAATTCAGAAGTGTAGAACATAAATAAATGGAAAGGTAAAGGGAGCTTTTCAAGTCTACAAATGTACATGAACCCTTTAGTAACTGTAATAGATATGATTGAAGTTCATAAGTGAAGGTGTTCTTGTGTCGGAGAGGTACACTGATACATGACTATTCACACGTTTTGTGGATGCTATATACATGGAAAAGATAACAGCAGTTTAAATTCATCTCTCTTTCTCGAGGATAAAATCATCAGGTTCGTAAATATACATCGCACACAGCTCACTACGCACAGTACTTTCACTTAAAGGATGAACATTTCCTGCCTGATCTGATGGTATATGTATACACTCTACAAGTACAATCATATCTTTTTTTAGGTCACCTGGCCCCTTTATTGATAAATCCTTAACAGTGTTTAGAAGCTGTAAAATTTACCTTGTTAGCTCATTTTTTGTTTTAAATCCCAATAAATGGTAATTTTGCCCCCTACTTAGTAGAAAAGGGTATATAGTTATTGCATGAGTCCGTCCGTAGTAAAGAGCTTGTGTATAAGATATCTCATGAACCCCTCCACAGATTTAGTCAGCAAGTTTTACACCTGCTAGGGGCTGTGGGGGCCAAGTGGTTAAGGCGTCTGACATAGTGACATTCTGCTACCACTAGCCCTCCACCACTGGGTTGCGGGTTCAACGCCTATGTGGGGCAGTCGCCAGATACTGGCCGTAGATCAGTGGTTTTTCTCTGGTAACTCCGGCTTTCCTCCACCACCAAAACCTGGCACGTCCTTAAATGACCATAGCTGTCAATAGGACGTAAAACACAAACAAACAAACAAAATGTTCACCTGCTTAGATATTGGTGGTCATCAGTCAGTGTTAAAGGGTCAAAGGTCATGCACACTTGACCACTTTTTAAGTAAAAAAAAGCTTGTGTGCAAGATAACGTATAAACACCCCAACAGATTTAGTTTGTACAGTGTCTATATTTACATCATAGTATGATAACATCAAATTTTACTCCTGCTAACACAGCTTTAGATATTAGTGGTCATCAGTAAAGTTAAAGGGTCAATTGACCTTGACCACATGGTGGACGTGTGGAATATACCTATGCTAGTCACATTGTTTTTATTGCTTTAAAGAATAATGGATATTATGTCAATGCAAAGACTCCTTCACAATATACAAGACATGTGTTTTACTTGCCAGAGATTTGGCAGTGCCATACATTAATTTATTCCTATTTGTGAAATGTTGATTTATATTGTAAATTATTATTCTGTTTGGTTAGTTTTCCTGTGAAGTATATCCATATAACCTTGATATGGGTGAAGTTTTATATGTTTGTATTTTTAAAAATACATGTTATCTCAGCATATTTTTTTATTTTTATATTTCAAACTTTGCAGAACGGACAACAGAAGTAATGAATAACTGTTTTAGAAAAACCAACATGATCAATGCTGTCAATAAAATAGATTGCTACAAAATAAGTGATGCCACATTGTTCAAATGATATATTTTGCAATATTTTGTCCCTTGTAAAACTTTTGAAATGTTTTATATTTCTATGTTCAACCCTCATATATTCTTACTACAGTTGGGTTGCCTTTATGAGAAACTTTTTCAGATTGCTTTTTGTATGTATCAATGTGTATATCATCAGGACGTGCAATATTACCAAAGTTCAACTACTCACTACTTTATACAGTATTTTTTCAAGCAAAAATATATTTTATTGATACCAATTCTGATATCTAGAATAGAATAGAAACATAAATCTTATATTCCGTCGTTGCGTATTGCAGAGTTATCTTCTCTTGTGAGCAGGTATTGATTGTTACGTCATTGGTTTGTGTGAGAAAATTACGTCGTTTTCTCAAAAATTGATGACGTAATTACTCTCACAAACAAATGCCGTAACAATCAATACCTGCTCACAAGAGCAGATAACTCTGCAATACGCAAAGACGGAATAAGGTATTCATTCACGTATAAGGATAAGCTAGTGTTATATACATGTACTATTATAGTGCTATTGGCACATATTTAAAAGTTTTAGTGCCCATTTTCTGTTTCCTACCTCAAAAAGTCACAAGAAATAAATTGTAAGTATTTTTTTTATTCTAGACCTATGAGGTTTAAAAAAGCCCTCAGTTGCTGCTCACATTCAAAGGTATAGTCAAACACTTTACTTACTATAAATTTACACTTACATTACTCATTTATTTGTTAAAATGAAAAAGATAAAAGATATGGTTTATTACTTTGACACTTTTTTTCTAAATTATTAAAATATTTACCAGTACTTGAATTGATGTTAAGGGATGGTTGAAGTTGTAATTTAAATGAATTGGTATCACCAATTGACTACATAATCAACCCTATGTTATAGATCATGACTTGTTTCATATACTAGCACATTATCTGCACATGCTTACCTGGTTAGTGTTTATATGGATTACAAACAACACCCAATGTAAGAAGCATTTCTCTCTCTGATAGTGTGCACGTGGTACCGTATTCATAATGTTTTGATAGTGTTCAATATGCTGTACCGATTTTATGATTTCTGTGATATCTTGAGTTGTTGATTTTAGTTGATTTTAATTCTTTCCATTTATGAGTTTGAATATCTTTTATCATGTTGTTGTTTTAAAGAATTATATGTTTATGTAAAACAAGGTTCGGTATGTATACATGTAGTAAAACTACGCTCCTGATTAAGAACACATCGTGTTATCGCTATGCATTACAGGGTGTTTGTAAAATTTGCAATAATGATAATTATAATATTTATTCAAGAAAAGGCATACACAACAAAAAACAATTTCATATACAATGTAAGTAGGTAATTTACAAAATGGATGTCTGTAATTTACGTATTTTTCCTTACCCAGGGATAGCCAATCAAAGCCATATAAAGCTTATTTCCAATGGGGTCCCCTACGCCTTGTTAGCTATTTTTCAAATATAATAAAAAAAAAAACGTTATTACAAGAAGTTCTTTTTACAGAACCAATAACATTTTCTATGTGACGTTTCAATACTTCTCATAATCCATACTTAACAACCTGAAGAAAATGTTTAGAAATAAAAAAAAACGTATTAACAATACATCCATAATGTCAATCTGTTGAAATTCCCTTCATGATCTTGACAAGATGGTATCTCATCTTATCCCGAGAATAAGAGTAAAAGACCAGCTGAAGGTTAACTCATAGAAAAATAACTTGTTAACGGGCTAGAATATAATTATAAAGGTCCATTGGTTTAAGACGTAACTGTTAGTAAAAGGGCTAATTGTTTGAACTATATGGACTAAGATAACAGAAGTGATGAGAATAGATCAAAAATATGTCAAATGACAGATGATCGATTATAATAGGACAGTTTGGGTTGAATTGGAAATATTTTGCTTTTAATTATAAAGGTATAACCTATATATTAGAATTCATATATTTAGTAATTACTATATAAATGATCTTTTGGCATGTTCTAATATTACTGTTGGATTTAATCCACTAATTATGCAATTTTGCTGCCTTCATGATTTATTGTTGGTTGATTTAATCATACCTAAAAAAAAACAAAAAAACTTTTAAGACTTAACTTACCCAGTACCTGGGTACAGTGCCTGGCTAAGTTAAGTTTAATTGGCAATTTTTCTGGTTTTCAGTTATCATCCCAATACAGGATTGCTTTTTTTCCAATATGGTTTTGTTTTGGATAAACATACAACTGGGGTGTGCTGCTCAGTGGTATACATTTATATGTATCTTATTTGTACGTTACAAGGAATAATGTGGTTATTAGTTCAAGTATTGTTACCATAGATGAAACGGAGTCCTGGTATGTAAAAAGTAAGTCTCTTTGTCCGATACATGTTTAAGGACACAAAATAAAATCCCTGGGTAGCTTGTACATTTATGTATACATGTAATGTTTTTATGTTTATGTATATGTATCTTATTTGCCCTAATTATATAATAAGCTATCTAGGAAATGAACAATTACAAAATATAAAAATAATTGCAGAACATTTTATGTCGTAAAACTTAACCAGAATAGGTGAAGGAATGGAATGCTCAGACAAAAAGAGGGAAGAGGGCAATGACAAGGACAAAAAATAGGGTAGAGGGTGTTTACAAGGACAAAAAATAGGGTAGAGGGCATTTACAAGGACAAAAAATAGTGTAGAAGGTGTTTACAAAGACAAAAAATAGGGTAGAGGGTGTTTACAAGGACAAAACATAGGGTAGAGGGCAATGACAAGGACAAAACATAGGGTAGAGGGCGTTTACAAGGACAAAAAATAGGGTAGAGGGTATTTACAAGGACAAAATATAAAAATAATTGCAGAACATTTTATGTTGTAAAACTTAACCAGAATAGATACTTACTATATATAGGAGTCAGTAAATTATGGTGAAGGAATGGAATGCTCAGACAAAAATAGGGTAGAGGGCAATGACAAGGACAAAACAAAGGGTAGAGGGCAATGACAAGGACAAAACATAGGGTAGAGGGCATTTACAAGGACAAAAAATAGGGTAGAGGGCGTTTACAAGGACAAAATATAAAATGATTGCAGAACATTTTATGTCGTAAAACTTAACCAGAATAGATACTAACTATATATAGGAGTCAGTAAATTATGGTGAAGGAATGGAATGCTCAGACAAAAATAGGGTAGAAGGTGTTTACAAGGACAAAAAATAGGGTAGAGGGCGTTTACAAGGACAAAATATAAAAATAATTGCAGAACATTTTATATCGTAAAACTTAACCAGAATAGATACTAACTATATATAGGAGTCAGTAAATTATGGTGAAGGAATTGAATGCTCAGACAAAAATAGAGTAGAGGGCGTTTACAAGGACAAAAAATAGGGTAGAGGGCAGTTACAAGGAATAATGTGGTTATTAGTTCAAGTATTGTCTCTTTGTCCGATACATGTTTAAGGACACAAAATAAATCCCTGGGTATCTTGAACATTTATGTATACATGTAATGTTTTAGTGTCTAAGTATGAAAGTAAAGGGGTATTTAATCTATTTATACATGACTGTGAGGTAAACCATTTGCCGGACCTTTCTTTTGTTGTATAAGTGTATCCTGATGGGACCTTTCTTTTATTTTATAGTCTATTGTGATGGGACATTTCTTTTGTTGTATAGTCTATCCTGATGAGTTGTTAATTATGTAAAGTTAATTGATATAAGTTATTAACTGTTAATTGATGTAAAATCAGTGGCATAATTTTGTTAAGATGTTTTTTTTCATTGTCCAAGTTTTAAGTATACACCACCTCAAGTGTTTATAAAGATCTATAACAATCCTTCTGGGTTTTTCACATATTGTTTGATATTTGTTTTATACATTTTTAAAAGGCACGAGCTGGCTTCACTTTTGTCAGAATTAATCTCAATAAGTTTGAAGATTATTAACAATACCGCTGTACATTACAAAATTAGTTTAAATTATATCTCCATTGTAATATTCCCGAAAAAAAAGATACTATTGAGCAATTTTGGGAAATTAAAATTATAAGATACATATGTATATGCAGTGTACTCATTGTTAGATTTACCTTAAAGATAAACTTTAAAAAAATGGAAGTCAGACCATTTACCTTCACTGAAGACATTTACGCCGAGATAAACAGCAATATGCTTAACAACAAAGTTCAGTATTTGTTTACCTTTAATACTCATCCTTAATGACAGCTCACTGATGGCTAATCAGAAGGGATTAAACTGAGTCAATGTTCTACAATATGATATAATGAAATTTGATTATCTTGTTATCTAGTTTCTACCTTTTGAAAAATTCTGTTTCCTCTTGAAAAAATCTGTTTCCTCTTATTGTCTTCTTAAGTACATGATATGCTACAAAATATTAGAAAGGTTTAATTTGGACCTAAATATTTGTGTAAATGGAAAATATAAGGTCCAAAAAAAAAGCATTTTTAATATTTTAATAATCATGCAAGGAAACAAGAATTAAATATTCTGATGTCTTTTGCTTACACATGTATTGTGTGTTTCATTAAATGATATTGACACATTAACTGACATGGTCTGTCATGAACACCTGTTCTTTTGGTCCCTCATATAGATAACCACCGGTATCTTTCTGGTTCCTCATAGACACCTGTCCCTGTGGTCCCTCATAAAGATAACCACCGGTATCTTTCTGGTTCCTCATAGGCACCTGTCCTTGTGGTCCCTCATATAGATAACCACCAGTATCTTTCTGGTTTCTCATAGACACCTGTCCTTGTGGTCCTTCATAAAGATAACCACCGGTATCTTTCTGGTTCCTTATAGACACCTGTCCTTGTGGTCCTTCATATAGATAACCACCAGTATCTCTCTGGTTCCTCATAGACACCTGTCCTTGTGGTCCTTCATATAGATAACCACCGGTATCTTTCTGGTTCCTCATAGGCACCTGTCCTTGTGGTCCCTCATATAGATAACCACCAGTATCTTTCTGGTTTCTCATAGACACCTGTCCTTGTGGTCCCTCATATAGATAACCACCGGTATCTTTCTTAGTCCTCATAGACACCTGTCCTTGTGGTCCCTCATATAGATAACCACCGGTATCTTTCTGGTCCCTCATAGGCACCTGTCCTTGTGGTCCTTCATATAAATAACCACCAGTATCTCTCTGGTTCCTCATAGACTCCTGTCCTTGTGGTCCTTCATATAGATAACCACCAGTAGCTTTCTGGTTCCTCATAGACTCCTGTCCTTGTGGTCCTTCATATAGATAACCACCAGTATCTTTCTGGTTCCTCATAGGCACCTGTCCTTGTGGTCCATCATATAGATAACCACCGGTATCTTTCTGGTTCCTCATAGACACCTGTCCTTGTGGTCCCTCATATAAATAACCACCGGTATCTTTCTGGTTCCTCATCTACACCTGTCCGTGTGGTCCCTCATATAGATAACCAACGGTATCTTTCTGGTTCCTCATATACACCTGTCCGTGTGGTCCCTCATAAAGATAACCAGCGGTATCTTTCCGAGTCCTCATAGGCACCTGTCCTTGTGGTCCCTAGATATAGATACCTATTTTTTGGTCCCTTATAGGCACCTGTCCTTGTGGTGCCTCATATACAAAAACATGTCCTTGTGGTGCTTCATAGACAAACACCTGTCCTTGTGGTGCCTCACAGACAAACATCTGTCCTTGTGGTGCCTCACAGACAAACACCTGTCCTTGTGGTGCCTCACAGACAAACATCTGTCCTTGTGGTGCCTCATAGACGAACTCCTGTCCTTATGGTGCCTCATAGACAAACACCTGTCCTTGTGGTGCCTCATAGACAAACACCTGTCCTTGTGGTGCCTCAGACACCTGTCATTCTGATCCCTCAAACATGCTCGTCCTCTTTAAAGTGTATTTGTTGTAATCCTTCCTTTATATATTAATTATAGATGTTAATTGTTATTTTTTTTATCTTGTTTGTTCGCTTACTTGAGATGAAATATATTGTAATAAAATAAACATTTTTACATTGTAGTGTTTTTCTTTGTGTTTTCTAACAGACCTGTGTTGCACAAGGACTCTTAATTGAATAAATCCCTAACCTACTGAACTTTTAAGGTCACCTGAGCTTTAGGTCTAGTAACCTTTTGCTATCTGTCTTCGTAAATTTTACATTTTCAATGAAAGTTGAAAAACTGTTGAAGGGATTTCATTTATATTTCCTTGGAAAGTAACTGACATCTCCCTGACTAAGTGTTGTTATTTTTCGGGTCGCTCAGAAATCCAATATGGCTGCCAATGCAGTCATTTTGAAAAAAAATATTTCAAACTTCAAAGACAAGTTCTAATGGGCCGATTTAACTGAAACCTATTAGGAATGAACGACTCATGGTCCTGACAAAGTGTTGTTGTTTTTCGGGTCCATCAGAAATCCAATATGGCCACCAATGGAGCCATTTGATAAAATCAAGAGGCCCAAGGGCCTGTATCACTCACCTGAATATATGTTTAAAATAATTGGTATGAAGTAAAGATATAGCACTCCATGGTAGGTGCTGTAAGTACATATGAAATTTCAGAAATATCCATCAAGTACTTGAGATATAGCAAGAACAAACTCCAAACGGAGCACCATCCCAATGCCCTAAGGGGGTCATACCCACCAATTATACAAAATTGAGTCCCCTTGATCCAAGGATGCTCCAGACTAAATTAGGATACAATACCTTAATCCCTATGGTAGAAGAAAGATTTTATAAGTTTTACCTCTATTTACCCTATTTGGCTCTGCCTCTGGGGGGGTCAGACACACTGTTTATACAAAATTGGTTACCCTTAACTCAAGGGTGCTTCATACCAATTTTTGACAAAATCCTGCCATTGAAGAATTTGCTATGTTTCCCCTATTGGGCCCCTCCCTTCTGCCCCCCAGGAGAGGGGGGGGGGGGGGGGTACACTCGCTGTTTATACGGAATTAGGTCCATTTTGCCCAAGGATGCTCACCATGATCCTTCGTACCAGGTGAGCTAAAAACTATTTCAAGCTTAAAATCAAGTTCTAATAGAACAAGGGGTGTGATATACAGGTTTTACTATACTTGGATAATAGAACAAGGGGTGTGATATAGAGGTTTTACTATATATACTGGAATAATAGAACAAGGGGCATGATATGGAGGTTTTACTATACTGGAATAATAGAACAAGGGGCGTGATATACAGGTTTTACTATACTGGAATAATAGAACAAGGGGCGTGATATACAGGTTTTACTATACTTGAATAATAGAACAAGGGGTGTGATATCGATGTTTTACTATACTGGAATAATAGAACAAGGGGTGTGATATACAGGTTTTACTATACTTGAATAATAGAACAAGGGGCATTATATAGACGATTTACTTTACTGGAATAATAGAACAAGGGTTTTGAAATTAAGGTTCAACTGTACTGGTATAAATAGAATGAGAATATATTATTTTACCGTACTAGCTGATATTAATAGAAAGAGGGGCATGATGTTAAAGTTAACTATATTGATATCAGAATAAAAGCTTGATACCAAGGTTTTACTGTACTGGTATTAATAGAATGAGGGTTGTAGTATCAAGGTTTTACTGTACTGGTATTAGGAAATGAGTGTTGTGGTATCAAGGTTTTACTGTACTGGTATTAATAGAATGAGGGTTGTAGTATCAAGGTTTAACTGTACTAGTATTACTAGAATGAGGGTTGTAGTATCAAGGTTTTACTGTACTGGTATTGATAGAATGAGGGTTGTAGTATCAAGGTTTTACTGTACTGGTATTATGAAATGAGGGTTGTGGTATCAAGGTTTTACTGTACTGGTATTAATAGAATGAGGGTTGTGTTTTCAATGTTTTACTGTACTGGTTTTATCGGAATGAGGGTTGTGGTATCAAGGATTTACTGTACTGGTATTAATAGAATGAGGGTTGTGTTTTCAATGTTTCACTGTACTGGTATTATCAGAATGAGGGTTGTGTTATCAAGGTTTTACTGTACTGGTATTAATAGAATGAGGGTTGTAGTATCAAGGTTTTACGGGACTGGGGTTAAAAGAATGAGGGTTGAGGTATCAAGGCTTTACTGTACTGGTATGAAAAGAATGAGGGTTGAGGTATCAAGGCTTTACTGTGCTGGTATTAATAGAACGAGGGTTGTGTTTTCAATGTTTTCCTGTACTGGTTTTATCAGCATGAGGGTTGTGGTATCACGGTTTTACTGTACTGGTTTTATCAGCATGAGGGTTGTGGTATCAAGGATTTACTGTACTGGTATTATGAAATGGGGGTTGTGGTATCAAGGTTTTACTGTACTGGTATTAAAAGAATGAGGGTTGTGGTATAAAGTTTTTTTGTACTGTATTAATAGAATGATGGTTGTAGTATCAAGGTTTTACTGTACTGGTATTAATAGAATGAGGGTTGTGGTATCAAGGTTTTACTGTACTAGTATTAATAGAGTGAGGGTTGTAGTATCAAGGTTTTACTGTACTGGTATTAATAGAATAAGGGTTGTGGTATCAAGGTTTTACTGGACTGGTATTATTAGAATGAGGGTTGTAGTATCAAGGTTTTACTGTACTGATATTAATAGAATGAGGGTTGTGGTATCAAGGTTTTACTGTACTGGTATTAATAGAATGAGGGTTGTGATATCAAGGTTTTACTGTACTGGTATTATTAGAATGAATGTTGTGATATCAAGGTTTTACTGTACTGATATTATTAGAATGAATGTTGTGGTATCAAGGTTTTACTGTACTGATATTAATAGAATGAGGGTTGTGGTATCAATGTTTTACTGTACTGGTATTATCAGAATGAGGGTTGTGGTATCAAGGTTTTACTGTACTGATATTAATAGAATGAGGGTTGTGGTATCAAGGTTTTACTGTACTGGTATTATTAGAATGAATGTTGTGGTATCAAGGTTTTTTAGTGAACCAGTATTGATGGATAGTGGGACAGGTCATAAAAAACCTTTATATATCACCTAAATCCTGGTCTCAAGGGTGCATCATAATAAACTTGGTATAAATACAATCAACTTGTCAAGGAAAGTAGGTTGCAAAGATTGAACACCAAATTTCCCCCTTTAAGGATTGCCCCTTGCCCTCAAGAGCAGCTAAAATCTCCCTTTATACAACAATCGGTTTCAAGGACCAGATATGTTTCATGTGGCTTGTTCCTATTTTGCCTCAAAAGACATCAAAATTAAAAAAAGGATTCAATTGAATTTTAAAATCAGTTTGGGCCATAATATGGTATGGTGAGCATCTGTCCGTCCGTCCATATGCATCGACTGTGGTTTTCACAGGCTATCATTTGATTTGGATGGAACTTGGAATGCATGTACAATATAAAAAGACTACGGCCAACTTGGGAAGTTGACAAAAAACTGCACATAATTAATTGACATACTGTGCTCTGCTTGGTAAACAGTTTCTGCACAGTAACTTAATTCAAATATGACCAGATTCTTTTATAGTTTATATAACATGACGACAGAGGCCGACTTCAAAGTGGGCAAAATTATACAACATAAAGAAAAAAAAGCATAATCTGTGCATAACAAGAGGCCCAGAGGGCCTGTATCGCTCACCTGGATATCAAAGTAATTATGGCAAAATATTCTCCAAATAAGATCCAAAGGAATGTGCCAGACCCCAAGGACAATCCTTGTATCTTATCTGTATTAGATTTTTCATGCCCAGCAATTTTATGTATGGTTATGGGGTGGGGATCTCAACTGTTTCCAAGGTGTGACTCAGAAACTAGGTCCCTAGGGTTGTGGCCAGACCCCAGGATCAATTATAATATCATGACTGCATTCGTCTCTTTATGCCCAGCATTTGTATATACAATTTTGGGATGGGGATCTCAACTGTTTCAAAGTTATGACCCAGAGGTTAAGTCTTCGAGGGTGGGACAGAACCAGGGGTCAATTCTAATATCATGACTGCATTCGTCTCCTTATGCCCAACAATTGCATATATAGTTTTGGGGTGGGGATCTTAACCGTTTCAAAGTTATGACCTAGTGGTTAAGTCTCCAAGGGTGGAGCAGACTCTGGAATCAATTCTAATATCCTGACTGCATTCGTCTCTTTATGCCCAACAATTGTATATATAGTTTTGGGGTGGGGATCTTAACCGTTTCAAAGTTATGACCCAGGGGTTTAGTCTCCAAGGGTGTGGCCAGACCCCTGGGCAATCCTGGAAACATATGTGCATTCTTCTCTTCATTTTTGGCCCCACCCTTTTGACAAGGGGGTCAGCCCCAATACTTGTACAATTTGAATCCCTGCCTCCCATGAATGCTTCCAACCAAATATGAGTGATATCCAGTGCATAGTTCTACAGAAGAAGACATTTATAGCAATATAGCCAAACTACCCCTATTGGCCACGCCCCTCAGCCCCCTGGGGAGTCAGCCCCACCATTCGTATAATTTTGAATCCCCACTACCTAGGGATGCTTCCAGTAAAATATGGTTGATATCCATCTCTTAGTTCCAGAGGAGAAGTCGCTTAAAGCAATGTAGCCAAATAACCTTTTGACCTCGCCCATCAGCCCCCTTGGGAGTCAGTCCAGCCGTTTGTATAATTTTGAATACCCATTACCTAGGGATGCTTCCAGTAAAATATGGTTGATATCCATCTCTTAGTTCCAGAGAAGTCGCTTAAAGCAATATAGCCAAATTGATCCCTTTTGGCCCCACCCCTCAGCCCCACCATTTGTACAATTTTGAATATCCACTACCTAGGGATGCATCCAGTAAAATATGGTTGATATCCATTGCACAGTTCTACAGAAGAAGTTGTTTATAGCAATATAGCCAAATTGTCCCCTTTTGGCCCCACCCCTCAGCCTCCTGTGGGGTGAGCCTCACCATTTGTACAATTTTGAATCCCAGCCTCCCATGAATGCTTCTGACCAAATATGATTGATATCCATTACACGGTTCTACAGAAGAAGTCATTTATAGCAATATAGCCTAATTGTCCCCTTTTGGCCCGGCCCCACCCCTCAGCTCCCTTGGGGGTCAACCCTATCATTTCCACAATTTTGAATCCCCACCACCTAGGGATGCTTCCAGTCAAATTTAGTTAAATTCCAATCAGTGGTTAAGAATAAGTCGTTTGAAGAAATTATTGACGTACGGACGAAGAACGCCACGGTGAGCTAATAAATTAGAATACAGCTGCGATTAGAAAATTAATTATACTATTAACGATCTACCAGTAATCAATAGTTATATGAATCATTTATGGGCAGAAGGGGTCAGTAACAAATTCTTTTCTCCTGGTACGAAATATGGGCAAAGAGAAATTAAGCCTACTGGGGTAAGCAAATAAATATTTTCCAGATTTATTAATGTATAATATATAGATACATTCCTTCAGCTTAAATGGGTTTACTCCTTTCATCATATCCCAGAAATATTTGAAATTTATATAGCATTTTCTTTCATTTTAATATAAGACTGCGTCAGAAAGCTTTGATGCATGTCAATTTGGCATTGGCATATATTGCCCCAGCTCTTGTTTAACTTAAGAAACATCCACAAAACTATAATGAATATGTTTAATTCGTTTCTAATTATGATTGCCATGGTAACCAGTTTAAAGTGTAGAAATGGCTTTTAATTGATTTTCTTCCAGATATCTAATTTGTACAGAATTGGTGTAAGAGTCAAGTATATTTATTACACAATAGAGAAAGTTTCTGGTCTCCTCAACCAAGCCTATTTAGCTTTGCTTTGTCTGGGGAATCAGAAACATGCTATGTTCCTCAAAGCCATACTTTAACTGTTTGAGATAGTCCCTGGACAAAGTGAAGCAGAGATGGACTGAGCAACAGAGTGTGAACCTATTACCCCTTCTGGTTGTACCAGTAGACTTTTTGTCAGGAAATGGCACGCAAGCAACAGTAGCAAATGAAAGGAAACAAACAAATGCCATTGTCATGTGCAAGTCAACGAGCAAAATAATCTACAAACACAGTTCAGTTTTGATAAAATTTAATTTGTAAATGTCTGTTTTTAACACATTTGTACTGTAGGAAGGACACCAGGTCAGTGTCTGCTATATCAGTGTATACAGGTATTATCCACACCTGTCATTAACCAGGTGACTTTAACATGTTGTAGGTGTGTAACATTAATTCTTTCCAAGTTAATTATTTCCCACATAATTTACTTTATCTGTTTATTTCAATCACAGAGGTGCATAGTAACACAGTATCAATACCTAAACTGACCATAAAAGATACATTTTGTTTGTTTTATGGTGAATCTGGTGTTATTTCCATGTAATACTACTTAAACCAATAACTACAGCCACTGAAACAAACAAAAGCTTTGATATTGTACAAAATTTATGTTTCATGCAGATTCCCCTCAATGAAAAATTGCCCTGATCACATGATATAAACATATTGCAGAAATTATGTAATACAACACAAACTAGTTATTACAATATGGATACCAACTGAGCAGACAACATACTTAACTTGGAATTATCGACATAGCTAAGAACAGGATAAATTATAATTATTCTTCATATTACATGAAATGGAACTTCACATGCACATCCAATTCTGATATGAACTGTTTGGCAAAGTTACAGCCCAAATGACTGTTTGGCATAGTACAGTCACAGTGATCACATCTCCAAACAGGAACTAAACAAACATACATGTATACTGATAGCACTATAGCGTATTTGCAGGCATACACATACTTTGATCATAAGATTATAGGGATTTATTCAAACATCTAACTTATTAGTACAGCTGTTTTTGATATCTTCTGTGGGGAAAAAACATTTCTTTTCAAGCAAACATGTAAAACCTAACTTAGTCTTTTTCATTAGGTTATATATTTGTAAAATGTATCTTGTTTACAAACCAATCTGTATTGGAATCTGGAGGGGCTGCCATCAACACTTCAAAAAGAGACAGATACCACCCAACCATCCCGGTTCATATCACTTAGCTTGCATAAATGACAAGAACAGAAAATTGTTTGATACCAGCAAGATTGCATAAATGACAAGCACAGAAACCACTTGCTGTTAGTTTTTAATAGCTTGCAAAGATGACAACTACAGAAAACCACTTGCTGTTCCTTAGCTTTCAAAGATGACAACTACAGAAAATCACTTGCTGTTCCTTAGCTTTCAAAGATGACAATGACAGAAAAACACTTGCTGTTCCTTAGCTTGCAAAGATGACAATGACAGAAAACCACTTGCTGTTCCTTAGCTTGCAAAGATGACAACTACAGAAAACCACTTGCTGTTCCTTAGCTTTCAAAGATGACAATGACAGAAAACCACTTGCTTTTCCTTAGCTTTCAAAGATGACAATGACAGAAAACCCCTTGCTGTTCCTTAGCTTTCAAAGATGACAATGACAGAAAACCCCTTGCTGTTCCTTAGCTTTCAAAGATGACAACTACAGAAAATCACTTGCTGTTCCTTAGCTTTCAAAGATGACAATGACAGAAAACCACTTGCTGTTCCTTAGCTTGCAAAGATGACAAGTACAGAAAACAACTTGCTGTTCCTTAGCTTGCAAAGATGACAACTACAGAAAACCACTTGCTGTTCCTTAGCTTGCAAAGATGACAATCACAGCAACCGACTTCCTGTCACTTAACTTGCAAGGTGACCAAGAATCAGAACCACTTGCTAATTCTTCGCATGTAAAGATGACAAGTACATCAAACCACTGCTCTCACTTAGCTTGCATAAAAAAGTTCTTAGAACCATTTTCTCTCACCTGAGTTGCAAAGATGGCAAGCACAGTACAACAAACGTATTTGCTATCACTTAACTTGCAAAGATAAGAAAGTAACAGACAACCAAAGGACTTGATATCATCAGAAGAAAGAAAGCCATCATGTTGTAGCAACAAACTACCCAGTACATGTAGTTGTTCACACATTAGTATAGAAGCAGACAAGATGAGCACTATATACAGTAAGTAATTAATACTTAATACATTGTATGTCTTTTTATATCCATGTTTCCTGAAAAATCCTTTAAATATGCATGGACTAGTAATTTAAATCTATGGCGAAACAAGCACATATTTCCTTGATAGGATCTGTCCTCATTGTTAATTATATTAAACAATGCTTTAATGAACTTCAGAATAAATATGAATAACATTTTCCATTACAGAAATACTTTTTTTTTTAAATCAGTCTTTGATGCTGAATCAAATTGATTGTAATTTACAAATGTAACATCCATTTTTTCAATAATAAATACCTACCATGCTTTGTCCTGGTCTCTGTTTAACAAAGTAACCATTACAATCAGCAGCATTAATCTACTACACTGCTCTAAAATGTTCCTATCCAGTCCTACCTACAACAAACTGGATTGGAGAATAATAACTACTTATTGATCAAACTTCATCACAGATATTTTTCCTTCACTTTACAGATGCCGTATATCCATTTTTGAACTATGGGTGACAAAAACGAAGGTGTCGACAGTATTACTGGGAGGAAGCCATATCTCCCAAGTCTAGACATGCAGAATGTAGTAAACTGTCTAGGAACCTGCACAGGCAGAGCTCAATCTTTCTACTGGTGAGACTAGAAAGCTATAGTAAGTGTATGAAGGACCATAAACTAGGAATTACCAATATACGGCCCAGCAGAGAGGTATTATACCACAACATTTTCCATTGATTTAACACAAACTGATTTTCCTTAAATAAAACTGTTGATCAGTACCTTATCTTTACCAAATACGATACTGGATTTTCTTTTAAAGACTGTTACCCTGCACAGGAGTGTGCAATTTCAATAGCAGCCAGCAGCCCGATTTAAAAAAAATCACTAGCCTGCTGTCTTTCCATTGTAAATATTGAAAATTTTCACTAGCTCCAACATAAAATCTTCTAACCCCAGTCATCAGGCTTGACATAAAATCTTCTAACTCCAGGTGTCAGGCTTGTGGAACTCACCACCCCTGCTGCAGTCAGTATTTATCAAAGATATTAAACATGATAATTCAGATTCATTAAATTAAATTTCAATGAGAAAAAAGACAAACAAGAAAGGAATCAGAATCTAACTGAAAATAAAGTATGATTGAAAACAGGGCAGAAAAGTGTTAAACAGAAATCTAAGTTTTTGAATAACTTATATGGGAAAAAGAATAGACAAATCTAGTGTAGCTGGGAGTGATGGGTATGGCTTGAAGGGTTCCGATAAAGAGATGACACACCAGTATAAAACCTGCTGAACAACAATTACAGATCTCTGGACAAATTATACAAAAACACATCACAATGGGTTTGCCCAACACAAATACTGCCTAATTCAGCAGTTAAAATGTGAATAATGTTCATCACATATCAAATACACAGTACAGGGAATTTCTTCGGGTGAGCTTAACATTGTCAGTAACCATCACAAGCTTCAAAGCAATCATATTCCTCTGGAGTTGTAATTCCTCCTTAAAGCATTCCGAATCCCTTGGAGTAGTTGATGGCCTTCAGTAGTCTCTCATTGAGTTTTTCCTTTGAGGAATAGTCCGGTAACAGTAGTACATTGAAGCAGGTGTGTGCTGTCGGCAGCCTACATACAGGGAGAGACAAAGTATTGAAGTATAAAACATGTAAACCATACAATTAACTACAGACACTAGATACTGAGGAATAGTCCGGTAACAGTAGTACATTGAAGCAGGTGTGTGCTGTCGACAGCCTACATACAGGGAGAGACAAAGTACTGAAGTATAAAACATGTAAACCATACAATTAACTACAGACACTAGATACTGAGGAATAGTCCAGTAACAGTAGTACATTGAAGCAGGTGTGTGCTGTCGGCAGCCTACATACAGGGAGAGACAAAGTTCTGAAGTATAAAACACGACAAGCAGGGCATGGGCTCCCACTCCATTTGGAGATACAATTTATAAAACAATGACATGCTTTTGAAATCAATGACAGAATTTATTTATAATCATTCAATTAGTTGCTAATACAAGATATAAATTTGTCACCAATAGCAATGCATGGTATAGTACTACAATATCATTTGCCTAAAATATCTTTATTGCTTAAAATGTATGAACTGAAAATGAACTTGAATGAAATATTAACTACCACAGCAATCTCAAGTCTGTTAAAATGAGGGCCCGAATGCCTCAAATTCTGATACGCAAGCTTTGTAAAACATGTATAGAACTTGATTTTATGGTTGAAACATGACATATGTTTTATCATCTGAAACACACACATTTAAATGACATAAGTGTAGCCCTAAAAAAAGTGCAAAACAGACCTGAAGTAGTTTGTTGACCAAATTATGTTTCCACTTGGGTTTATTTAAAACATAGTGATTTATTGTTTCTTATTTACAGCCAAAATCACTAACAGTAACTCTAGATTTGTATACAAGTGAATGGGAGTGGACCATATTGCAGTGCGTGATTCTGTTTAGAAATAAGCTGCTTTTCAGCATTACACTAATATTAATATTGTTGTTCATAAGTATTTAAACAGAGATGACTTACTTCCAGTGTTTTGTTGTTGAGAGATCAACATATGTTCTCTATCATGTTAATATATGAAGTGTTTATTAATAACTGTTTAATTTGCTAAACATTAACAGTATTTGTTGTTGTTGATTATTATTGTTTGATTACAGAATTTACCAATAACCTGGTTCCTCAGTCAGAAGATTTTTGAGTCACCAGTTACTAAATTTCAACCAGTGTGACAATCCTAGTTATAACTCTAAGCATACCAAAGACTAATTTTGAAGACTATTGAGGTTAACGAAACGAAAGGTTCCCATATTTAACTCACAATTGATAATTAGTATAACAAATCTCCTGGAGTTCATCTAAAACATTATGTGCTAGTGTTGTTATTTATTTAAAGTCAGTATTGATTGCAATCAAGATCACAAACATAAACTGTAGATTCTTGTACAAGTGGCAGGGTTGCCAAAGGAGTCCAGTGTGGGAGATCTCCCTCCACTGGGTTTTCTTAAGTGTGAGACTTTTGACGGCGTCGCGGCGTTACGTCGTTTCATGTGTTGAGATAACATTTACCTATGTATCAAACAAATCCTGGCTTTCTCTGACTAATATAACATCTGCATTGTTGATCTTTTTACTTCTAAGTTTTATAATGCTCAAGTTTCTAACTCATTTGTATTGCAATGGATATAATCTATCAACATATTTCATATTGGATCACAGTACTAAGAGCAACCTGCAATAAAACTTCAAAATCCTACCTATCCGAGTCTGGCCCGTTGCGGGCGATTATGAGTTTGAGTTTGGAGAGGCCTCCTACGGGAACACGGTCGGTCCCTGTGGTGAACTGGACCAGCTTTCTTTTCTGTTCATCCGAGAAGCTATGGACAACTTCCCAGAAATGTCTGAAATAAGACAAAAAATAGGTTATCATGTAAAAAATAAAGGAAATATTAGAGAGAAACCTAAGTTTGCTTTGCTTTAACTGTAGAGTTTTTCTTGTGATACAATACATGTGTATATTTCAATTGTTATTTACTGGTATCAATTTATTTACACTAAAACAATCAAATACCAATCTATGGACAATTCAAATAATAAAACAAAATTCAAGCTTCTTCAAATTTGATTGACGAAACGCCCCGGGACGGTAAGATATAAAGAATTCAACTTCTATTAAAAATAAAATTAGCCAGAGAATCATGTTAAGTTAAATACACATGAAATCTCTCCAGGAGCAGCAGCTTTCAGTAGTCTTACTTGATTGTGGTCGAGTCAACAGTAAATCCTCCATCATAGTCAGTAGCCTCCTCCAGTTCATGGAAGTCAAATTGCTACAAGAGAAAGGCAGACACTTGATATAAAGCTATTCACTCCTTCATCCTAATATTTATTTCTGGACTATTCCAATGAGAATGAAAATGATAGTTATTTGATCTCCTTTCAAAACGATGATTGACATGTCTCAACCTTGCTTTGAAAATATATGCAATTTTTTATTTATGAGAGGATATCAAAAGCCGATTCTAAACACCAAATTTGACATGCTAAATGCATTATCAGATGGTATGTACTGAATACAGCTTTTATACTCAAAACCGTCTATCTGTTGTCACAAGCAACAACGCTATGATGATAGTAAAGGAAATTCTCAGCCTAACATCGCTTACAAGATTAATTACGAAAACAAATTTGGTGTTGGCCTGAACTTCTCAACTAACCAAAGGCTTTGCATACAATAGCACACCTTAAAACTACCCTTTAATTGCAAAAGCTGCAGATCTAGTTGTGGCAGCTACACTTTCACCATGAAACATTCAAATTGGCAAGTAAAATTAACCCAATTATAGCCCTAAATGTCTTGGCCAATCAGAGGCCACTGTAGCCATCTTGAAGTTTAATGCAGATAAAGGAATGTCTTTACTTATGTGAACACCTACCTTACTACCACAAATCAGCAGCTCTATCTCCTCTGGCAGGAACAGTATTCTCAATGGACTTTCATTCGTCACCATATGAAATCCCCTTTTAAAGGCATGGAATTGTTTCTCAATGCCTTTGTTCAGGATGAAGTCAGTGTACAAATCAGCAAATTCCTGGGAAAAAATGCAAAAAAGATAGCTATTACCAGTTTAGCATTCTCATAAAGTGAAAATACAATATTCTATTAGATTAAAAACACACCTACTAATATATAACATGACTATGTCTTCATACATTAATATCAGCTACATTTGAATAGTCACAGCATCGTACAACTTTATCAGTAGCTAACTGCTCATTGGGAATTGTCTAGAACAAAGCATTACTTGGACAGCCATATGGCTTATTTTTCTGTATGACACCTACCTGCTTATTTTCTTGACAAACCATGATGTTTGCACCATTCTCCTTCAAGTCATGAGTTAACGCACTCCCAAACACATCTTTATAGTCAATGCGGAAGGACTGGGGGAAAACATCTTCAAAATCTTCCTTTTGATATTCTAGCATCTGCTTCAGACTGCTGGCCATTGTCTGAGTAACAACCACAAAGTGTGACATTTGTCAAAACAAAATCCAGCAAAAGATCAAATATAAAAAAATATATCACAATTTCCGTTATTTTTTCAGTAGAATCTTGAACAATTTTTATTGAAGTATACATTTAAAATGCCTGAACATTACTTACAGGATCAATGTCCTTCAGGTCTGCCCACATGCCCTTCTTGCCCATTAGTTTTCGGTAGACAACTGGTGGGAAGTGGACATCCACGATTGTGTTGTTGTAGATGGCAAGACCAAGCATTATGCCAATAAGTGTGAACTGACCATCATTTTCAAACGATGTAGGGTTAAACCAAAAGAAGTGCGTGTCTTCGTTGTAAGTAAACATCCCTGCAGCAAAAAAATGAACAAAATCAAATTTGCTCTATGATTATTTAGTAACGTTTAAGTGTTATGTTATCTCTTTGTATTTTAAAACTGTCAGAATGACATGAAAGTCAACATATCATTCCGTATAATCCTTTTCCGATAAATCATTGACCAAGCGTCAACGGATATATTTCCACCTGTCAATCAAAATGGTAAACAATGACCAGGTGTAAATACATACACACTACGCTGTTCAGGTAGCCTTGCCAACATATGAAATTAATAAGAAAGCATGTCGCAAATATAAAGTTAGCGTTGACCGACACCTCAAATATGGGGAGATATGTGCACCGACACGTCACCTGGCAAGGACAGAACAGGTAATTGAAATATAATGATGTTGTTTACACAACAATATGTTTCAGAAAATACAAAATCTTTTGTACGGATAAATCTTTAACTAGTTATGAAATACACTTTTCCAAGAAGTTTTCTAATCGTCTGCAAATCCGACTGAATCGCTCATCGATATCGGCAGAGTGTGTACTCTTAAAGGCAGTCACTCAAACAGGTCTGATGAGGACCGCCAACAGCGGAATTCGCAAGACATCAGCAATTCTCCTTTGAAAAGAAAAGATCGTAATATATTTGGCTGTTTGAACCTGTTAATATTTATTTTTCAAACTCAAACTTTTATCATTATCGGTTCAATGCACATGGGTGTCACCTTGTAAATTCCTGCTGGTTAATAGTATCACGCGACCTTGACTCTTTGCGGAACTCAAACTTGCTAACTTCGCCAATTTACCCATGTCGTATTGACACATTCCTACTGTCAAGATTGAAGAGTGCAGCATGTTTTTACTCAAGAACGACATTTTAAGCAAAGAGTGATAAATGCGATGCAATTCTTTATCATGTTTCCTGATACGTGGTATTTATCAATTCACAACATCACGTCCGGAAAGGTGGGGCCTACTTTACTTGAGTTTATTTATCCGATTCAATCGTATAATATGACTAAAATTGGCAATGCAATCGGGGGTTATTCAACGAAATTTAGCAGTGTATTGCTGCGAGCATATTTCAAAACATTTCCAAAAATCCTCGAGAAATGGTCGTGACCAAGGACTGGTTTTGGATTCTTCTTGAGTATTATCGTGTACAGCCCTTTCTAGACATTTCATTTTTCCTTAAAAAAGTGTACACTATACGCAAATACTAATGGTAGTCTTTGGTCAGACATAAAATACAATTAGTAGCAATTTATAATACGACAGTTTATCCCTTTGGGAACCTCAAAGGTGCCTGATTCATACTCGGAACATCTTTGGGTTATATGTAATTCCTGTATAAATTTGGAACGCCTGTAGGTTTTATGCTATTCCTGTTTAAAAAAGAAATTGATATCTAGGAGTTATCCAAGAGCTTGTAATTAGCGCCTGGTATATTTCAACAGAAGCATACACTTAACAGCCCAAGACAACAGAGGGCAAAAACCGTGGACTGAAACTTAAATTTATAGTCCCCACTGGGGTTCCCCCAGGGGTGACTAAAAATATGTTTGAACTATTCAGAGGTACTCTAAAATATCATCAGTTATATTAGAGTAAAGCTAGAAAGGCAAGTGAAAGGGTGTATAGATAAAGTATGCAATAATCATTAAACACGTTGATACATATACATTGAATTGAACATTACCCCCAAAACTTAAGTCTAACTAAAGTCTGTCTAAAAGTTATATTCACACTGTTAATATACAGATAATGCACAATACAGTGGTAATGATTTTCACAATTACCTTCACAACTTTTAACAATTATGAAGAGCTGAGATAAGCTTCTGAACGAATAGTACCTCTTTTTAATATGATATGTCACAAATATCTACATAGAAACCTTTTTAATACAAAGATGGGGTTGAAAACCTTTAAATTACTAATTTAGTAATTATAAAATAAAACCATCACGAAACAACTTGAGAACTACATATACAGACAATCTAATTAGGGGTCAAGATGATTATTTACCATACATCCTGTGTAACCAGCCTGTTTGTGGTAACTTACCAAAATCTGGGTTAAAGAGCTCCTCTATAACAAGCTGAAAGAACTCTTTGGACACTCCTCCTTCGTCCAGACCTTGTTCACCCTCAAACTCTACAATGAGCTGTTTTTTCAAGTCCTGTGGATTGTCCATAGCAGTCATTTCCAGCTGTTAAAAATACATGTATTATCAACACAGGAAAGATATTGAAAATTAGAACAATATATTACTTTTTAAAGTCTTAATGATATGTAAAAAATTGTATCAAAAATTATATATATGGATAACATTTGACTGCTTCAGTTTCTTTCTTACTGAGGACTTAATTTTGACAATAAACATAGCAAATGTAGGCAAAAATACTGAAAAGTAATTTCATTGTCAATGAAAAAATATCAATCCAGAAACCATCTTCAAATATTTCATGTTATTCTAGATAACTTATTTCAAATTATACAAATTATGTCTGGTTGCAATTTTGAACTTTTTGAGCCAATATTATGACATTTTTATTTTCCAGTTCATGTAAAAATACTCTTCTACTAATTTTCTTATTCTAAGTGGAAATAGCTTGTTTTTCAATACCACTGATACTCACAGCAACTAAAGCATCATCTATGAGATGGTCTCTCCTGACTCTGAGCCGAAGAAAGGGTGTAGGTGGAATTCCAAATAAAACAGTTTGCTGAATAGAAGTCCTTCTCTCGTTATACATTCTCACTCGGTTGTCAAAATTCATGCACTTTTGCTTTGATGCGGTTGTCAATATAAAACAATGATTCATGAAGGAAAACTTGGATTCATTTTCTAATTTGTATTTGTAGTCGATTTCCAAGTCTACATACTCATTCAGTATTTCATTTACAAAGTCTTCATATGCTATCAAAGGCAGCCTAGAATCCAAGGGTGACACTCCCAGTTCTTGACCTAATGAATCCTCTTTGGGTTGCCGAGACTCCTTGGGTTCGTTGCTGAATGCACCTTGAAGTTGGAACATATCCTGTAATGTCTTTTCATTTTGAGACTTTTCCTCTTCCACAGAATCCTGAGAGTCTCTATCGCTTCCATAAATGCTGGCATAGAAAAGAATTTTCATGACTTTGGTAGCACTGGTGATACCGTCATCGTCATTAATGTAGTAGCCCCCGCCCCACCTAGCCTCACTTTGAACAATTCTCATGGTTATGAGCTGGTGCAGGGCCTGTGCCATCTCATGCAGACGGTCAGCACCAAACTTGGACCAAACTTTGGCCAATCGGGCCTGACCATGAAGTGAAAGTTGGCCCATAGCTTTGCAGAATTGGGGAAATGCTCCTTCAATGAATTCAGCACTGGACATAAAAGGAATTTCCATCACAATAATAAAGATGTTGATATAGTGTGGGTTCCTGTCCATGACCTTGTGATGTTTTAAGTCCATTTCTACTGAGCGGGCTAGGGACATTAGAGCATTTATCAGTGCACCCTTTACAGGGGTGTCCTGGATCTCCATCAGAGCAGCATAGGCCCTGCGTAATGAAGGAATGTCAATGGATAACTCATCCTCCTCTGTATCCTCCTTGGATTCATCAATCACCATTTTCTCTTGACCCGCAAGAGAATCTTCTTTGTCATCTGTGTCCTTGTCTACATCCCTTTCTTTTGGCACACTCGTTTCTTTGGTTTTACGAAAGCTGAGTAATAGTGAGTCTGTGTTATTGTAGGTAGAACCTATCAATCTCACTAATTTTGACCAGCTGTTTTTTTCTTTACACTCTGCTATAAGTTGAACTAAAATCTCCTCTGTAAAGAATTTTGTTTCTACTGCAAAGTAAGAAACACATTTCATTTTATCTTCAATTAAAAATTATTTTTTTGTGTTGCAAAAATAGACATCACACTTTAAATATCATCAGGTTTGTTGTCACTTATTCATATTTATATTATAAACAATTGAAGGCTAACCTAAATAAACACAGCTTATGTGAATACATGATTCAAAAAGAATTTCACATCATACATAGAGTATAATAAGTTTTAAATCTATGTTATAAATTATGGCTTTTAGATATTCTGGTCATTATATCCTATGCAGCCAAACTTGATCATCATTAGAACAAAATGAAAATTTGATACCAAGTACAAATCTTCAACAAAGATACAACCCTTGTCAACATCCTATTTTAAAGAGTGCTTCAACCTTGATGTCAAGTTACCTACCGGGTGATAGGGCTTCCTTCTCTGGTGTAGAAGAGCTACTACCTGGTGATAATTTTCTGAACATAGTTAAGGGGAGACTATTCATACTGGCTGAGGGCCCAGGTAGAAGCAGTGCTGTAGCAGACGTGACCTCTGGGAGGGGCGCCATACCACGGCTGCTACTGGGGCTAGGCTCACAATCTTCTGGCATCTTGGCTACTTTACTTGGCTGTAGTTCACACAAAGTGGCTTTACCCTTAAACATTTCCACTGCCTGGACGGCCAGTTCATTCCGACTACGTTCCCTAAATGTGAACTTTGAGGAGGACGCACAACACCTATTTTCGCATCCTTCATTTCCACAGCCATCTGTCAGCTGGTAATAATATTTTTCAATCAGCTGTTTTGCTAAAGCCCGCTTCCTGTAAATACAGAAAATGAAATTGTAACTGGGTTATATTAAACACGATATATTCACTGAATAATGTATCACTTTCTACAAAACTGACACCACTATATATCTTACATATTATTATCAGTGCATATACAATCTTTTGTTAAGAACAGGCATTGGTAATCCAACATATACAACATGCAAGGGTATACAATCCCACCAGTCCAAAGCCCAGGGCTAGTATACATTTTATGTTGAGGCTTGTGAAAATTTTCAGTATATACAGGGATTCAAAACACAGCTTAAAACATAAGAACTGACCCATTTCAAATTGACATACGACCATATTTCCCCCTACTTTGTCAAGATCAATTTTGTTCAGTCTAAATTTGAAATTTATAATCTTTCCAATTTGCATCTAGTGTATTGTTCAATTTATCAGATAAAAAAAAAAACAATTTTGTAAGAAGCTCTACATACTTGTTCACCTTGATTTTAGTAGTGTATCTGTTACAATGTACTGGTTTAGGTACCATATTGAGTTTACAACCTACAGTTATAGGTAAAACCTAGTCTGAACCTAGGTTGAAGGTGTTCGTGCACATGACAAGTTCAACCCGTCCCTATAACATCATATACAATATAATGCTACTCACATTCCGTCGCCAGTTGCTGGTCGGTTGGATGATAATGAGGATGGGGCCTTACTGAAATACAAAGAAGTATACTGTTACTGATGCAAAAAAATATCATACATAGATATTATCAGTCAATCTCACCGTACATTTAATTTGGTTTCTCGTCTTTTAGTTTACAAATGAAATATATACTGTATGCAATAATTTTCCCAATCCTCACATCCTTAACACCAAGCTGTCCCAATAACCCACTTTTAATTACTCCCTGAATATTATATAGGTCAAATATCATACTTATTTTATTCTCTTTTATGGAGTTATGCACACACCGATTCAGAAGAAGCTTTGGACTAAAGTTTGCATGAAGTATTATAAGTATTATCAACTTATACACCGACAGACTTTTGCTAAGGTATCTCTGATTATTTGTCTATAACACATATGTACAACATTAAATGGCATTATTAAGGAAAATTAAAAAAAAAACTTCTGGAAACATGATGTTATTTCAATAACACAAATTTAAGTCCATCATCAATGTATACACAAGGTAAACATTCTTACACAATTTGGTTGCTGTTTTATTCTGTAACAGCTAGGAGTTAGCGAAATGCATAGCCAGATCAGGATTTTAACTCTGGGCCCTCCAAACTGAACAGATGCTCTACCAATAATTAATTGAGCTACCTGCATTGCAGCTGGTCATCAACAATCAACCCAGTCCAGTTCTATTACAGTTGATTATTTCCCTGTTATTTTTGAAGATATTTCTTTAAATGTTCCAACTAGTAGTTTTTTCTTGACGTGTCCATCAAACAGGTCCAGTACACTCTGCCGATTGAGCTCAATGTAGCTGTAAAGACCTATAATAGCTCTATTGACCTATGTGAAATAGGTCTTTTGAGCTATTTTCATGTGATTTTCTTTTTGAAGTAAAATGAACAAAGTCGCTTTTAAAAGAAGATTTTATCATGATCATTACGTTGATAACAAAAGAAATTAAATATAAGTATTGTTTTTAAAAAATAACGATGTAAAAATTCGAAAATTTTACATTTATGAAAAATGAAAATAAACATATTTAGAAAGTATACTTTTTGTAGTCAACATTACCATAAACCTTAATTTTCTAAGCGACTTTGCTTTGATTTAATGGAAATTGAAATCCGAGAAATTATAGCTCAATTATAATTTATAGGTGAATATAGCTATATACAGGTCCAGTACACTCTGCTGATTGAGCTATATAGCTGTAAAGACCTATAATAGCTCTATTGACCTATCTGAAATAGGTCTTTTGAGCTATTTTCAAGTGATTTTCTTTTTTAAGGAAAACGAAACAAAGTCGCATTTAAAAGAAGATTGTATCATTAGGTTGATAACAAAAGACATTAAATATAAGTATTGTTTTTAAAAAATAATGATGTAAAAAAATTGGAAATTTTACATTTATGAAAAATGAAAATAAACATCTAACTGTATGCTCTTTGTAGTCAACATTACCATAAACCTTATTGTTTTATGCGACTTTGCTTTAATTTAATGAAATTTGAAATCTGAGAAAATATAGCTCAATACAGCGATAATTTATAGGTGTATATAGCTATATAGCTCAATCGGCAGAGTGTACTGGACCTGATATAAGTCTTTATAGCTACAGTATATAGCTCAATCGAGTGTGCTGGACCTGTCAAATGAACACAAATGTGTTTTTGAAAGTATTAAACTCTTAACTGACTTAATGACATCATAACAACTTGTCCAGACCCCAGTTCTTTCTATAGGTCTCAAGGGGATTTTTATGTGTAAACATTAATTGTTTCTTTGACAAAATAATGATATGGTCTGGGCAAATGTCAAAAGTTACTATAAACCTTTTTTTCATGTCCACGGCTTTTGTGTACTGAGAAACAGCAGCTGAGAAAACAGCGCAATAGTTTGAAAATTTTAGCATGACATGCAGTTTTTCATTTCTACATTATGACATTTTTCTTTCTGGGTTGACTGATGTAAACAATTAACATATGATCGAGTTTTTCATGCGTCATACAGTTCACCGAAATGGATATACTAATGTTTATTAAATGATTTACTAACCAGCTAACTACGCTTCATTCAGTTCATATTCCCCGACCCCATATTCCCTTCATCATCATTTTATGACACATTATGAATCGAAACAAGAAATATATGCATACAACTATTACAAACGTTCACAATGTACCTCGCGGTTGGATTTCCGCTCTGTTCTTCGTTATCCTCGTTAGAGTTCATACGAATGATTTATGTTATTTTCTTATGAAACCCATATACCCAAACTACGCAGTTAAATCTTTACAAAACCAAATCGCAGAAACCCTGAACCCCTTCATCGAACCTTCGCCATTTTGACTTTCACAAACGCGATGTTACGAGAAGTTCTTTTTTAATATTATTGCTTGTTGACATAATTTATTGGCTTATTTCATAAAAGATAAATTGAAAAGAATTCCTCAATTAGATATATATTTAAATATGACATATAACCAATTTAATATATTATCATTAATTTTCCCATCAACCACTATTCAATATGTCAGCTTCCTTGTAACAGGAAGTGAGTGTTTTGTGGCAAAAGGGAAAATAGTTCATCGGATCGTGAAATGGAATTAATTAACGTTTGCTCAAAATAGGTACTTAGATACACATATTTTAAATATCTCTTCCATATGTCCTATATTGGTTTGAATTTGATGCAAATATGTCCGCGCAACTTAGCCATATTTGCGGCTGATGACACCGGTCTCCTCTCCGAGTCTGATGATGGCTGTGATGGGCCATTATCATATGGGGTGCGGCGTTATGCTTGTAGTCTGAAATAGAATATAGCATACTTTTCAAAAGAAAAGATCAATAAGTGATACTCTTATACTATTCCAGATATGTTTGTTGAGATTGATGGTTTCACATGATCTCTGACACTGTAGACTTGCACAAGTCCCTAGATGCAGATACATACATTCTATTTATTGTTAAATTAATGTCATTTGATCATGACTGGAGGTTGCTCTGTATGTTGTTTCTTCCACCCCTTAATGACTCTTGTCAATGTTAACGTTGGATGTCCTATTTTGAATATCCAGTAATTACTGTTACATTTGGTGCCCTATGCTAAAAAGGGTGGTAGAGATAGGTAAAATATTCTTTGAAGAAGACAGATATGTAGTGGAAATAGATTTGGGTGTCACCAGTGATTGGTTTGTTTGAGCATCCGTTTTGTGGTTAGAGGTCTTGGGTTCATATCCCTGTCTGGCCTTTGAACTTCCTTGTAACAGGTGTAACTATTATATTGTAGCAGAAGTGGACTTGGTCGATCATCAGTGACCAGGTTGCTCAATTGGTAGACCTTCTGTGTAAAGTTAAGAGGGTCCTACAGTCAAACCCCCGGTCTGGCCATGCATTTCCCACTCGTATTACATTTGGTGCCTGTGACCAAACCTTATTTCAAGTACTAGGTGAATCGTTGACAAGTGGAGTAAATAGCAATGTCTTTGGTGGCAAAGCTTAGAAAAAGGAAGGAGGAATGAAGCAGAACTAGACTGGAGCGATCATTGGCAACCTCGGAGGTTGCTCAATTGGTAGAGCATCTGTAGAAAGCAGCTATAAAGCTAGTACTTTACCAGGATAACATACCCCCCATCTAAGAAATATCTCACCCCAAATGTTTTCATGAGTAACAGTGATACTTGTGGAGCAAGGCTGAGTATTTTTGCCAAAGTCTCTTTGTTTGTGCTAGTGTAAAAGAGGTCATTATTTTTTCAATGCTCCTGTTAGGGGTTGAACATGGAATCTCTGGTTTACTTTTCTGACATTCTACTGAAGTACTACCGGTCTCTTCAATAAATAAAATAAATAAATGTACAGCATTTGATATAGCACCCTATCTAGCTAGAATAAGCCACTCTAAAGTGCTTTACAGTACATAGATAATAGATATACAATTCATAAAATCAATATAATTAATATATATACATTTATACATTAATCCATACATTAATCCATAAACAATTATGAGGAATTTGCAGGAACTGCCTTACCAGGCTGCGGTGGCCAAGTGGTTAAGGCGTCTGACATTCTGCTACCACTAGCCCTCCAACACCGGGTCGCGTTTCCAGGCCTACATGGGGCAGTCGCCAGGTACTGGCCGCAGGTCGGTGGTTTTTCTATGGGAACTCTGGCTTTCCTCCACCACCAAAATCTAACATGTCCTTAAATGACCATAGCTGTTAATAGGACATAAAACTCAAAAACAAACCTTATCAGGCGCTTACTACTAGTCCTATGCCCCCTGGCTAATATCTCCCTATGTGTGTATTCCTGCATGTGTGCTGGAGGTGTATTGTGTTCCATTTGTTGTGGGACTGCCTGGACTGTGCTTCCAACGGTTTCTTTTGGTAGTGCCACCTCACTTGAATGCTACACCACAGATACTGCAACACCCTACCCAGACCATTTTGTATTCCACCTGGGTGGTTGGAGTTGACTTGTGTGAGCAGGAGAAAAGAAAAACTTTCTTTGAATATCCCATGCATACTACGACTTCCGGAATCGAACCCTGGCCACCTGAGAGGAAGGCAGGAGTGTTAACTACTTGGCCAATCTGCCCATTTTGCCAATCTTAAGATACAAATATGATAAGTTTGGGAACTGGATAAGTGTTGGAGCTGGCTTTAATATTTATGGGTTTTTTTGTTTTTTACTTTAATCAATAAAAAGTGTCTCGGAATTTGTGTTTTTATGCAAATATCAGGATTAATTCATTTTCTATTATTTGAAGAGTACTGAAGAATATATTACTCTCTGAACTTTAGATTTATGAGGTAAAAATGCACCATGTTTGTTTGATGTTATCTACATATCACTTCATATTGCTTATTTCAGGTGACAGATATGTCTGAAGTCCCAGCATATTTGAGGGGTAGAGGGAGAGGAAGAGGTAATGCTCCTGCTCCTGATGGTAAAGGGTGGGGCTCCCAACTTTGGGGCGGTGACAACACTGGCAACAACAAGATCAAAGGCTTCGGACAGAGACACAGTGATACAGCCTCTAATGGACTTCAAGGTAATGGAGGATCATGATTTAATTTAAAAAATGATGAAGTTATTTAGACAAAGAATCGTTTTATTGAGTAGAGGGAAGTCAAGTAAAGATATGGAGGAGAATGGAACCTATTTTCAGGACCCTAAAAAAGTCCTAGTACTATCAGGGAGTATTTTGTTTTGTTTAAACCAGTCTCGGTCAGTCGTGAGGTTTAGAGTGTTTGAAAACATGTAAACACCTGATGTGCTGGTAGATATGAGGTTTGACCACCAGCGTTAGAGGTAGCTTGTATCAAATCTCATAATGGGTCTGAAAACAATTTCATAAATATTCTTTACCTGACATCAATCCCATAGTTAAATTCATTCATTGTCCATATAAGATTTAATGTTATGAGTTTGTAGTTGGAAAAAAAAAAAAAAAAAAAGAGATAAAAAATTCAGTTGGGGAGGTATTTCAGAAAGTCACCAGTGTCCTTAAAAAATCATGTACGGCACATGTAGCATATTCAACAACTATGACAGTGTATATGTAAGTTTGTAGCATATAAATCAAATAAAGATAGTGTCAGTTTGTCAATTTTTTGTTGTAGTTGAAATTGATATTAAAATTACAGACAATATGATTAGTTGGTTAATTTTCCTGTTGGTTTGTCTTGATAGAGACCATATCGTGTAAGAGGAGAAAAAAAGGTTGTGTCACTACTAGCTTGGGTAAACACATTGGTAATGTAGACTTTTTAGGTCACCTGAGCTTTAGCTCAAGTGACCTATTGCTATCCGTTTTCGTCCGTCGTCGTCCGTCGTCCGTCGTCCGTTAACATTTTACATTTCAAACTTAAAGTCAAGTTCTGCTGGGCCGATTGAACTGAAAGTTGGTAGGAATGATCGCCTCATGGTCCTGACAAAGTGTTGTTATTTTTCGGGTCGATCAGAAATCCAATATGGCCGCCACGGCCGCCATTTTGAAAACCTATTTCAAACTTAAAGTCAAGTTCTGCTGGACCGATTGAACTGAAAGTTGGTAGGAATGATCGCCTCATGGTCCTGACAAAGTGTTGTTATTTTTCGGGTCGATCAGAAATCCAATATGGCCGCCACGGCCGCCATTTTGAAAACCTATTTCAAACTTAAAGTCAAGTTCTGCTGGACCGATTGAACTGAAAGTTGGTAGGAATGATCGCCTCATGGTCCTGACAAAGTGTTGTTATTTTT